ATGATGAGGTGACATTCTGAAAAGACACCGGGCTAGCAGAACACCTTGGCCTGCACCCAGCCTCATCATTTACAGACACTGACCTCTTGATACTCAAGCTGCTTCTGAATATTTTTGAAACTCAGCTTGTACATCTATAATCCGGAGATGGTAATACCTGCCCTTACTAGTGATTCAGAGATGGAATGGCTGTAGAAAATACCTGGAAGTTTATCCAAGCTTTTAAAAGTACCTTTATAAAGTACTTTAAGATAACAATTTATAGTAAATGACTTTTGTAATCCTCCTTATTAATGTATTAGGGTTCAGTGTAGATAAATGGTTACTTAGCTAGGAATCAGTACACATTTAATAGGACTCCTGTGCTGAATAGCATGAAAATTATGTGGCTGTGCAGATGCGACTACAGAGACCTCCGACATCTGGCGTTTTCTGCACACATAACTAGCTCCTGGCTCCGTGAATCCACCTCCTGCACAGTCTGATAGATCTTATTTTTTAAAATGTATTGTCACGTTAGCTAACGTAGAGCACAGTGTTGGCTTCAGTAGTTTCCTGTGATTCCTCACATACAACACCCAGTGCTCGTCCCAACAGGCACCCTCCTCAGTGCTCATCACCCATTTTCCCTGCCCCTCCAACCCCCCACTGCCATCAACCCTCAGTTCTCTGTATTTGAGAGTCTCTTATGATTTGCCTCCTTCTCTGTTTATATCTTATTTTTCCTTTCCTTTCCCCACGGTCTTCTGTTAAGTTTCTCAAATTCCACATGAGTGAAACCATATATCTGTCTTTCTCTGTCAGTTTAATACATTTTTGTGTGAGAGGCACGTGAAAGAAATATGTTTTTCTCTCCCAAACTCTTCTCATCCGGTCACCGACCTGGCCAGCTTCATCATCTACTAATTACGTCGTTGACCCATCTGCAAGCCACAGGCCATCTTCTGTCATCAGATCAAAAAGCAGCAAAACAGAGGCGCAGGATGATGTGACACACCAACATAGTTTGGGTGGAGATGATTCAGTTTAGAAAAGAAAGATTGGGGGCAGCTGGGTGGCTCGGTCGGTGAAGCATCACAACTTCGGCTCAGGTCACGATCTTGCAGTTCATGAGTTCAAGCCCTTCACATCGGGCACTGTGCTGTCAGCGCAGAGCCCACTTTGGATCCTCTGTCTCCCTCTCTGCCCTCCCCAGCTCGTGCTCGCTCTCTGTTTAAAAAAAAAAATAAACATAAGGGGAAAAAAAGGGAAAAGGAAGACTGGTGGACACGAGCTGGAAGGAACCCTACAAATCCTCTATAGTCCAGTTTTCTTACTTTCAACTTTACAGACAAGAACAATTTAAAGACTGAAAGACTCCTTCAGTATCACAAGGCTGTTTAAAGACAAAATCAGGATTATAACCTGAGACTTCTGTCTCCAGCTCAGTTCACTTTCTTATCTTACAGCTAGTCTTTGGTGGTAAGATCCATACCACTGCCTCCTCAGTCTACGCATCTACCTACAGAAAATCATGGGATTAAAGATAAATTGAAAGGGACTAAGCAGAAGTAAAGGATACAGTAAAGGAAGAAAGGATTCTGAAATCCCATAAAGCATTTTCTAATCTTGTTTCTTCAAAATTATTTTTTTCATCTGTCACAAGCATCACTGGAAACATAATTTGCATATATGTTCATCTTCCCTGTTCCTAATGTGATATGACCTGTCTTTTTTTTTTTTGGAATGACTGATAACCATGGAAAGTGTCAAAGCAATATGTCCGCTACTATCTGTCTGAAGAACTCCTGAGTGACTATAAATTCCTATAAAACATTGTTTTTGAGTGGTCCAAACACAGTAAATTTTGAACCAACAGCCATGGGGATTCACATTCTTATTTCAGTTGTGCATAATAAAATACATGTTCTTTGTATAACCATCTACTTGTATCTAAATAGGACTTTGATTTAACAGATACAAAATCTGTTTGTATCTGAGTATGATAGGAAGTGGTTTTCATTATCTTGGATACTTTTCCCCATATGGTTCATTTGTTCTCTCATGCAGTCTCTCAATTTGGAATTATTTGTTATCTACTACTAGTACTTTCAAGCTCCACATGGCAAGGATTAAAAAGAAAACAAAAAAGAATTTAAAGGTAAAGCAAAATGGTCTTGCCTCTGGTACCCAAGAAGAATAGTTTGTCAGGTTTAAAAGACTTTTCTTTTAATGAGTATTTCAGACCTACAAAACACTGCAGAACTTCATGCATTTTAATAATTTTCGGTTTGTTTCTTTTTTAAAGTCATAGACAAAATTCTGAGAAAGGAGTCAGTGTAATTATCAATGCCTTCAGAATATTTGTGTTTAACTATGTGAATGTACCAGGACTGTAATATGAATAGGGTGTCTGTGCTAAATCTGTCAATGGGTACAAGAAAAAAATTAACCACAACAAGCAGTTCTGCCAATTACTAGGATCAAATTATGACCCCGTCATTTTCCCTACCTCTCCCACTGTTCCTCAGCTAATTCTTTTTCCTCTGTCCCCACCCTAAATCTAAGGCTACCTTTGACTTCAAAGAAGCATCAGTTGTGATATTTGAGTGCTACATGCTCACTTGCACTGTACATGTTACAATAAAGGGAAGTTAAGAGTTGTACACATTTATTTATTTATTTTTTAATATTTTTATTTATTTCTAGGAGAGAGAGAGAGAGCGTGAGCAGGGGAGGGTCAGAAAGAGAGGGCGTCACAGACTGAAACAGGCTCCAGGCTCTGAGCTGGCAGTCAGCACAGAGCCCGACGCGGGGCTCGAACCCACGAACCGCGAGATCATGACCTAAGCGAAAGTCGGACGCTCAACCGACTAAGCCACCCAGGCGCCCCGAGTCGTACACATTTAAAGAATGATCAGTTTGATAGTTAGGATACATAATTACCAAGATGCATAGTTTTTAATAAAATTTATTCTAAAAACACATGCAGGTGTGATACATAGTTTCAACTTAACAAATGCAGCTAAGCCTAAACCCAGAATAAAGTAATCAATTGTACCTCAAGAACATGATTTAGGTAATAGTGTATGTAAGGTGGGTAAGGTGAATTAGGGGCTGACACAGGTTGAAAAACCTTGAAGCTATGTATACTTATCACAACGAACACTTCCTACTTTACGACAAAGAACTTAAACTCTTAGAATGGATAAGGGTTGGTGGCTATTAGCTAAAGGTGACTTTAGCCAAACATCTTGTCATTGGAGCAAACTTGAGAGGCTTATTCTTAAACACTGAACATTCATTCTTTTTTTCTTTTTCTCTGCATATAACTGACTGGTCTTTGGATCTTTGGGATTTTCAGGAACCAAGTTTCATTCTCCATGCATTCAAATGTTATCTAGAATGAGGATTAAATGAAGCATGCTAACAGAATTATTATGCCTTAGCCACATAATGTTCTGAAAGTAAAACAAGTATACACTGACCACTAAGAGAGTCATAGAATTAATGATGCTCTAATCTCTCAGGACTATGTGTTATCAAGGTTGAAATTAACACAGTGGTGAGAAAATTTTGAATATTCTCAGCTCATGATGGGACGATACGGAGCAATCTCCCTTAAAGAGTGGCTTGAAACCCACACCACGTTGAAAGAACAGTGTGTCAGTCATCACTAGGAAAATATAGGATGCATCCCACAGTTAGGGGAATCTTGATACTTTCCCCACATTTAATAAAATTATATCAAACATAAACACTTAAGCAGACCTTAGAAATAATCTGGCCAACCCCTCTTCATCCTTGTTCTATTGGTTTAGCAATATATTAATGTGTAATTTTAGTTTTATTTTTGCTACAGAGCATGTATTTCAGGCAGAATTCTACCACTTGGAAATGTAACCACTCTGTCCTTTGTAGAAGCAACACAATAAATCAACAAGTATCTATTAAACTCCAGGCACATGTTCAACACTGGGATTGTAGTAACTTGGCACTCTGCTAAGCGCCATATATAAAAAGATCAGCGTAAGATATAAGGACCAGGTCTCTGGTCCTTGCCTTCAAGAAGTTTATAATCTATACATTTGAAGCTGTTAGAAATTAATTCAATAAAACATAATGAAATGAATATTTGGCGCATAATTAACATAATGGGCCTTGATCCTCTCTTTGCTCCGTTACCGTACTCCCTTAAGTGTCAGCATCAGCTTCAAAAAAGTGTATTCAGCATAACTTCAGAAATCTCCAGATCACAGTTTTCTATAATGGCAGATTCATTATTCTAAATGCATCAGTTTGTACATTGTATTAGTTTTCTACCATTGTCTTAACAAATTATCAAATTTAGTCAAAACAACACAAATTTAATATCTTACAGTGCTGTAGGTCAGAAGTCTAAAGTGGGTTTCACGAAGCCAAAATCAAGATACCAGCAGGACTGTGTTCCGTCTGCGGGTTTCTGGGAAAAGTCCATTGTCTGGCCTTTTCCAGCTTCCAGAAGCTGCCTCTGTTCCTTGGCGTATGGCTCATTCCTCTGTCCTCAAAGCCAGCGGCACCAGGCTCATCCCCGCTCACCCTGACGCCTCTCTGGGTCTCTCTTCTGCCTCCCTCTTCCACTCTTAAACACCCCTGTGATTACATTGGGCCCACCTAGGTAATAAAAAAAAAACCTCCCCTATTTGAAGGTCAGCTGAGTAGAAGCCTTAATTCCGGCTGCAACTATAAGTCCCCTTTGCCATGTAACAATATATTCGCATGACTGGGTGCGCAGCTGGGCTGGCGGGAAGAGAGACTCATTACTCTGCCTATCACATCTATTGTCCGAAAGATCTCTTGATTTTAAAGTAAAAATATTAATTTCTACACTCAAATTAGTCTTATTGTCTAAATTGGGAGAAAAATTAATAAACCCCTGGGATGACTGGAAAACTCTTACACAATGAATATTAGTGACTTGTGCCCGGACAGATACTACAGCTAATAGATACTAACTTATTACTTAAGAAAAAGTACAATAATCACACTTGTATATTTTGATGGGTTGTTGATGTTTCTTGGTTTTCATCGGCAATGGACACTTTGTCATTAGATTGAGTAGAAATATTCTCCAAACCGTCATTTAAGTCTGCATATTTCTGTATGCCTATCTCCTCTCCTCCCAACTTTTCAGCACCCTTAGAGAAGCCAGGAGTCTCTTTGCTGTTTTCTTCATCTTTAGAAGTAGCAAGTTTTTCTAGGGATTCTATTACTTCATTTCTCAACTCATCTTCAGATTCTTCAAAATTTCTGAAATAAGTTAAAAGTCAACTTTATGATATCAAAATAATGAAAAATACATATGAAAAGTCGTTTCCCTTCTCATTTCCCACCCCTACTTGAGCAATTTAATAGACGCATTTCCCCCCAGGTAATGCATTATTTATTATAACAGTCTGGTTTTCCTAAGGATGATAAAAAAAACAATGTTTGGAAAATCAGTATTCTGTTTAGTTGGACTCATGTTTGACAACTTTAATTATATTTATTAATACCCATCTACTCTTATGTTGAAAAGGTGAGGAAAAGAGGAGAAAAAAGAATAAAAGAATAAAAAACAGCTGCCATATAGTGAGCCCTTATTCTACACCAGTGACTGCCCGCAAGCCCCTAACACACAACTGTATCTCATCTAATACTAACAACACTTGGAGGTAGACACAGTCACCATCAATTCATAAAGAAGCTGGGCTCAGCGAGGCTAATAAAACTTGCCCAAGGTCTCACAGATCCTAATTAGTAGGACTCAGAATCGAAATTATATCTAAGACCTCAACACCGATAGTCTTAGAAGGGAAGAAGGCAGGAGACCAAGAAAACCATGTCAACAATCCCAAATGCCTACATGGCAAGTCAAGAGGCTGAGGAGGATCTGGTAAGAGCCAAGAGTGTTCATCATGGAAGCCAAGGAGGCAGAGAGTCTCCAGAGAGGGAGCAGCCAAATAAGATGAAGACAGAAATGACAGTTGGACCTGTCAATTTCCAGGTGATAGATGACCTTTGCAAGAACATTTTGAGCGTGCTGTGTGGCAGGAGTGATTATACAGTGGATCAAGAAAGCAGTAGTAGGTAAGCAAGTGACGACAAGGAACTTAAACTCCTTGAGGAGTTTATGTAAGATTGTCTCTCTCTAAAATAAAATAAAATACAATAAAGTAAAGTAAAATAAAATAAAGGAGAAAGACGGATAATAGATAGCAACAAGGTCTCTGAGAAAGGCTGGGATCCAGAGTACCCGTGCCAGGCTGTGCTTTCAGCAGGAAGGGAGACAATTTTTTGTCCGAGAAGGAAGATAGAGAGAGGGCGGGCGACGAGGGCGCCTGTGGACAGAGAGAAGTTATGGAACTAGACAATCAAGACCATTCCGCTTACAAACCACATGCTATCTCTGTGAAGTAGGAGGCATGGTCACCTGACAAGAGTGAGGCGGATGGGGGGGCAGCATGCAGGGCAGAGGGTTTGTAAGGAAGCAAACCAGGCATAGGATTGCCAGATATCACTAAAATCGGAGATCATAAATTTGATGTGGACCAGGAATTCTAGGTTCCATTTGTTAAGCTATCACTACTGAGATATGTGCTTACCTGAGATCATCCCTTTGTCTTCACCTTCTACAGTTAGAAGTATGATGTGCCCAGGTGTGAGTTTATTTTCATTGTTCCTGCTTGGTTATTGTTTTACTTCCCAGCTATCACAATTATGGCTTTCAATGACTGTGCAAAGTTCGCAGCTATAACTGCTTTGAATATTGCTTTTCTCCAGTTGTCCTCTTCTGGAACTTGCTTTAGATATATGTTGGACCTTCATGACTCTTAACTCCTCTTTCACATGTTCTATCATTTTTTACCTCAGGTCTATCTTGCAGTTCTTAATTCCTTCATTAATTATGCCTATTTTGTTTTTAAACTGTCCTTAAATTTTAATTTCTATATTATTTTACTTCTAGAAGTTCTATTTGATGGATTATCAAATCCTCCTGCTCCTTTCTGATAGATCTGCTTTTCTCTTATGTTTTCATTCCTTACTTTAATTCTAAATATACAATATTAATTATGTAAATATTAATATTCATAGGATAATTATATTATCTGAAGGTCTTTATGGTCTAATTCAGCTATTTGCTGTGGATTCTAATTTTAGTTGTGAACTCATCTTCAGCAGCGCCTGAGTGAGAAAGTTTGATGTAGCCTGGATTGAGGTTATATCCCTCCAGGTTATATTTATTTCTTGTAGAGATCCCAGAGTATTATGATCCCTTACTGTTAATTTTAAAGTTGATTTCTCAATATACGTATTTCCAGACCATCCAAGTATTATAAATTCAAACGCTAAACCCAAGTGAAGGTAAATCCATGCTTATAAATTTCTCAGGAAGAACTCTTCTCCCAGAGATTTGGCCAAGGCTGACAAGCCATGTTACTGAGATTTTTTTTTCTAGACCACCCTTGCAATGAAGTGTAGCTCTTCAAGGGCTCCAGTGAACAAGAATGGAGGGGAACCCATTGAAGAGAGTAAAACATGCTAGATACACAGGAGGGGCACAAAGAAAGGGAAGAAAGAAAATTTTAAAAACAAAACATGAAACTTTTAAAACAAAATGAGTCTGTAAACTAAAATTCCAAAACACATTAATAAATCTAATGGTAAGAAACATAGGCAAGAAATTTTATTTAAAGTTGGGGCAGGCATTAAGTCCAGATTTATTACTTTTATGGAGGATTTTTATAATGCTCTGAAAGTAAGTATGCTGAAAAAGATGAAGCATAGCATCCATTTTAAAATGTTTTTAAATTAGGGGCAATAATTATGCAATAATGAAACAATAATATATAAATATACAAACAATTATAAATCTTAGACAGGAGATATATAAACATTTAAGTTAAGAACTTAATAGATGATGGGACACCTGGATGGCTTAGTTGGTTAAGCGTCCAACTCTTGGTTTCAGCTCAGGTCATGATCTCATGGTTCATGCATCGGGCTCTGTGCCAATAGTCTGGAGCCTGCTTTGGATTCTCTCTCTCCCTCTCTCCCTGCCCCTCCCCTGCTCATGCTCTCCCTCTCACCCTCTCTCTCAAAATAAATAAGTAAACTAAAAAAACCTTAATATATAATACCCAGATAGGTTTGAAAATAGTATTCAAGAATTCACCCAGCATGGAAAAAAGAAATGAATAAAAAATATGAAAGTACAATTAGATGTTACTGGAGACAGACTGAGAAGCTCCAGAACATCTCTGTTTGGAGGACCAAAATGGAGGGAATAAGAAAAACATTTGGAAAAGTAATAAGTAAAAGTGTTCCAGAGCTAAAGACAGTCCTAGGTCCTCACAAGAAGTGAGCCAAGCAGGAGAAAAGAGAATTCCAGACCCAGACATAAAACAGTGAAACATAAGAACACAAAGATAAAAAGAAAATTCTGAACATGCTGGGGAGAAAGTTAGCATATCTATAAAGGAAAAACAATCAGCACACTTCTCATCAATAGTAATAAAGATTAGGAGAAAAATCATTGTCAGCCTAAAGTTGTATACCCAGCTAAATTATAAATAAAGCAATAAAACAATTTTGGATATGCAAACATATCCAAAATTTACCACCCACTGACCTATCTTAAAGAATTATTAGAGAATATACATCATCAAGAAGAAAATTGAAATTGGAAGAAAAGCACAGACTAGAAAAAACCATGGGAAGTTCAAAGATTGATAAACTATAATGGCAAATTGAGTTAGGTTTGAGAATAAAATACGTATATTTCATCAAAAAAAGATAAAATTGGAATATGTGATTTGATGTCTCAGACTTGGAATGTCCCAAACCTTAGGAAAAAAAAAAAAGTGTAGGGGTTGGGGGGCAGGCAGTAAAGATGGTGAAAACATGAGGGTTCATTATGCTGTTCTCTGTACTTTTACTATGAAGTTTTCTACAATTAAAACATGTTTTTTAAGTAAAATTATAACTCTTGATAACAATATTAGAGTGGAAAGGTTTTAGTGGTTAAATGTGTTCATCATGTTTGGGAAGAAAAAAAAGATCACTGAACAACTTCTGAATTTGTTAGACAAATCTGTAGGAAGTACATAAAAGCTAGCTACTAAAAGAATAGAAATATAATCTGTATCTTCAAAACTAGTATAGAGAAAATAGGAGTAATATAGAAAAGTTTGTGATTGTGACATAAGGGGAGGAGAAGGAAATGCCAAATGGTAACAAACAAAACACAAAATCAAGCTTAAAACATAAGAGTGGACCCCAAATATGTTAATAATTCTAATGAGTTTTATTATATTAAACTAATTAAGAAACAGAGGTTATTACATGACAAGAAGCATTATCAACCAGCTACATGCATTTTATAAGAAACATTTTATATTACGAAACCATACAGAAATGATGAAAATAAAAGAATAAAAAAATACATGTCAGAAAAAATACTCAAAAATTAAATAAAATAACTTAAAAGTTGGAATAGCAGTGTCAGTATCTCACAAAATAGAATTTAAGGCAAACAGCTTTAACAGGGACAAAAATTACATAATGTAAAAAAGGGGAGATAGTCTATCAAACTGATATAACAATCATAAATTAGAACACGGCTTCTACATATTTAAAGTACGTTGAAAGGAGATAGAAATATGAGGAGAAATGATCAAAGCCACCACACAGCTTAAGATTTTAATGTACTTCTATTCAGAAGTGATAAAGGGGAAATAAAGACCATAGAGTAGTTTTTTAAAAAATGTTTTAAGTTTGATAATTATATAGAACATATGTTTGCACGTATAGGAGGATTAGGAGGAACTTAACGGAGGACCACGGGGGAGAAGAAGGGGGAAATAGTGGGGGAAAGGGAGAGAGGCAAACCATGAGAGACTCTTGAATGCTGAGAACAAACTGAGGACTGATGGGCGTGGGGGGAGAGGGGGGAGATGGGTGGGGGGGCACTTGTGGGGATGAGCACTGGGTGTTGTATGGAGACCAACTTGACAATAAACTATTTGTAAAAAAAAAAAAAAAAAAAAAAAAAAAAAGAACATATGTACCCCCAGAATAGTAAGAAGAATATGCATTTTTTTCAAGTACATGTGTAACAGTCATAAAATTAAAACTATACTGAATAGCAAAGGAAATCCCAATAAACTTTTCCAAATTACTAAAACTCAGATGATGTTCTCTGTCCAAAATGCAAATAAATTGGAAATTCTGATTTTAGAAAGTGATTTAAAAATGCACTAGTCAGAAACTTCAGGGGCACCTGGGTGGCTCAGTCAGTTAAGCATCTGGCTTCAGCTCAGGTCATGATCTCGCAGCTCCTGAGTTCAGGCCCTGCATCTCACTCTATGCTGATGACTCAGATTTGTCTCCCTCTCTTTCTGCCCCTTCCCCTTTTATGCTCTGTCTGTTTCTCAAAAATAAATAAATAAATATTAAAAAATTAAAAACAAAAATTTTCAAACCTGATTCATACCATAATAAGAAACCCAGACAGAAATATTGGCAAAATATATCTCTCTCAAAGAACTGGTAGCAAGGCTGTGTGAATAATGCCTGTAACTCAGAGACTACAAAGACACCACACATACCCATTAGATTGGTTAAATTTTTATTTTATTTTTTATTGGTTTATTTATTTATTTATTTGAGAAAGACAGAGACAGTGTGAGGGAGGGAGGGGTAGAGATAGGGAGAGAGAAAATCCCAAGCAGGCTCCACACTGCCAATGAAGGGCCGGAAACCATAAAACCACAAGATCATGACCTGACCTGAAAACAAGAGTCGGATGCTTAACTGACTGAGCCACCCAGGAGCCCCAAGATTGGTTAAATTTTTAAAAATTGATCATACCTACGTTTGGTAAAGATGTAGAGCAACTAGAAATCTCATACACTGTTCAACAGGGGGATATAAAATGGCTTTGTTCCAAAGCTAACAACCACTTTGGAAAATAGTTTGGCAGTTTTTTTAAAAAGTTTAATATTCACCTACCATACAACTCAGTCATGTCCACACAAAGATGTGTACAAAAATATTCATAGCCCTTTTATTTATAATGCCCCAAACTAGAAACAATCAAACATTGATTGTTAGGTGAATGTATTACCAAATTGTGGTATTTCTACATGATGGAATAGTACCTAGCAATAAAAAGGAATGGCTAATTGATACATATGTCAATGTGGATGAATCTCAAAATCATTCTCAAACGGGAGGGTTTCCAAGAAGCTTAAGGGTGTTGTCCCTCAGAATCTAAGCAAAAGCTCAAGACAGAGAAGCACTTACGTCAAAAAGATTTGTGGATCTGGTTTTTGTCTAATGAAGTGAATCCCAGTAAGATTTGCAGAAACCTACAAGATTTTTGAAAAAAATATATATGCAGAAACATAGCCAGGTTGAACCAAAAGGGACACAGACAATCCTAATTGAAACGAGGTGGCTGGACTCCAAGATTCTACTGGCAGGAAGCAAGCCGAGAAAATTCTCTCCTCCCTTCCTTCCTGCCCTCCTTTACTTGCTAGACAGGTTGATTCTAATGTTCATATGGAAAAATAAACAAGCAAAATTAGATAGAAAAATACTGAAAACAGAAAAGTATTTAAGAGAACTAGCCTTCCAAAATAATAATTCATATTATAAACAATGTGTTTATAATATAATAATTAGACTAGCAAGAATAAGATTTGGATGGAAGCACATACAAAAATGTAGCATATCAGAGAAGTGGCATTTCAAATTGGTAGCAAAAATAAAGATTTTCAATAAATGGCGTTGGACTAAGGAGTTATTTGGAAAAAAAGTCAAGTTGGAGCCACACTTTGCAGTGTAATATGAATGCAATTCAAGAGGATTAAAATATTTAACTAAATAGAAAATGAGATCATAAAATTACTTTAAAAATCCTGGTATCATTTCTTATGAAATAATTGATAAACCTAATTAGATAAAAATAAGAAATTTCTACATGGCATGAGCCACTATAAATAAAATAAGGCAAACAAAAAACAAGAGAAAATATTCTAGAGTCATAGATAAAACATTAATCTCCTTAAAATACAAAAGGTTCCCCAAATCAATACAATGTTAATAGCCTACTTTTTTAAATGCCTAAGGCTATGAATAATTGTCCCCAGTGAGGAAAAAAAGATGGTTCTTAAACATTTGGAAAAGACAGCCTTACTCAGAAAAGAAATGTTAATTAAACATGACCTGAAATGTCATTTTTTAACCTATCAGTTGTGCAATGGTCCGTAGGTTTGGCAACACACTGAACAAAAAAATGTGCAAGGTCACAGGCACTTTCGTACTCTGTCAGTGGAAGCGTTCATAGGTGTTGACCTCTGTGAAGGGCAATTTGACAATATCCAATTACAAATGTACAAATAGTATGTACATTACTGTTTGTACATTATGATACCTATTCAAGCTACAGTGTTAAGTGATAAAAGGAAATTGCAGGAAAGCATGTACACTATGAAACTTTCTATAAAAAGAAAAAGGAGGGGCGCCTGGGTGGCTTAGTCGGTTAAGCGTCCGACTTTCGCTTAGGTCATGATCTCGCGGTTCGTGGGTTCGAGCCCCGCGTCGGGCTCTGTGCTGACTGCCAGCTCAGAGCCTGGAGCCTGTTTCAGTCTGTGACTCCCTCTCTCTCTGACCCTTCCCTGCACACGCTGTCTCTCTCTCTCTCCTAGAAATAAATAAAAATATATAAAAAAAAAAAAAGAAAAAGAAAAAGGATACACACATACACAAGATATAAATATTGGCTTACAGTTTAATGGAATACTATGGCAAAGTTTAACCTCTGAATTTGAAGTCATGTGAATATATTACCTATTTAAAAAGCACATTATAAAATTTTTAAAATTCAAAAGACTCCAAGGTTTAGAACTAATAAGAGAGTTCTGTAAGGTTACAAAATACAGCATCAATAGTGTTCTATACACTAGCGGTAGCCAAGCTGAAACACAGTAAAAGAAAAATGACCCCCTTAATAATGACAGCAGCAACAACAAAAACCATAGGTGGTACCTATATATCGTGAATAAAACCACAAAAATGTTGAAGGATATTTTAAGGAAAGACATAAAGAGACACAGAGCTATACTATATTCATGGATGTTCAGATTTATGATCATAAAGATGTCAAATCCTATAAATTAATCAACAAATGTAATGTCATTCTCATCAAAATCCCAACAAAGCTTCTCATGACACTTTACAAGAAAAATGCAAAGATGTATGTGTTAAGTACAGAGGAACAATAGCTAAAATAGCTTTGAAGAAAAAGAAACAGAGATTAGAAAAAGGTATTGAACTAGCCCTACCACATACTGAGAGATATGGTAAATGCACAGTAATTTAAGACAGAATATCACTCCTGCAGAGACAGGAAAACGATGCCACTAGAAAAGAACAGAGAGCCTGGAAACAAACCCACATGTGTAGTAAAACTTGGTCTCCTTAGCTAGGTCTCTGAGGCTATTGTTCAAGTCTCAACAACAGCATTTTCACTTTCTACCAGCACTTCACTCGGGCACCTGGATAGGACCCACTTACGTATCATCATCATCCGATCTTGGTTGTTCCTCATCTGCTTCAATGCCAGGGGCCATTTCCACATTTCCCTCATCTTCTCTAGGAAGCCATTGTTTCAATGTTCCCACTGCTAAAGAAATAAGAGAGATTAAAGCATCCCAGCCTATATACCTGATGAGGGGTGTACCCAAATTCTGCACTGAATATCAACCATAAAGGTAAAACCTTTTAACCATTTCCATTAAATCGGAGACTATGACAGGTATGACAACTGACATCTCAATCACCACACGTTGCATGAAGGTGGAAGGCAACACAAGAAAAAGAAGTGAGAGGAATCAGGATCAGAGACGAAGAGACAAGGGGCACCTGCGTGACTCAGTCAGATGAGCGTCCAGCTCCTGATTTTGGCTCAGGTTGCGATCCCACAGTTGTGGGGTCCAGCCCCGTGTCCAGCTCTGCCCTGATAGCTCAGAGCCTGCATGGGATTCTCTCTCTCCCTCTCTCTCTGCCCCTCCCCCCTCCTCTCTCAAAATAAATAAATAAACTTAAGAAAAGAGAGAGAAATGAAAAGGCAAAATACTCCCACTTTGGGGATAGATGCTTTGATTGTATAGAAAATTTAAGAAAATCTTCTGTTGTAAAAACTTGAGATTTGCCAACCTTATTGGACCATGCTATTCTTCACTGTTTCAGTAAACTGAGTATACAACATGGAGTGAGGCTTAATCATTAACATCTGCAGTGGAAACCCAAAGCACTCACCCACATTTTTGGGAGTGGGGGTGAGGACGTGGATTTATTGTGGTTATTTAAAATGTGTTCTTTTTCTCTTGGGAAAAAGACCAGACTGAAGATAGTATTTCCTTTCTTTATAGAAAGCATCCCTCAACAACTCTAAGATTCCACTGATTATGAGACATATTATTATTTTACACACCAAAAGCAAAGACAATGTTCCTGATGAAATGACAAAATGTTTTATTAGCCCTTGGAGTTTATATTTTATAAATATAAACTATTACAGAACTTTTAGTCCTTTCTAAGCATACATTTTTAATCAGCCCTGTATATCCATAAAAAGGAAAATATCAGTTAAACAAATTGAATAACACATAATTAAAATTCCTCACATTCAGAATATTACTCCTCTGAATTATTTTTTTATATTATCAATCACAATTTTTGGATCCTGATTCAGAGATACCATAATAAAATGATTTATGAGACAATTAAGATATTCTGAATATCTTAAAACTCATTAATGTTTTTTAAATTATAAGAAGTACAAAACATAAATTTACCCTCTTAACAAATTGTAAGCGTACAGTACTGTTAACTATATGCACACTACCGTATAAGAAATTTCTAGAACGTTTTCATTTTGCATGACTGAAATTCTAAATAAGTCTCCATTCTCCCTCCCCTGGAAAGCACCATTCCACTTTGTTTCTAAGAGTTTGATTTCTCTAAATACCTCCTACAAGTGGGCTCATTCAGTGTTTATCTTTTTGTGTCCGGCTTATTTCACTTAGCATAATGTCCTCAAGTTTCACCCATGTTGTAGCATATGACACGATTTCTTTCTTTTTCATGGATGAATAATATTCTGTGATATGAATACACCCCATTCTCCTTATCCATTCATCCCCTGATGGACATTCAGGTTGCTCCCACATCTTGACTATCGTGAATACTGCTATGATGAACATGGATGTGCAAAAATATCTCTTTGTTTCTTTTGGACAGATACCCAGAAGTGGAGTTGCTGCATTATATGGAAGATCTAGTTTAAATTTTTTTAGGAACCTCCATATGCTTTCTATTACGGCTGTACTATTTTACAGTCTCACCAACAGTGCATAAGGGTTTGAATTCTTTCACATCCTCATCAACACTTATTTTCTGTTTGTTTTGCTAGCGGCCATCCTAATAGATGTGAAGTGATATCCCTGAACTTATTTGAATTTCCCTGATGATGAGTGATGTTGAGCATCTTTTCATATGCTTATCATTGATGTCTAGGTTTTTTTTCCTACAAAACCTCAACCTTGGTGCAATCAAGAGCAATGCTGAGACAGATTTTTTTAAAATCAAAAAAAAAAAAAAAAAGAGAGAGTTTACAAAAAAATTAAAAATGCTGGCTTCCTAACTTGGCATTAACACTATGTAACGCTGGCGTCCTTCTGACTCCCACTTTGGGAATTTTGTTATACATGTCTACATTAGTTAGCTTTTCCAGAATAAACCACTTAGTGGTTTAAAACTATAAGCATTTAGTTGGGTCACTATTCTGCTGTTAGGCAGCTTGGACCAGGCTTCGCTGGCTGGCTCTTCTGGTCTCGGTTGAGCCCACTCCCGCTGGAGGCCGGCTGGCCTACTGCGGCCTCTCCTGGGTGGCTTGTCTCTCTTTTCCACATGGTCCCTTTCTTTTCCAGCAGGCCAACTGGAGGCAGCTGAGAGACAGACGGGGCTCCAAAAAAAAAAAAAAAAGGGGAGCAGTTCCCTGAACACTCAGATTCAGCACAGCGCCACTTCTATTCCATCTTACCTGCCTCAGCAAATTACAGAGGCCGGTTGAGATTTAAGGGGAAAGGAAAAAAAGCCATTTAATGATGGAGAAGCTGCAAAGTCATATTGAAAAGGGCATGGATACAAGGAAGAGGGAAGGACTATGCTCATTTTGGGAACCTACGGCGACCTACCTCTCCCACATGTGCTCTGCAACCTTCTGGTTCCTGGGAGTCTAAACAGTGTTTCACATTAGTCTCCAGGGGTAAATCCCTGCCCACGGCTAACAAGTGGGAGAAGAAATCGTAACTTTTCTCCAAGGGTGAAACTAAAAACAAAGCGTGGCCTTTTTTTTTTCTTTTTGGTAAGCTATTCATGTACATACCTACAAGTAAAAGTTTCACCACACTGTAATTAAATATTTACCTATTTTTAATCAATGTGTTTCATCCCAAATCATAGCTTCTGTTGTTTCCTAAAGTGCATTATGAAATGAATGAACTGATTGGTACATCTCATCTATGGGGTTGTCTGGCTGATTACTGGCAGTCTGAATATTCCACTTGGTATGGGATTCATAGTTTTTGGTTTCCTGTTTCAGGAAGACAGTTTTAGCAGGCTTTTATTTTTTCTTTAACAAGAGAGAAGAAAGAATGAATATAGCTAACTATAGAAATGTAAATCAGCTGTTATCAGGATGTGCAACTATGATGTTACCAAGGCAACTATGTGGCCTGGAAATTTATACAAGAAACATGGAGGTTACCTTCCCACCAAGGATCCCCTTGGAGTGGTTAAACTATAAACAAAATTACTGACCTGAATTAATTATGCACAAGTAAAAAAAAAAAAAGTACTTGTCCTCATCTAAAGAGTGGAGCTTTTATTAGTAAGAGTCATTGAAAAGGATTTTTATAAAAATCTTGCTTTCTTAAACTTAAAATGAGGATAAATTAAACATGTAGTTGATAAAGTTTCATTTTTTTTTAATGGAATGCAGGGCTAGAAGCATGAAAACAATTTATTTTTAAGAAGTGGGAAGTTTAAGTTAAATACTGACGAAGGGTATATGAAAAATGCTTAAATGTATGACCAACAGCTGATCTTTACCAGCCTTTATAAACTGTGACTATTATACTGCAATCAAAGTTAGTAAAATTTACATACACACACAGAAAGTCTTCATGAAGATTCTATACAGCCGTAAGAATTATTTTTCACATTGTAATTTTCCTATCCAACTTGATGGCCATACAAATATTGGTGATTACATGCCCTTGCATAAAGTTGTACTAAAAATGTGCTGTGGTTTTATGTTCATTCATAAAGACGACAGCCACCTACTAAGTTCTAGGAACTAGGGATAGAGAGACAAAGCAGGGTGGTCATCAAGACAAAGCTCTCGTAAGCTTATGGTCTAGTGAGGAAGATGGTAAGACTAAGAAATTAAAGTGAACTTTAGTTTTATGATCAGAGAATTATTGTGTCTTGTGGGGTATTAAGCAGGGAAGCCAAACCTAGAAGCGTGCAAGGGAAACCTGCCTAGATGTTTTCTTAATCATTTAAAGCAGTGGGTCCCCAGCAGTGGGACCCGGGTTTTTCACAGCAAACATAAAAATGCAAATAAATTCATGACTGCATCGTTTTATGACGTGAATTTAAATGATAAATATACTGATGAAAGGTCAATATTGCATGCATTTAACAAATAATTTGAGCGTGAATGAATTTAAGTGTCAGACTGAATGAATATGAAATTGTCAGAAGCAGCTAAGGGAAAAGGCAGGGAAACAACAGACAAACTTGAGGACTTACTAGAACTTTTTGGACTAAAGAGAAGCTTATTAACATAGTTACAGAGCCTTCCACTCCCTCATGCAAAAGAGCACTTAAGATTCGACTTTATTGCAGACCCCTTTACAAAAAGCCCCGTTGGGTACTATCGGGAAAAGCAGGGGAGAGAGGGGGAACCACCTATGAAACATACAGAAGCTGTAGGAGGTTCATCAGAGGGAAATCCTACAGGAGGCATTATTCTGGCCAGAGAGGCAGGCATTCTAAACCAAGGCGGGGGGCAGGGCGGGGGGGGGGATATATGATGCTGGAGAAATGCAAGCAAACTTGGCACGATCTAAGGTGCTTAGAGGCCACAAAGAGACTGGATTTTATTCTGGGGGTAAGAGGGAATCTTGTACCGGATTTTAAGCTGAAAAGAGATTTGGTCTTTTTTTAGGAGGAGGATTATTTGGCAGGAGTGCAAGAGGTTGAGCTGAAGGAAGAAAAGATGACTAGGGACAGGAAGTCAAGAGGCCACCAGCCACCAGCAGTCAGAGGCAGAGCACAGCTGGGCAGGGAGGGGTGTCAGCACTCTGAGCAGACTGCAAAAGAAAACATCTGCACTCTGCTTTGAATGCACCTGTGGAGGCAAATTCCTATTTCCAACCCCACTTGATAGATCAATTGTTCATACGTGCCCAATGGAAAGCCATCCATGCAAAATTACAGGAAGTTCATTAATTAATTAATTAATTTGGTATGACAGACCAAAGGAAGAGTTTTATATGATTCTCTCCAAGAATCACAGGAGCAAATGCAGGAAGAGGCATCTTAGCCACCAAGTATGTCCCCACCTCAGTGTCTTGAAAGAGGAACACCATCCTTCCTACCTGGCCTGGGGACCCAGCCCTTGGCTTCCAGGCCAAACCAGATCAGCCCAAAGTTTCCTCCTTACTGCCTTCAGTCCCATCCTTAGGGACAGTGCTTTTACCCCAGCACAGAAGGGAAAGGAACAAACAAACAGGCAATTACATTGCTTTTAATTTGAAGGTACTGGAAAGGGAGTCTTGAAGGCAGTTTCTCCCTTTCTCCCTCCCTTTCCTCTTAAGTTTTAAGCAACAGTGTGTTGTGTCAACTGCTAGAAGTAGTTTAAGATCGAAGGATTTCGAAGGACTTTGTACACTCAGGGACTCTGGTCCCCTCTACTGCTCCTAGATTTTAGTCAACCCAGTTTTCTCAGGGCCCGACACAGACTTGTGTATCTGTATGTCCTTCCCACCTGATACCTTCGTTCTTCTGTACATTCTTGAAGTCTCATCTTTCACAAAGATTTCACAAAGTCTGTGAAGTTTAGGCTTTATAAACTGGCAGACTCACTCTTGGGTAGGAAGGTACGTATCTTAACATTATTCTCAAGGTTGCACATATTTTTGTATCACTCTTTATGTATTTATCAGCCTCTGTTCTATCTAGTTTGTTTCTATGCCTCCTTCATGCCTCGATCTCATGTCCCTGAAACACAGGGACCCTAACCTCGCACCTGTGCTGATGCACCTGCCTGCCTGTGGAGACCTTCTGTGTAGCAGTGCACACCTGAGCAAAGACCAAATCCCCCAGTGATACGAATCGCCTCAAATTTTTGAAAATGACAGCTGGCTTCCCATAAAGTAAACACAAACATAATCTTGCTAAAAATCAGAGGCAAAAAAACCCAAATCCTCCCCAAAGCCAAGAAATTATATTATGATGTATTTTCATTCCTATCAGAAAATAATTTGAGTCTGTTGAATAGCTGTCATAATAAACTGGCAGGTAGAGCTAAGCAATACCAGCTCATCATCTACAAAGCCACTTGCCCCACTTACTTATTTTCACCAGTTGTCAACAGATCACATTAATGAAAGTTACCCCACTCTTCTCGGAAGCTCAAATCTTTCGTTAGCAGCAGTTGAAACAGGCTTGGACACAGCAAATCAGCTTCTGAAAAGGCTGAGACCTTTACAGTTCTCTCTCTGGGCTGAAGGTATTTTTATCCCCTTTCTGCATTTGCAAGTCTCTGACAAAGTTCCTCAGGGGACTGGTTATGTTTTTAAAAATAAACTGCATACCCAGTTCTCCTTCGTTGGCAGAAAATGAGCTACTTGTTAGACGTGCTGCAGCCAAAGCATTCATTAAAGCTCCTGGCACTTCGTGCCGCCACTGTTTCCTATTTTCTGGAACGCCTCCGGTCACAATCCCTTGGCCACCTGAAGAGGAAACTGTGTTACTGAAAATAAAAACGCTTCTTCATTTGAGTTCTTATAAAATCACAGACTGTTAGAAGGTGACCTATTCCCACCCCTCATGTTACCAGCAAGAAAACGGAGGTACAGAAAAAGTTAGTGACTTATGACCCACAGCTGATGGATAAGAGAGTCACTATTTTTGCTTTGTAAACTAGCCACACGGGTGTATAAATTTCTGTTCTACTTGCTTATTTTAAATGAGGTTTTCCTTCTTATTGTCTCATTGGCCTCAGACAGATGAAATCGCAACCCTCTCTTGCAAGTTTGAGGACTTCAGTGTTTTGTAATGTTATAAATGTAAGTCAGTTCACACATTTATAAATGTCTGTGATATAGTTACATGTTTCAACTTAAAAAATGGGTAGGGGGCACCTGGGTGGCTCAGTCAGTTGAGCGTCCGACTTGGCTCAGGTCATGATCTCACGGTTCATGGGTTCGAGCCCCGCGTCGGGCTCTGTGCTGACAGCCAGCTCAGAGCCTGGAGCCTGCTTCAGATTCTGTGTCTCCCTCTCTCTCTGACCCCCCCTGCTCACACTGTCTCTCTCTCTCTCTCTCTCTCAGAAATAAATTCAAAAAATATTTTTAAAAAAACGGGTATAAAGTTTAGCTCTCTTCCAACTCTTATCAAGAGGAACATAGGAAATAAATAATAAAAATCTTCACCACCTGTAAAAATAACACCCAGAATTTGCTGTGAACGTCTCCTATGGAGAGACTATGATGGAAGCTCAAATGTAAATGAAGGAATTTAGGTTGGAAATATTGTCATATTCTAAACTCTCCTAACATTTAAATAGTACACTGGCTTACAGAGCAACTTTATATGTATTTTTGTACTGCTAACGCTAAACTTGGTGGGATAGCTATCATCTTAATTCAGATTTTGTTGTTGTTATTATTATTATTATTATTATTATTATTATTATTGAAAAAGACACGCCTCCAAGAAATTCCAAGGAAGTAACGGGCCTAGCATTGAAGGCAAGTCAAGCCACCTGTCCTTCCTTGGACAATCTCCCTCCCCACAAGGAAAGTGGGATTCTGGGTCTTTCCTCCTTTCTCTTCTCACGAACTGAAGTCATCAGTTGTCTAGCATAATTAGCAGGCAAGTTTCTCAGGAAGTGGGGGAGATACCAGAATAATGTCTTTGAAAGATATTTGATACCAAATGTACGGGGCATCTGGGTGGCTTAGTCGGTTAAGCGTCCGACTTTCGCTTAGGTCATGATCTCACGGTTCGTGGGTTCCAGCCCCGCGTCGGGCTCTGTGCTGACTGCCAGCTCGGAGCCTGGAGCCTATTTCAGAGTCTGTATCTCCCTCTCTCTCTGACCCTCCCCTGCTCACCCTGTCTCTCTCTCTCTCCTAGAAATAAATAAAAATATTTAAAAAAAAAAAGAAAGAAAGATATTTGATACCAAATGTATAGGAATTGCTCAAGCTGAGCCCCTGCAACAGAGCTGCATCTGAGGCTTTGTCTCCCCCTACTGGCAACTTACGCTGACTGACGGTAGATGGCCCCTCCCGCAGAGTGAAACGGGTGGAGATAATGTCCCCCGCTGCCATCATCTCCAGGAGAGTCTGAGGAGCTCGCGCATCCCACTGTCTCCTGTTCTCTGCAGCAGCACCAGTATCCTGAATGAACAACTCTGGGTGTGAGAAAATGACTCATTAAAAAGCAGCCAAAGTGCACTGAGTGTACCAAACTCAAACTGTTTTTGGTACACTCAAAAACAGAGAGATTACCACCTCATTCTAATACAGATTGTTAGTCTGAAATCTTGTGCCCAACCTCCCCCAGATTCCTATGTGGAAACCTAATGCCCAAAGTGATGATATTGGGAAGTGGGTTTGGGGGGGGGAGGAGTGTGATGAGGTCATGAGGGTGGAGACCTCATGAATGGGATTAGTGCTCTTATAAAAGAGACTCCGCAGAGCTCTTCACCCTTTCTGCTAAGTGAGGACATGGTGAAAACATGGCGATGGCCCTCACCAAACACCAACTCTGTCAGCACCAAGATCTGGGACTTTCCAGCTTCCAGAACTGTGAGAAATAAATGTTTGTTGTTTATAAGCCACCGAATTAATGGCATTTTTTATAGCAGCCCAAACAGATTAAGACATAGATATAACTTGCAAGACTGAAATTTTAAATGGGCTTCAAAGCTGCTTCATTTTTATTAGTAATATTTGATTGACTAGCCAATATATCTAAATGTTAGTAAATATTAGTGACAAGAATGGACAAATTCCTCCTTGGGGCACTTATGAGCATTTTACTTCAGTTTCCATGGAATTGGAATCAGTTCCATTATCTTAATTTAAAAATCTTTTTATTTATTACTATGTTTCATTATAGGAAATCTGAAAAACAGAGAAGTAGAAGAAAATAAAAGTTACCCATAATCTCACCACCTAGAGACTATTAAAAACTTAAAAATTTCCCCTTGAATATAGTTTGTGTTTTGAAACAAAAATGGGCCTCACACTGTGCATATTAACTTGCTCTTTTCAATGAGCAACATATCTTACACTCAGTTTATTAGCTACTCTTCTATGTGACCATTTTAAAGCAAATATGCTATTCTGTTTCCCGGATGTATTAGAATGTCTTTATAGCTGGATGTTTACTTTGCTAGAATTTTTTTTCACTATTATAAATAATACTATAATGAGATCATTGTAGCTAAGTGTTTGTCAACTTTCATGATTATTTACCTTAGATAAACTATAGAAGATCACAGTTCTAGGAGCTAGATTATTTGCTTTACCAAAGCTTTTCACTGCTAATGTGGAATCTATTACTAATTTGCTCATGATTGCTTTCCGTGTATTTTGAATAGTTAGTTCTTCCCTATCCAAAAAGAAAAACACCTGTACTTTTCTTTTTGTTGTCGTTGTTGTTAAGTTCTGGTTAGTTAATATACAATATAATATTAGTTTCAGGTATACAATATAGTGCTTCAACACTTCCATACATCACCCTGAGCTCCTCACAGCAAGTGCACTCCTTAATCCCTATCACCTATTTAACCCTTCCCCCACCCCCCTCCTCTCTGGTAACCATCAGTTTGTTCTCTATAGTTAAGAGTCTGTTTTTTGGTTTGCCTCTCCCTCCCTCTCTCTATTTTCCCAGTGCTCATTTGTTTCTTAAATTACACATATGAGTGAAATTATAGAATATTTGTCTTTCTCTGACTTATTTCACTTAGCATAATACTCTCTAGCTCCATCCATGTTGTTGCAAATGGCAAGATTTCATTCTTTTTGATGGCTGAGTAATATTCCATGGTGTGTGTGTGTGTGTGTGTGTGTGTGTGTGTGTGTGTGTGTGTGTATCACATCTTCTTTATTCATCAGTTGATGGACACTAGGGCTGTTTCCATAGTTTTGCTGTTATACAAAATGCTACTATAAATATTGGGGTTCATGTCTCTCTTTGAATTAGTATTTTTATATTCTTTGGGTAAATACCTAGTAGTGTAATTGGTGGGTCATAGGATAGTTCTATTTTTCATTTTTTGAGGAAACTCCATACTCTTTTCCAGAATGGCTGCACCAGTTTGCATTCCCACCAACAGTGCAAGATGGTTCCCCTTTCTCTCATCCTCGCCAGCATCTGTTGTTTCTTGTGTTGTTGATTTCAGCCATTCTGACAGGTGTGAGGTGACATCTCATTATCGTTTTGGTTTGCATTTCCCTGATGATCAGTGATGTTGAGCATCTTTGTTGGACATCTGTCTGTCTTCTTTGGGAAAATGTCTATTCATGTCTTCTGCCATTTTTTAATTGGATTATTCATTTTTGGGGTGTTGAGTTTTTTAAGTTCTTTGTATATTTCAGATACTATGTGCAAGTGACTTACCCTTTATCAGGTAGGTCATTTGAAAATATCTTCTCTATTCCATAGGTTTCCTTTTAGTTTCAATTGTTCTTTTACTTCATTTTCTAACATAGATCTTCATTTTTTACATATAAACTCTTTGGTTTTTAAAATTTTTATTCTTATTTTGTTTTGTCATTATATGTATTATATAGGGTCTGATTTCACAATGTTCTCCAAAATTTTTAACTAATTGGCCTAGTAACATTTATTTGATTGGGCCTTTTTTTCCCACTGACTTGTGATGTAACTTTCAGCATAGGCTAAGTTATTATCCATACTCAGATTTGTTTCTAAACTATTTCTTCTTTTCACTGTTTTATCTATTCTGATGCTAGTATCATACTGTTTCAATGACTATAACTTATAGAATATATTTTGACATTTGAAAGCATATGTGCCTCTTCACTGCTCTTCTTTTCTAAATTTCTCTACTTAAGAATCTCCAACCTCCTCCAAACTGCCAAGATGTTCTCGTCTTTTTGTGGTTTCGATTGAAACTGACAAAATTCCATATATTTATTTAGAAAAAATATTTTTAATATATAATAATGTTATTTCTCCCCATTTATTCAAGTGATCTCTAACTACCTCAGTAAGGTTTTATAATGTTCTTCACATGCTCTGCACAATCCTTATAAAGTTTATTCCTAAATTATATATGTACACACACACACACACACACACACTTGCTGTTGTAACTGGAAATGAGATCTGAAAACTAATTGAGAAAAATACTTGCAATACATATTAAAGGTAAAGCTTTAACTTAAAGAGTCTTATAAAGGGAAAAATAAATGCCATTTTCAGTGGATAAATGAATGAAAGATGAGAGCACATAATTCACAAGAGAAATATGGATGATCAAAACATATGGAAAACATGTTTCGATCTGAATTATAATTACAGGAATGAAGAGAAGTTTAAAGACCATTTTCTGTATCCAACTGAAATCTTTTTAATCTAAAAAACAAAAAAACAAAAAAGGCAGATTCGTCTTTTGAGACCTACAACTTATAGTCTCTTCTTCTTAGAAAACTTACACAATGCAAAGAATAACCTTGGAATCTGTCCCTTTCTCTGCAACTTTCACTCAGGCCACTAAGGGCTCCTGATGGCCACGCTTGTAGGCTCTTATTCAACCCACCTCACTTGGTCTTTCCGATTGATGCTTCCAACCCTGCACCTCCTTCCAGAACTTTCTCTCCTCCTTCGGCTTCACTCTCTCTGGGTTTTCTCCAAAACTTGTCTAAACATTGCTAGGGTCTGTCCTAAGCTCCATTTCCTCCTGACTCTAGTCCCTCTAAGTATTTTCGACCATCGCTAAGGTGATTATAATACCATGTGTATGCTCCGGAAACCCTGCCTCACCCCAGGGCTCCCATCTTCCACAGCTGGCAGCTGCTGAGTGTCTCCAGCTGAGGCTCATAAAGACCTAAACCTCAATATGTCCCAAATCTAGAGCGTTAAACTGTCCGCTCACCTCCTTCAGCGCGATGTGTGTGCCTATTTGGCTGGTGACAGCTTCATCCATCTGAATTAGAAAAAACTGGAAAGATCCTTGACCTCCCTCTCTTCCTCAACCGCCACACTCAGAGGTTCACACTTCAGTGTCTCTTGTCACCGCACCGCTCTGGCCCACGCACGTCTCATTTCCCACCTGGGCTATTTCTCTCCTGCCTGCAGGCCGGCCGCTCCACGCCACCCTTACGCTGCAGCCAGCCTGGTCTTTCTCTATCACAAATAGCATTTAATTCCCTTTGATGGAAGGTCATCACGCAGGTAAAGCCCCAGCCCCTTGGCATGTCAAGCTCTGTAGGAGCGGGGACTTCCCTGACTCTCCAGCCAGCTGGCGCTGTAGCAATGATTAGTATTTGGGCTCAGGAAACATGTTTCGTTCCTCCTCTCTTTGGCTCAGGATGCTACTGTGATGTCAAGGGCAGACTCCGCTTCCACGCGTCTCCGAGAGCCTGACCACCTCGCAATCTCTGCCCACGGAGATTCTCAGTAAGATGCCTGCTGAACTGAAGAAAGCTTTTTCCAGCTGGAGATGAGGTGAAGTGTATTATTCTAGGAAGAAGGCCCTGAGCCAAATGAGAGAAGAGGGGGTGCTCCAGGAGGCTGTATGGATTCCATCATCAGTGGCAGGGAAGAGGGGTGCTGGGGCAGGAAAGGTGGGTGAGCATGGGATCAGGCCCCACAGGGTTAAACAGGATACTATGTGGACTGGCCTATGAGGAATCCTGCAAGTATCATCCAAGAAAAGTTTAAGTAAAAGAATACTACAACAAGATAACTCTAGCCGCCATTTAGAGAATGAAGGGGGGAAATACTAGAGAAAAGGACACACGGGAGAATAGGGCAGTACATTGAGGCGTGGGAAAAGGACAAGTTAGAAATAGCATTTACGAAGCACCTACTATGTGCCAGGTACTTTATATATCAAGTTTCACTTTTGTCCTCACAATAAGGCTACACGGCAAGTACCATCATCCCTGTTCCTAGGAGGAAACTGAGGTTCGAACACTGTAGTCGCTTAGGAAAGGTCACACAGTCAGAAAGGGGCAGTGCCGGCCGTGACCCGAACCCCATGTAATCACTATCACGCCACACTGCTGAGAGACGACAGGGCCCCGCACCGGTGGCCGAGGGGATGAAGGAGGAGGAAAACTCCAGAGGCACCTCAGAGGAGAGCCCACCCGCCGTGTGTGGCAGGAGTGGTCAGCCTGCTGCTGGCAGTCGCCAAAATGAAGGATGTTCGAGAAGAAGAGCTCCAAAATTCAAGTGGACAATTGCCGAGTCTGAGAGACCAGTGGGACTTGTCCAACGAGCTTTCCAGCAGATGACGAGAACATGGCTGGAGTGGAGCTGCCGGCGGGGGGCAGCTGCCCAAGGAGACCGCACACGACAGGTGCAAAGGGCTGGGTCTCTGGGAGCAGAGGCACCAGGGCTCTGCCCAGCTAGTGACCATGGAGCCGGGCAGGTGACAGCAGAGTTGCAGGTGAGTGAGGAGAGGGACTGTGATGGCTTGCTAATAAAATGTTCTTTCTCCTCTATGGCTTTCAAGGGACACGACACTTACCTGCTTCTGGGCAACAGAGTTTTTCAAATGCTTCGTCTGTATAATCTTCATACTCCTGAAGCTCCATGCCGTCCTCAAGGGTCAAAGTTTCATTTCGCACATCTGTTGCCTGAAGCAATTCCACAGTGTTTCATGACAAATAAGCCATGTTTTGAGAAAAACGTATGTTAAAAAAATTTTTGTGTGTTCCAGTGACAACATTTACCAAGGGATGTGAGAGGTATTCAACAAATGTATATTAAATAAATAAACCAGTCGCATTTTAAAACTGGAACTATGGTGCAACAAGACAGAAACACGAATGTTTTTCTTTCTTCTCCTCCTTCTTTCTCAACACTGACTAGCGCCAATCGTAGGGCACCTTGATTTTATCCAGACTTCCTGCCTTCAATTCTATTCTCCTGCAGTTCCATTCTATAGAACTCTCAAGGTTTATCTTGTCCACGCCCTGCTTCAAGTGCACAATGCTCCCAATCAGGTCCCTAAAACTGCTTCTAATACTCCACAATCAACGCTAAAATCATCACTCCGTTTCAAGCACATCAAAGCATCGAGTAACAAAGGGTGAAGAAGCCTGACAGATAAAACTTTTTGACTCTATTCCTTTACACAACAGGCCAGCTCCGGCACCTGGCTTCACAGAAGTGCTGTGGATGTACCACTCTAACCCAGAAATATGTCCCCAGATCCGCCCCCTCTGGTCCTCACTGGACTGGGACACTAAGACACATAGTGTTTAAAGAGAGGTGAGACTTAATTATCACCACTCTAAGAAGTCTCTATTTGGCAAAAATGCTGATAAACATCTGAAAGGTACCGAGGATTCTGAGGGCAGGAAAACTACTCCGTATGGTACCGTAATGATGGATGTGTGACACTGTACGTCTGTCAAAAACCCATCGAATGTACAAAACCAAGAGTGAGCCCTAATGTGAACTAGGGACTTTGGGGGGGGTGGTTATCCAGGTTTATCAGGTATAACAAATGTCCCACCCCAGGGCAGTGACTGGGGAGGCTGTGCATGGGTAGGAACCAGGAATATCGGGGAAATCTCTGTACCTTCTGCTCATTTTTGCCATGAACCCGAAACTGCCCTAACACAGGAAGTCTATTCAAAACAAAAAAATCTGACAGCAATGATAACATTAAAAATGTTTTCAGCTAATGAAGAACATGAATGAAAGAAATTAAGTGTCAGAAGTGATACAGCACCTATATGTAAACACACGTAACTTCTGGTCATTTACAAGGCAAAGTTAGTGAAGGTGAAATGGGGACACGAATCAGTTGATTTTGATTTCTGTTAGCAGGTCTGGTCGAAAGCGGGATTAAAAAAGATGTTGAATACAAGTACTAAAATGAGGTGTGAGTTCACTGTATTCGTGCATTTATCGCTGCGTCAATGTGAGCCCAAGTGCATAAATGAGATTTATCCAAAGACCAGCAGAAACTTATCAATAACTAATTAAGACCCAAAATAAATGCACACGGTTTCAGGGTATCGGCTCAATATTTTAGGTGAGTATATTAGTTGCTGACTATAATTAAGTCTTCTATTTTAATTTGGCAAGGACAAATACTTAATATTATGAGAAAATAATTCCTTTATAAGAGAAAAGTACAGGGGCGCTGGGTGGCTCAGTCAGTTAAGCATCCGACTTCGGTTCAGGTCATGATCTCACAGTTCGTGGGTTCGGGCGAGCTCCGCATTAGGCTCTGTGCTGACAGCTAGCTCAGAGCCTGGAGCCTGTTTTGGATTCTGCGTCTCCCTCTCTCTCTAACTCTCCCCTGTTCACGCTGTCTCTCTCTCAGAAATAAATAAAACATTTTTAAAAATAAGAGAAAAGTACATTAGATTCAAATGATCCATCTAAGCGAAAAATCTCAATGAAAAAAAGAATGGGAAGATAAAAAGCCTTTTGGAAGACTCATCTGAACACCAGAGTTCCTTCCAGGAAGATTTAAGAACATTCTCCCTACGGCCTATTGAAAAATGTCATTAACTGTGCTACTGAGTTTTTTTCTCATACCTATTAATTAATGGAAACAAATACTTAGCGGCATACCTCTGCCTCTTGGAGGGTGTGTTCATCAGAAATACATTGGTTTAAACTAATTTCAAACTTCACTCCACCCTAGAAGAAAGCAAGGGAAATAATGTTAGTTGAGCAATCTAATAAAAATGTTAAAATTGCAATTCCTATTTGACATTACAGATACTGGAAAACATTGGATGAACATCACAAAATAAGGCAATTCCATAAAATAGTAGGGGTGAGAAGTCCTATAGGCAACCCAGATTGCAAGGTGTGGGCCCCCTCGCAACCTGTTTAATACGACGCTGCAGGACCAAATGTTTATTACCTTAGCTTTACAGTTTTGTGCTGGAATTTTACCTACCTTTATGGCCGGAGCTCTCATTTGTTTCAAGTCTCTTTCAATAACCTGCAAGTTTAGAGAAAAATTAAAATGTAGCATTTAATATTGATCAAACAATGATAGTTTCACAGCCCCTGAACTCACAGCATGGTCTGTTTACATTACTTGATTTCTGCTGGATTGAATCCCATGATTAATTTGAGCATAAAAACATGCCTCTGTAAAGGAAAGCTGATAACAATTCACTAGGAACTTGGACACAGCGTCCATTAACTTGAAATAGTAATACACTGGAGGCTGGCACTGCAATGGCGAAAATTCCATAACGCGACACTGCTTATCACTCTGGTGCACTACAACCTAATCTAACTCAGAAATGTCATTTTGGCTCCAGGATCCCTCCTTTAAGAGGCTTACAATTGTAATTGGAAAAACCCAAGAGCACTGCTCACATAGTAAAAAGGAAAGAGAAGGCTCTAAAAATTGCTGGGCAATTTTGAAGAAGAGAAGAAGAACGTGAAAGTAGATGACAAGAAGTCAAAGGACCAGGTGAGAGGTGAACTGCAAGTGCCGGGCTTTCTCAGGTGCATTCTGGGGACCCTCTGCGCCTCTCTTCCTCAGTGCAGGGTGTCAGCAGTTCCTATGGATTTAAGGGCCACCCTTATGCAAGGGCCCTGAAATGTTACCTCCAGGGACGCTCTTTTCTCCCCTCTGAGCTGCAGGCTCGCCTACTCAGCTACCTACTTAGCATCATCTTCACCTTGACGCTCATTCCACACATTCATACGGAGCGCCCACCACGGGCCGGACACCGGCCTACACAATGGGTTAGTGCAGTGAATGTGGTCAAAGATCCCTGCTGACGTGGCACTTCCATTTTACTGGAATAACACAGGTAATAAATGAGTTAACTTAGTAACATAATTGCAGAAAGTGCTGTGCTATGAAGGAAATAAAACAGGGCGATAGCACAGAAAATGAGAAGAGCTGGAGAGTAATGCAGGAAAAGCCCGTCCCGGCATATGATGGAAGCCTGGAATGATGTGGCACCTTGCGTATGTGAAGGTCCGGGGACAGCATGCTCCATGTGCAGGGAGCCCTGAAGCAGGCATGGAGTCCCTCAGATTTTCTCCCACTCGGTATGTCCAGAGAGGAACCCCCCACCACAAGCTTGCTCCCCCCTCTTCCCCGCCTTAGTAAATGGTATTACCCCTTGTAAGTCAGAAACACAGGAGTCTTTTTTAAAGGGGGGGGGGGTTAATGCTCTCTTCTCTCCACCATGTAACATGAGGTCTCTATCACCTCTCTCTTAGAATTCATTCGTCTGTAGGCACACGGCATACAGCGTGTGTTAGTTTGAATCATTAATACCTGCTTTCCCTGCAGCCCTGGGAAGGGCCTGTCTCTGCCTTGCAATATTATGAACTCTGAAACAGGACTGTGACTTTTGTATCTTACTGATTTTGTGAAGTTGCCTGTCTAGATTTGATTGTGGGGTCTGGTTGTCTCGATTGTACAAGTGTCCTATTGCTTTACTTTCCTTAAAATACAACCGTCTCAGACTCCCGAGCCCCATTCCCCTGACATCATGTCGCAGAAGGTTCCAGGGCAAAACTCCCCAGGGCACCTTTCAGCCTTCACCCAACACTGGCCCCCCCTCACTCACCCTTAACCAAGCCCTCATAGCACCTTGAAGATAAAGGTGAAAGACCTCCCAGAAGGAAAAAAATAAACCTTGAGAGCCATTTGATAATTCATCTCTGCCCAGTTCTCTCCTCCCACCAAAAACATAAGGTTGAAGTGGAGATTTGTGCCCAAGGTATCTGAGACACTGATTCGAACACCCTTCAGAAAGCTGAACTCTTATACACACACCAGAATTCTTCTCAAAGGTGGCTGCACACTAAATCACTCAGCCAGCTTCTGAAAAAAGGATGCTTGAGCCCTACCCCAGACCACCTGGGGGTAGAGCCTAGGCATTTGAGTTTTTACGAACTTCCACACATAGCTCTCCTGCACGGTGAGGGGTAAGAACTTTCCGACTAGAGGGGCACCTGGGAGGCTCAGTCCATTGAGCACTGACTTTTGGTTTTGGCTCAGTTCATGATCTCATGGTTCACGGGTTAGGGCTCTGCACTGGGGCCTGGAGCCTGCTTCAGATTCTGTGTCTCCATCTGTCTCTGCCCCTCCCTCACTCGTGCTCTTTCTCTCTCTCTCTCAAAAAAAAAAAAGACCGCCCAGGCTAGAGCCACCTCACTAGGAAACACATTACCACCTACTAATAACCATCACCTGTACAGGAGCTTCTTCCTCAGGTGCCTGCTGGTGGATGGGCAGGTCACTTTTCTTCACTAAATAGGTCTTAAGACTTATTTTTGAGTCCTCCTAAAAGTACAAATTACACACAGTCAACAGGAGTGGTTCCCTGTCAGTTCTAAGGTCTGAGTTGGCGCCGCGGCCAGTTTGATGGGGATCTAGTAAGGAAACGCTCCCCTCCCACTGCGCAGGCGCCATCAGTGGGTGTGACTGCACAGCGCCCTCTTCCCGGCTCCTTCCCCCTGTGGCCACCTCGGCTTCCCCGTTAACATGTTCCCCACAAGCATCTTTCCTGGTCTTCCAAGAAAAGTCTGCTCTGTATCTTCCTAGACTCAGGTTTCCCATCACAGACCTGACTTAAAAACGAGGTGGATGATGACTCAAAACTCCCCACCGTTAACCAAGCCTCTGGTCTGGAAAGAACCATTTCCAGCCTTCCCTGCTCCAGACCCCCAGTCCTGGGTGAACCTCTGCGTGGTTCCCGCAGCACGCCCTCCCCCTCAGCTCTGCCTCTGCTCCTCTTCTCAGAGCAGGTTAGACCCCACCTCCCATCTTCCATGAAAACTCTCACCGGGCTCATCCTTACTCCTGTGCACAGAGCGTAACTATACTCAGTCTTACGATCATTGCTCATACATGCCGTAGCTTTCCAACTCTTTTGAGGAGAAGTACACATGTTAGAAAGAGTAGAGGTTTCCAAATCAGGTATTTAGTCTGCCTGATAATATCGAAGTGACTTTGGATGAGTTACTTAACTTCTCTATTATGGGGAGTAAAATGAGATAAAATGTGTGGAGACTCTGGTTCAGAGCCTGGTACGTGTAATTGAATTGTACCATATGCTCACTTCACTTATATTAATAAATCTATATGCACTCAGGGCTGGGGGAGAGGGAAAAAGAAACCAAGCCCAGCAGTGTGGCCAATTCCACACTTGAGTGTGAGCTGGGGGCCAGCTGTGTCCTCACCGGCCTCAGAACCACAGGCCTCTCACAGGAAGAGCATTCCAGGGCAGTGAGGGTGGTTCAACGGTTAAACATTCGTGTGGTTTTCATGCAACGATGGTCTACAAACACAGCCCAGCTAGCTCATCTGGAGCTCTACCGAAAAAGCCGTGCTCTGAGAGATGGAAGAATGAGTTTCCAAAGTGGCTCCTTTAAGAAATTTTCAAGAATCATCTGGACTGTGCTCAAATGTGGCCTGACACAGACTTTCAAACCTTACCCGTGCATCTGAGGCTATGCCAGCATTGCCAAATTCAGTAAATGTTCATCTTTTGTCCTACCTTACAGGCTTGGACTTACTTTCTGCTTCTAACCTAGTTCTGGTGTGAAGTAACTACTCAGTCAATAAGTACTGAACTGATTCATGAGGAAGACAATGAACAAGTATTTTTAATAATAGCCATTCCTAACGGAGAATCTCAGAGACCCTCACCATCGTGGGTAGTCTCAAGTAAACCATAATAAAAAAAAGCTTCGACTGAATCTGTTGGCTTTCCTATTAGAAGGGTGCATGATAACATTTTATAACTTCTGTGAGGAGAACACTACTTTTGAATCCCTGCTCAATTTAGGTAGGTCTAAATCAGTAGTACCACGTCTCCTTCAAGAAACAAATGTATTCGGGGCACCTGGGTGGTCAGTCGGTTGAGCATCCGACTTTGGCTCAGGTCATGATCTCACAGTTCGTGGGTTCAAGCCCCACATCGGGCTCTGTGCCGACAGCTCAGAGCCTGTAGCCTGTCTTCGGATTCTGTGTCTCCCTCTTTCTCTGACCCTCCCCTGCTCATGCTGTCTCTCTCTCTCTCTCTCAAAAATACATAAAACATTAAAAAAATTTAAAAAAAGAAAGAAACAAATGTATTCACCTCCAGTTCACTCCCCATCTTCTTTCTAATTTCCTTCACGTCATTGTGGTACTGTTGGCGTATTTCCTCCAGCTGCTTCAAGTATTCCTGGAAAGCAATCCCCAGTCAAAAAGTTTGAATGTTGGTGAACCATGGAACAAAGTAATCTCTGTACAGCCTACGAATTTAAAGAATGTGTGATAAACAGAAAGAATCAGAAAACCCATTGTTCCTAAACATGATGATCTGCCTACGTCCTGGCTGTGATGCTCCCCTCCCTGTGACTTCGATAGGGTGGCTGGGGGTGCTGTCACCTTGATAGATAACCTTAAATGCACTCAGGACATACCATCACTTTATATATCCCACTTTTATGGATTGAGTTTTATCCCCCTAGAAAAGATATTTTGGAACCCTAACCTCCAGTACGTCAGAATGTGACCTTATTCGGAGATAGCGTCACTGCAGAGGCAGCTAGTTAAGCTCAGATGTGGCCATCCTGGAGTAGAGCGGACACCCAATCTAACATGATGGGGGTGCTTTTAAGAAGAAAGCCACGTGAAGGCAGAGACACAGAGAGAAAGCCATGTGAACACGGCAGAGAATGGAGTCGTGCAGCTGCAAGCCAAGAATGTCAAAGACATCTGACAAGCCACCAGAAGTGGGCAGCAGGCAAAGGATTCCCCTCCAGTCTTCAGAGGGACCATGGCCCCGCTGCCACCTTGACTTTGGACTTCCAGCCTCCAGAACTGGGAGACAATCCATGTCTGTTGCTTTAAACTATCCAGTCTGTTGTACTTTGTGAAGGCAGCCCTAGGAAACGAATACAGATTTCAAAAATGTCAATGATGGACGGTTACTTTATCCATCCAAGGTGAAAAGCCTGATGAGCTTCACCACATCGCATTCTCTGAGGAGGTGAGATATGTATCTCCGTATCCCCTCAGACTCCCTGCATGAAGGTTCCCACGAGTGTGTCTATCAGGTACTGTGCAAGAGAGCTCTGTCTCTCAGGTGTACTGGGGACGCTAAAAGTAGTATACAAGTAGCACAAAAGACAATGGCAAGTACAGTGGGAGCTCTGGAATCAGACTGCGTTCAACCTGTTCCTTCGTTTTGTTTCTCCTGATCTGCAGCTCCTGGAATCTACACTCTTCTCCATTACTTCGTAGCTTTTGTCTCTGGTTGTGATTTGGCTCCACAGAAGATGGACGAAGACCCTATGAATCAAATGAAATAATTTATAAGCATATTTGCATTTTAGAAGCATCCTCTTGACCTTTGACCTTTTTCTTTAAACAAGAGGCATATCCTGAATCACACTCACTATTTGGGAGTGAGCGGTAGGATTTTCTTAATTTGAATATGAAATACTTAAAAAGTAAAGACAATTAATAAAATCACTTGTGCTGTTTATCCCAAACAATCGCTATTTTATGCTACCACGTGAGACACCTAGATTCATTTTCTGCACTGGTAAACTATAATTGTGAAATTAAAGTTCTGTAAAAGTTGAGCCATCCCTGGAGCATCAGGTTAGGTAGTGGCATAGAACTAGAGCTTTTGAGTATTTCAAAGTAAGAGTAATAGAAATAGAATGCATATCCGGCTTCCTTCCATTCCAGAACTCTGACACTAAAGAATAAAGGTTAAACTTTAAAAAGCTAACTTTCATTTCAAATAAAATACAATAGTCACTTTTTAAAAGTGGGTAGTATTCTAGTAAAATAGAATCAAATAACTGTAGCACTGAAAGGGACCTCGAAGCTCATCTACTCCCAAACTGTCATTTATAAAAGGGAAACGAGGCTCAGAGAGGTTGTATAACCTGCCTAAGGTCACACAGCAAGGGATAGAGACAGTAAAGAAACCAGGCCTCCCGGACTCTGATTCAAGCCTATTCCCATTATTCTTCTTAAGCTATTAAGGGGTGCCTGGTTGGCTCAGTCAGTTGAGCATCCAACTCTTGATTTCAGCTCAGATCATGATCCCAGGGTCATGGGATCGAGTCCCATGTCGGGCTCCGTGCTGAGCACGGTGTCTGCTTAAGATTCTCTTTCTCTCTCCCTCTGACCCTGTCCCCTGCTCATACACTCCCTCTCTCTAAAATAAAAAAATACAATAAAAAAATTAAAACTGGAGAAGGTGGAGAGTAGTCTCGATCTTCTATGCAGAATGCACTTGGACTTAAGGACCCATCAAGGTCTTGATTGCCTCTGATAATTGGTATTTTACTTACCAGCTGCTTTTCCACTTTCAGCTTATATTGTTGGGCTTCAAATTTCCTCTGAAGGTATTCAGCAGGCCTTAGAAAATAAAAATGTTCAGCTTGAGTAGAAACTTTCACTAGTCTTAGGTACCAATCTGAGAAGTGGATTTTCAATTTAGGAATGTGAGTCACAGTTCACCCGTGGCTTGAAGTTTTGAGTTTAAGAAGTGGTTCAAAGTTACAGAGTGTATACTGTGGACTCAGGAAGAAAAGGAAACAGGGCGCCTGGGTGGCTTAGTCGGTTAAGCGTCCGACTTTCGCTTAGGTCACGATCTCGCGGTTCGTGGGTTCGGGCCCCACGTCGGGCTCTGTGCTGACTGCCAGCTCAGAGCCTGGAGCCTGTTTCAGTCTGTGACTCCCTCTCTCTCTGACCCTCCCCTGCTCACGCTGTCTCTCTCTCTCTCCTAGAAATAAATAAAACATTAAAAAAAAAATTTAAAAAAAAAAAAAAAAAAAAAGAAAAGGAAACAAAGAGAACTGTACCAACTGTACAGGAGAGGATACGACAGAAAAATATTCTGATGCCGTAATTTTTCTTCACAAAAGGATCAGTCCCTCCATGGTCTACAGTATGTTGGAGGGAAAAAGAAAAATCCATACCAGCGTATTCTCGCGCTTTGGGCAGGCATCTGACTGATAGCCTTGAGCCCCTGACTGGACTGCCAATTGCTTGTCCATTTCTTGTACTATGCCCTGAGCTCCATGACACTATAGCTGTGTGCCATTCCTTTACCTCTAGTCTTCATGCTGGCGCATAAACGAAAGCTCCCAAGAAAATACATGCCGAATTTTCAATATGTCTTTTTAATATGTCTCAAATGATAATCTGATTACAATTCAATTGTTGTCAATATTAACAATTTCCTTGGAAGATAACATGCATACAACTATTTTTTATCACTCCCAGATGGTGGAATTTACTAGAAGAAAAAACATTAGAAATTCGGGAGTATGAGTTTCTGCTCATGGTTCAAAGGCTCCATGAAAAAGAAGACAAGCTACATTAGATTCAGGATGAGAAAGGGCAAAAGGAACTATACGAGTCAAGTATTCAAGATGAAGAGTTTGGAAGTTCTTCTTATTTGTTTTAGGAAAATTTGAAAGGGCTTCAGAATAAATGTTGATATACCAAGATAGTTTCAGAGGACCAACGCTTAAGTTAGACTCTGACATTACCATTGACCTGGTGATGGACTGTGGCTTTCTTCCTGTTTATAGTTCTCCTCTACTCCAGAATCTTTTGAAGGAACACAGTGGTAACCTGGTTCATGAGCTCTCTTCCTCAACACGTCAAGTTGGGCATAATAATAATCGTAATGCCCACAGAGTGCAGCAAATTTGGGCCTTTCTACCATTTTTATCTGAAGGATCAAAAAGAAGAGGAAAGATTTTGAAGACACATAATTAAAATCTATACTACTTGACAGTTTCATAGTGACCATAGTTAAGACAAGGCACTAAAGGTATGTTTTTGTTGTTTTTGCTCTAGTCTAGTTTTCAGAGGAAAATCATCTTAGAATCCCCAAATCCTGGAACTGGAAAATACTTTAGAAGTCTGAGCGCTGTAGCACAGTAGTTTGTCATTTTATTGAGGTGTGAATAGGAATCCTGCACACTTCATGGTTGGTCTACCAAAAATACTTAGCTAGTGAGTATGCCTGGTCAACCCAAGATCTGAAACTAAACTCAGCATTATTATTTTCTATTTTTATAAACTTACTTATAAAAAAAAATTACTTACATCTTGCTGTACTTTATGGGAGAATAAATGGTATTGTGCCACTCACAAATGTGGAGATTCACAACATTTTTAGGTTCTGATAAATTGACTAAATACACAATGTCATCACGACTTGAAGGAAAATGCTGAGTCAGTCAGTCCTTCCTCCCAAGTAAACACAAGGAAAGTCATGTAACAGCTGCAACAGGCTATCATCACCCCAAGCTACACCTCACCGCCCTTCCCAACCAAAACAGAATGATAGAAGGCGAACCAGAAACAAATGTTGGTCTTGGAGTTAAGGAAAGGCCACCGAGCTTAAGACAAGAACCAGGCCAAATTAACACGTGAAAACCGGTCAGGACCCTGCTGCTAAATAGCAAACTAAGGTCAATTTAATATTAATCAGGACAACTCTGCCTACTTAACAGATGATAACAAAAGAGAAAAAGAAGTTCAAACCATTGGGAAGGCCTAGAACTGGTAGCTGGAAATATAAATAACCAAACGAATGGTTTAAGCTGAAATTTCCTCTCTGTGAAGAAGTAACACACTATCTTCTCTGTTCTTTTTAATGCTGTGTGGTTCATATATATGTTAATTGAACCATATGGAATTGTAGATATTGGACCATTTTTAACTTACAAAAAATGGCAGCTTCAAATAGTTTTATTGAAATATTAAAGTAAGTATATAAAATTTGGTTTATTAGTCTAAACATAAATTATATATTTATTTTAAAAATCTTTTAAAATGTGACGTATGCTTCTTAGTGTTGCAATTTTACCTATATAGAACCCAAAACAAGGTATTACTAATTACTTGTTGAAAAATGTCTAGAAATAGAGAAAAGTATTGGAAGGAAATTAACAGCTTCTTTAGGGTTTTCTCTAAAATCCCAAATGTCAGTGAAAGCACCACAGGTGGAGATCCACTCATTGCACTGCATTAGCAGAAACCTTCAACGGATTAGAAAAATTTGTTCTCCTAACTTAATCCATCCTTGAATCTTGTTTTTTCTCTCCTAGGAGTCTGCTACAGAGTATTCTAAATAACATACTTTTAATTTTCTTTTTTAAAGTTTATTTATTTATTTTTGTAGTAATCTCCACACCCAATGTAGGACTTGAAGTCATGACCGCAAGATCAAGAGTCTCATGTTTATCCAACTGAGCCAGCCAGGCGCCCTGACTTTTAAATTTCTTTAATAAAGTTAAACCACAGTCTGTCAAGTGAAGAGCAGTAATTTAACAAATAGTTTCCAAATCTATCTATACAACACCACCACATTTTCTGAAATGTCTATATAGCAAGTAAGCACTTAGTAAACGTATTTCCAAATGGTCCTTTAAAAATACAGTTCTTCAGACTAAAAGACAATAGCCATTTTATCATTTATATACCAGAAGCATTTCACCAGCATCAACTATGAGATTCAATGTTCTGCTGATGTGGGATTCAGATAACTAAGCATAATCTCTAGGGGAAAAAACAAATCATTGATTATGTAATAAAACTTTCTCAATTATATATAACATGTTAGAATTAAGAGAATGAAATGCATAATGTTTGGGGCTCCCGGGTGGCTCAGTCAGTTTTGCATCTGACTCTTGATCTCAGGTCAAGTCTTGATCTCAGGGTCATGAGCTCAAGCCCTGCCCTGGGCCCCACTCTAGGCATGGAGCCTACTTTACAACAACAACAAAAAAAGTGGCATAATGCGGCTCTCCTCACTTGTTCTATATAGAAAAACATTGTTTCTTTCAACAAATTAAAGATTTCTGAGTCATAAAAGGAAAACTAAAACTAGCACATAGAATACTTATGAGAAATCATAGTATTGTTTTTAAAAATATAGTAACTAGAAGTTATCCGATGAAATACCACTTGAATGATCATTACAGAATGATTTTACTAAAAGTACAAAATAAGGAGACTCCAAAGTAATGAGCTTGTACTTCATGAAAATGTGCAAGTAGATCTGTAGAACACGCCACCTGCGTTATAACAAAAGAGAGAAAGGGTCTAGTACAACTTACGGCTATGGGATTCTGGGCTCCAGCTGGTCGTCTCCATTCATTTCTATATAGTATCTCCTTCTTTTTAATTGGCACCGATATCCTTGATCTTGGTAGGCACTTTCCCTGGAATCTCACTTTCTGTATTTTAGAATCTTATTTAACCAAAATAAAACAACTTCAATTTCTTTAAAATGTTCGCACTTGAATATCGATGCTTGTAAGAGTAGAAACATATGGGACATATCATAAAACAGTAAGCTGACTTTAGCCAGAGATATTTAGACCCAGTGGGAGAAGTGCTGATGGAAAACTACCTTGCATTTAAAAAAACAAAAAGTGCTTATTTACTTATTTTGAGAGAGAGCGACAGAGAAAGGGAGAGAGGATCCTAAGCCTGCTTAGGTGCTGTCAGTGCAGAGCCCGACACGGGGCTCGATCCCACGAACTAACTGTGAGATCATGACCTGAGCCGAGATTAAGAGTTGGACGCTTAACCGACTGAGCCACACAGGCGCCCCATACCATGCATTTTGTTTGAACCGATAAAATTCTATCCGGGGTTCCTTCACATGTTTCTAGTAATATATATCACTACTTTTTAAAAACTTAGCGATTCATGCTAACACTTACAGAAACAGTATGCATCAGATATGTCCAAGTAATACTCAGATGTCCAAGTAATTACACGCTGTCATCACAGCGTGGGTTACAGGCCACGCCTCTCAGGCCACATTGCTGTTTGCAGCACATGAGCAGGTTTCTAACGTGTCTGTGTTTGTCACCATCAGGCTTTTTCCCTGTTTTCCTTTCTTCCTTGTATTAGAAATGAGGACAGTGCGCTTTCTCTCCCCCTCCACTTACCTACTTTTGAAATGTCAATCTAGGCCCACATAGAACAACACTAGACCAAATTACACATGGCAGAGGGACTCATTCACCCTTCTTCCCTCAACAATCTTCCTCAAGTTCAGCTTCTCTATCCCAGTAGATAGATTTCCCTGTCACGGACTCCTTGGGGAGATGTTCGACTCCTCCTCAAGTCTATGTTGCTCTTATTTCACAACATCAATGGCATTAGTAATTTCATCTTCTTTAATGTCTGTCTGTCTCTCTCTCACACAAGCACACGCACACAGAGCACATCATCAGCTGACTCCTGAAACCACCACTAAAATTGTTTTTCTATTGATCATTACTGTAAAGTATCATCTGCTTCTTTCAGGGGTCAAATATTAATGATCACACTGTTACCCAATTATGTCTGAGATACTAACTTCAGCTCCATGGGGCCTTTGCAAGAGAATTCTGAATCGCCAGTCCGCCCTCTCTGTTTTTAAAAATTAAGCTTCATCTCATCATCCCAGGTCTGTCTGTGAATCCTATGCAAAAGTTAGGTTAGGAGTCTTCTTTTTTTTTTTTTTTTTACGTTTATTATTTATTTTGAGAGAGTGTGCGCACATACACATGCTGGGGAGGGACAGAGAGAAGGAGAGACAGAATCTCAAGCAGGCTCCACACCATCAGCGCAGAGCCCAATGTGGGGCTCTAACTCACAAACTGAGATCATGACCTGAGCCAAGATCAAGAGTCAGATGCTTAACTGACTGCACTGCCCAAGCACCCCAGGATTCTACCTCTTCAAGGGCCTCTTTATTCATAAATCCACTGCTTCCTGAAGTTTCCTAACTAAAGAGAAGAGAGGACATGAGTCCCCCAGATCAGGCATGAGCTAGATATACAGGCACAACAAGATGGTTTTTTTCCTGCTTACACTGCTCATATTTTTTAAACATCCACGTTGGGTGTATTTGGTGGAATTTCCATGCTAATGTTGCCAGCCATATAATATAAGCCACTGTGTGAGACACACGTAAGAAATGTGTTTTGATCACATGATCAAATGCATTCTTACCTTGGATCCCCTTCCCTGAAGGTTGAGAAGCCAATGATCTTGCTTTACGGGTGTTGCTGTGATTGAATTCCTCCTGAATGACCTAAGATGCAATACATGTGTCACGGACCTGCTCACCAAAATCTCTGTCAAAATCCACACAGAATCACCTCAAAGCTCACCTCAGGGGTCACGTATTTGGCAAGAAGATTCTCTAAAAAGGGTCTTTTCAAAACGGAATTAATAGATGGCCGATCTCGGGGAGATACTTCGAAGAGCTGAGATACCAAGGCATGCAGGTCACGGGAAAACCTTGGGGATATTGGGGCAAAACGTGCCTGGCAAATCTTCAGAACCAGCTGGTGTAAGCTGTTTGCCTCAAACTAGAAGGACAAGGAAGAATGACACTAAATCAGAGAAGAATTCAGGACTAGCATGTAAAGTAATAACAAGAAACAAAACCATTTCCAGCTGGTGCCGGTTCCAGCACGGGCGGGCACGCTGCAGGGACACGCGCTCACACTCGGGGCGGGGCCTTTACCTGTCGCCTTCAGATTCCCGCCCCCCCAGAACTGGGGGTGCCGGAAGGGACCACCCTTCCCTCTTCCGGCTGAGGGAGTCCTTGTGAAAGCAGACCCTTTGCCTTTACCCAATCCGGATTTTTTAAATCAAAGTGGAATTTGAATCTCAAAAAATAAAAACAACCCCACACAAGAACACAAAACAATGTTTTAAAGCTCCATTTGGAAACACTATGGTCCGCCCTAAATTGTTTTCATCAACTAATACTTGATGAGTGGATATTATATGTAGTTACCCCATGTGATGTCATGTTATATAAAACAAGGGTTTTTTTTGTTTGTTTTAATTCTTACTATCAAACTAATACTTATTCATTCTAAAAAACTAGAAGGTATAGGAAGCTACGCACAGGGCAAATACACATAATTTTCCCAGCCAGCGGTATATTTCCTTCTAGTCTTTTTTAAAATGATGTTCACTAGGGCACCTGGCTGGCTCAGTGGGTAGAGCATGAGACTCTTGATCTTGGGGCTGTGAGTTCAAGCCCCACGTTGGGCACAGAGCTTACATTTATAAAAAAGAAAAGAAAAAAGTAAAATAATGTTAACAGAGTTGAGGTCATAATAACATGAAATTTTACATCTTGTTTTCTAAATTAATATGACATAAACATTTTCCTAAAAATTCTTCATAAGCCAGAAAACCTCCCATTGTGTGAAGCCATTGGTTATTTACACATAACAATAATGCTGAGCGGCCGGGGGGTGGCAGTAAAGATGCGGTTTTGATCAGGCCCTTATTAGCTGTGTGGCCACTGACCATCATAGTCATAATTAATAATAACAATAACAGCCGTGCATTATCAAAAAGTTAATGTGTGTATATGTGTATTATGTAAAAGAGTTAACACAGCACCTTTAAGACTGCTCTCCTTAGAAGGGCCAACTGACTGTGTTGGCCCTTGGCTGGCATCTGGGGACTCACAGCTCAGGGGAGTCACCACCACTCTCTAAATGTTCAGAGTGGCTCTCTTCGCCGACACCATTTGTGCAAACAGTATGGTTTGTACTGAACAGCGGCCTTCTCCCTGGCAGTCTGGAAGCTTGCTTTATGCCAGGTACAAGGTGCCTACATGACCAGTCCCGCATAAAACCCTGGGCACTGGGTCTCTAAAGAGCTTCTCTGGTTGATAACATGTCACACGTGCTGTCACAACTGATTGCTGGAGAAATTAGCGTGTCCTGTGTGACTCCATTGGAAGAGGCTCTTGGAAGCTTGTGCCTGGTTTCCTACAGACTTTACCCCATCCACCTTTCCCCTTGGCTGATCATGTATGTTCACACGCAATGTATTTATTTTTTTTTTTGACAATTAATTTTTAAGTTGATTTATTTTGAGAGAGAGAGAGAGCAAGTGAGCAGGGGAGGGGCAGAGAGAGGGAGAGGGAGAACCCCAAGCAGACTCCTTGCTGCCAGCACAGAGCCCTATGTGGGGCTCAAATCACAAACCGTGAGATCATGACCTGAGCTGAAATCAAGAGTCAGATGCTTAACCAAATGAGCCACCCAGGCGCCCCTCACACAATTTATTTTTAATGCAAATATGCGATGTATACTATTCTCTAACCTGGATTTTTTACTTTATAAGTTGAATATCTTTCCATGTCAGTATATATAGATCGATCATTCATCTTAATAGCTTGTCCATATAATTTTTAATAATCTAATAACTCCAAATATTAACCTTTTTCCTCTCAAAAGTTAATTTCACTCACATAGTTTCCATAATTCAAGATTAAATTGACAATTAACACACTTACCGGACGCTCGAGTGTGCAAAGCTCATATAAGACACAGCCAAGAGACCAAATATCCCTGGGGAAGATAAGAGTTCACATCCCAAGAAATATCCATAATTTTCAATTAAAGGCTTTATCCTCACAGTGCTTTGGATTTGTGTATCTTTACAGGTTGACCATTTTTTTAAAATTTTTTTATGTTTATTTATTATTGAGACAGAGAGAAACAGAGCATGAGTGGGGGGAGGGACAGAGAGAGAGGGAGACACAGACTCTGAAGCAGGCTCCAGGCTCTGAGCTGTCAGCACAGAGCCTGATGCGGGGCTCGAACCCACAAACTGTGAGATCATGACCTAAGCCAAAGTCAGATGCTTAACTGACTGAGCCACCCAGGCACCCTGAGGTTGACCAGTTTTTTACAAATATGTTCACATACATTATCTATTCTTATTCCTAAGAGGTAAAATTAAAACAATATGTAGTTTGTCAGAATCCCAGGAAACAAAAGGTATACAAGCTTTGCTACAATCTGAGCACTCAGTGTTTACTTCAGCTTCATGTCCTCAAAGAAAATGTGTGCATATATGGGATTTTGAGCAATTTGGAGGAAGGAGGCAGGACTTAAATATGGATTTGTTTTGAGTCAAAGGGTAAAACTGGGTTGATTTAGAAAGGTATATTCTACTCCAGCCTATTGACAGAGCCAAAGTCTATGAAGTGAGGACATGGTATTTGGTACTCCATAAACTGAACAATGTGCTAACAGTATATGACTAGACACTTGCTCTTTAGTGCTTTGTATTTATATGTGATTGGCTTAATAACGAGTTACCTTATAGAACAAAAAGCATCATTAAATCTAAAAAAAAAGAACAGAAAAGAAAAGAAAAGAGAATGAGAAGTGAAAAAGTCAAAACAAGGATCCAGTACAGGGAGGAAAATGGCTCTACTACTTGGCAGTACTTCCTCTGTGTGCAGAAAGAGCAGAGAAAGTCACCCTAAAGCCTTGAGGAAACAAAGAGTGATTACAGAATAGGCAGGAAACCACTTCCAACTGCTTCCTAGCGTTTTTCTAAGACTTTCTAGAAACTCACTGGCCACTTCCCACGACCACACAGAATTTTGTCTTCACCGAGTCATCTGTAGGTCCACATCCTCTCCTGTCCCAGAGCGCCCTCTGTGGCCAGCGTGGTCCGCCAGCGAATGCAGCGTTTACAAGTCTCACAGCACCCTGTGTGTTTTCTGAGCTAAAGCGGGGCTACCCAGCTGGATTTGCTAAGGTCTTCCAGTTATCAAAAGCACCAAATCAGCTTACTTAAACGGTGGTTCAACTTCTTAAAAAGCGGCACAAGGAAACAAAACTGCTGCTGACCCGGGGTTCTTCTCTGGACAGCCTGCCCTCCCACCCAGGCCACACCAGCTGCCTTCCTGCTTAACTTGAGGCCAAACCCCTTCTTGGTATTAGAGGCTATTAAAAAAAAAAAAAAAAAAAGCCCATTTTTCTGGTATGCAGAGAAGTGTTTACAATTCTTTTTTAGAAATCTCTGCCATCTGGGCTTTGCCCTCCACTTATCTCTTGCAAAGTCAAACAGCCAAACATCTCTTGGGGATTTTCCCGAACAAATGGAAAATTAGCTCCCAGAAGGAAATCAGTCTTCCTGATAAGCCAACTAGTTCACCTGGCAACCAGCTTTGATTTTGATTTCTTCCCCTTCTCCTTACATAGAAATAAAAACTACCTTTGTTCACCTTTTACTACAGTGTATATATCAATATTACTCCTGAACAATGGACTCTGGTATCACATTCATAGAACGAGTTGGGTTTTAAAGCTGGAAGATACCTTAACAATTACCTGGCCAACACTGTCTGTTACTGCTAGGGGAGCTGAGGCCCACAGAGGTTAACTGACGTGCTTGAGTTGGTGACAGGGCCTGACCCAGAGCTCTGCCACCGGACCTCACTGCCTTCTATCTGACCCACCCACAATGCTTTCCTGTATCAGGCTAAATAGCTTGAGAAGGTATGAAAATCAAATAGAAAGACAGATATCGCAGTGACTGCAATTTTCAATGTTCTTTTTATCACTTGTATCTTTAAGTGAAGAGAAATATCTTTCTTCTAAATAAGTACAAAAGCTTCAGGGGACACTGAAGTGGTCAGAGACAGTCACTGGGACCCCCATTTCACACCCAAAGAAAAAGAAATTATGTAAATACCATAAGAAAGAGCGACAACCTATCAGCATTCACTGAGACTTTCAAACCAATAGTGGGTAACTCACGTTTTATTGTTGTAGGGTTTATTCTGACAGATCTCTGGGGACAGGTAGGAAGGTGTTCCAATACAAGTTCTAGCAAGTTCCATGGTACTAGCAAATTACATTAAATAATAAAACAACATGGTTTATTATTAGAGTAGGAAAAGGCTTAAGACACAGACACGCAGGAAAAAAAAGTATAAAAATGGATAACACGAATTTGATGAATGCACATATTGAAATAAAGCAGATATATTGCATATTAATAACAAGAGTAATAAAGTTAGTTGATTTTTAAATTTATAACTCATCTCCCCCAAATCAACACATAAAACAAATTTATGGCTCAAAGACTCCAGGAAGAAGTACAATTGTTATATTATAAAACTTTTAGATGTAGAAAGAATTCCCCCTTTCCAATTACCAAGAAATGCAATCTCATGACTTAAAGTTTGGAAAATATGGAAGTGAAGAAAGAAGAAAAAAATTACCCACGATCTTACTACCCCCAAACAGCTATTATTTAAAATTTGGATATATTTCCTTCTTGTCCTTTTTCCAGGCATATTTTTCATATGGCTGTGATCACAGAGTATTTAAAATTCAGAATTCCATTTTTGCCTTCATATAACAAGGTGTGATCTCACATCATCAAGAAGTCTTCAAAATCATAAATATAAATGGCTACCTAATATTCAGGTACATGCTTGTCCCACAGATTTACCCATTTCTCAATTATTAGGCATTTAAATCATTCCCAGTTTCAAACTATCCCCTTTGAACAAATTCCCAGAAAGAGAATGATTAAAAATCTCTTGTTACTTATTACCACCAAACTGTCTTCCAAAGCAGCTGCACCAATACAGTCCCCAGAGCATGTGTGAATTTGCCTGTTTCACTAAATGCTCACTAGCTTTCTGCCTATTCAGTCACATCTCTTTGATAAGCTTATCTCACACTATAAAACACTGCCACCATCATTCTATTATACCGAGATTTATCTTGGAAATTTTAACCTCAAATTTTCATCTGAATGACTTAAGGCATTTATAGAAATAGTTATCTCAAATTATCTGGAAGCCAGGCTTTTAATATCTTCTTAATTCATGATACCTAAAAATACATATTTTGGCTGCTATGAATAGAAAGCAAAGGATTTTTAAAAGTACTTACTTGTTTAGAACTCTTGCTATACCGAAGTCCCCGAGCTTTGCAACCATATCATTCTTACTAAGAAAAATGTTCTATAAATAGAGAAAGTGCTATGTTGTTGGAGATGTTTAAAGAAAACAAAAAAGAACAGTTTATGTCTTGATCTTCTGTCTGAGCTCTTACCTGTGCTTTTATGTCCCTGTGTAAGATCTTCCTGTCATGAATATATTTTAGTCCCAGAGAAATCTGTACAAACCAAATCAGAATCTGTAGAGGGAACATAAAACAAAACTGGTCAGTAGTCTGGTGGCCGTTGAAATGTCTTCATGATAATATGCAAAAAGAGAGAACTAACACATCCGTGCGTGTATACTTACATGAACGAAACTACAAATTATACCATCTCATCACATTATTCTCTTTTTATAGCTAGAAAAATGGAGGGCACAAAAGGCAATCTGAATGCGCTGGCATCAAAGGGAGCTCCACATAACAAAAAAGAGAAGTGGAAGCAGAGGACAGAAGAGAGGCAGTTCATGATTTTCTTTTTTCTTAACACTAGTTTGCTAACTGCATTAGGATCATAGAGAAGCAGCATTTCCTGATAACCCTGGTGCAATGAGTGTTTCCTTTTCAGTGGAAAGAGGGTGTCCAGGGCAGAGGGGGAAAGAGGAAGAAGCAGAGAATTGGTGAGGTTATTAAAAATTTTAGCGAAATATCAATATATACGTATCTAATATAAAAACAACAAATATTTTACTTTTAACACATAATTTCATCTCCTAGTCATGATTTTATTTTCTCTTAGCTGGTCATGAACCTCTTTGTAAAAATGTGTTCTATGCCTGTAAAGATTTCCTTAAACTATTTTAAAATCTCATTGGTTCTTTGGATGCCAGATTCCACAGAAAGAGGAAAACAAAAGGAAAAAAGGGTAGACTCCAGGTGCTAAGACTCAGTTGTAATTTACATTCTTTTCCAACCAAGGGAAATGTAACTCAAAATTTTGTAGAGAAAGGTATTTTTGTTAAATGGCAAAATAATACCTGGATAGGAAGGAAGGAGGGTTTCTACAAACACAGAATTTAATATATGATGTCAATGAGGATAGGAAGGATGCTTGACTAAATTTGTAAACTTGAGAGAAACCATTCCTGAATCATCTGTCCATTCAAACTATTCCATTTAAACTCTAGGAGATAATAACATAGGCACAAGGCTCTTACATGGTAAAATAGAACAAAGAAACAAATGGCCGAAAGAAACATGGCAGGCCATTCCTGTGCACCGCTCCAGGGAGTGGCCTGTCCCATCCATCACACAGGCCCGATTCAGAGTCCCTTCCACACACACACACTTGCTGTCCCCTTCATGAGTACAGCTCCCAAGGGGGTTCCAAAGGAAGCTCAGAGAAGAAAAATGTGTTTGTACAAAGAGAGCACGGGAATTGAGGCCATTATTCTTCACCTTTTCTCTCCTCTTTCTTCATAATCGATGAAACTAAATAGCCAATTGCCATGAAGGCCTTCCATGCTCCCTAGCAAAGTGGGATAGCTATTTAAAAACAGTATACAAAGTGGTAAAAGGAGGAAGAGTAAAGTTATAAACACGTCACATTTGAAATGGCTAAGGAACATCCACGTTCACATTTTTTTAGCCGTAAAGATTTATCTCAAGGGCATCCTATGTGAGATTGTCCAAAAATACAACACTATCTTTTCTCAAAGTTCACTCTCAAAAAGAGATTCGATTTCAGTTCAATTGCAAACATGTTCTGGACTAAATCTATCAAGAATATTGATCCACTGTTTTATGGTTTAAATTTCTCTACCAGCAATATGCTGTATGTAAACACAGTCTATTATTTCTGGCACTATAAATCTAATTGCCCCTAATACAAATTAAAAAACACAATGGAGGTGTTTTTACCTGATCTTCACTAAATAACACTCCCCGCTGTCTATGGATCCTTTTCATGAGATCCCCTCCGTCACAATACTCCATCACAATAAACAGCCTATTGTTCTCTGTAAGAAAAGGCATCATTCATTACCTTTCATGTTCTCAAAGGTGGAGAATATAACAGAAAAATACAGTATATGATTGTTAAAAACTCTGGCTGTAGAATCACGATGGACTGGGTTCTCATCTCTCTTTACCACTTAGCTCTATGGCCCTGGGCAAGTTATTTAAATTTCTCTGTGCGTCATTATCTCCTCTGTAAGGTGGAGATAAGAATACAGACACTCCTCACAGGATTGTCGTAAAGGTTAAACAAGTTAATCCATGTCAGATGCTTAGAACAATGCCTGCATATAAATGAGAGTTCCATAAATGTTGATAATTATTATTAACGCATTCCTGCAAGATGTGAGAAATCTGCTGTAAAATAGTAGCTGTGAATCTTAGCCAAAACCCCAGGAAGAATTAATTAATAGACCTTTGAACCTGAGTATAACCTTTTATTTACATGGCACTTATTCAACTATGTTGTTGAGAACAAGAGACACTCTTCTCAACTGACCTCTGCCTGACCTACTTTCTAGAATAATGGGCATTCTCCATTCCTGCTGCTCACTCAGGGTTCCCAATGGTGGCCACTAGACTCTAGCATGCTCAGCTACCTCTGTTCCCCCTAATCCTCACCAAGATCCTTGGCTGTATTCCCAAATCTGCTTCAGCCAATTATACTTATTATTATAATTATTGCATGAACTGATGAAATATGAATGGAAAAAGAGAGATGTGATTATTTCTACAAAATCTACGTGGACTACTGTGGAGAACTCTGTAAAAGTGAGTAGCTTAAAAAAAAAAATGCCATCAACCTAAACGTTGGATAAGACAAGTGGAAAATAACCAAGAAAGCTTTAAAAAGATTGTGCACCCAGAGTATCTGTAAATTATGACTCCACTCTAAAGAAAAGAAATTGGCAATAAGAAATGGAAGGGAGGTGCCTATTTAAGAAGGATATTTAGAACTCTGTGCAATGAGCCCATAGTCAAAGATGAGCCTCGGTCTTATGTCAAAAGTTTGGCAGGTGGTTGTGTATTTATAGATGAAAATAAGTATGTGTGTATGATTTGCTGCTTAACCAGCCTTTCCTCTCAACCAGTCAGCTGCCAGCAGGGTTGTGTTAGGAAATGGCTTCTACTCAGTCATTCGCTTCTCCTGCTATTTAGTGGGGGTTCTCTGCAGAGAGTCCACGCTTGGCTCTTCTGTATTCCCTGCGCCGAGCACAATAGAAGGCACATGGAAGCAGCCTAATCAAGGCTGGTTAAGTGGTTTCATAAAAACATGTAAGGAACACAAAACTATGGCACAAAATCAGGCTTATAAGAAGGGTTTAATCTCCCTAGTGTTTTCCCCTGTAGTGACTGAACATCCACTAAATGCCAGAATCTCTTGCCAAATCGCTATCATTTGCTACCTCTCTCTTTCAAGTAGCTCGAACCAACTTAAACGTGGCCGTGAGCATCCTGACAGCATCTGCCCTCGGTTGTGGTTGTGTCTTATTCACAAACTCGGTGCTCCTTTCACGTAACACTTCGATGTCCACCTTCTTCTTAAATGGGACAGATCCATTCACTCATCAACAAACCTGCATCGAGGACATGCCAAGGAATGCACTACTGGGACTAAAAGGAAAATAAGCCATCCTTCCTGCATAAGGAGTTGGCCATATAGCTGGCAAGCCAGTGAGGATGCGTGAGAAGAGCTAAGTGGCAGTCTGTGCCCTGCAGGGCAAAGGGCACAAGAGACAGTTGAGGACAGACTTGAGGAGTCCAGGAAGGCCTTAAGAAGGTGTTTCCTGACACAACCTACTCACCTAGGGATCAGGTATTTCCAGGAACATACTACTTTGAGGAGAGCTGCTTTTTCTCACCGCTGAGTCATCGAAAGGGCTGCCATAGTGATGAAGGTATGGCAATCTCAAAACCGTGGAACAAAGTCAGGAACAGTAAGGAGAAAGGGTTCCATTTCACTCCCTTTCCACCAACTTACAACTCACCCGGCCTTAAGCTGGCTTTCTGTGCAAGAAATTAATTGTCTGGTTCAGAAGTAATCATGGCTGAGCCATCTTAAACAAACTATTTGGGTCAATGAGCATCATTTGGCTCTAAATATCCATTTCCCCCCCACTAGCCACTGTCAATTTCATATTTAAATGGGGTTAGAACTGTCTGGAAAGATCATTTATGTTTTCAGATTTTCCTTCTGTTTAAGCACAGTAGGAGGGAGGGAAGAGGTATAAGAAACGATTATTTTTCTCATGGTCTCCAATCCCATTGATGGACATAAAGAATATAATATACTGGCATTATAAGACAGCATATCATATGTCACAGGAGCAAGAATTTGGAGGTGCTCAGAGCAGAGGCAAGAGAGAGTCTTAAAGCACATATAATATTTGGCAATGCAGAGAGAAGGAAAAGGATGCTCTTAAAAGGAAGTACAAGACACGTTGTCAGGCCGTAGCTTCTGGAGCTATAGAGCTCATGGGTTATTGACCTTTCAAAACTCTTGAGGGGCACTGGGGCGCCTGGGTGGCTTAGTCGGTTGAGCGTCCGACTTTCGCTTAGGTCATGATCTCGCGGTTCGTGGGTTCGAGCCCCGCGTCGGGCTTTGTGCTGACTGCCAGCTCAGAGCCTGGAGCCTGTTTCAGAGTCTGTGACTCCCTCTCTCTCTGACCCTCCCCTGCTCACGCTGTCTCTCTCCCTCTCCTAGAATTAAATAAAAAACATTAAAAAAAAATTAAAAAAAAAAAACTATTGAGGGGCACTAATAGTGGGGACTCACATTAAGCAACTTTTCTATTGTCAAATTCCAACACTTAGAAAACAATATCTTTAATGAATTCATTCTAAACCACACTTTCAAAAAATTAGGATTGTATCTTACAGACACTGGCATCTCCTAATCGGTTGCTGTGGGCCCAGCAGTCCTGATATTACCGCCTGCATAATTTTTACACCTTAGCCAGTGTAACTTGCCTATGGTTGCCTTTTTATGTGTGCATAAGAGTCATAGAAGTAAGTAAGTCTATAAAGCCTCTTTTAATACATAGCAAATAAAAAATTATGATAAAAAAGCACTGTGTTATAGTTTAATAGACAATATTGTTTCTTGTAATTAACACATAATGGTGCATCTTATAACCAATGGCCTCTAGATTTGATGAAATATCATCCATTACTACCATCATTTCATAAATAAAAGTATTTTATTTTTTATTTATTTATTTATTTATTTAATGTTTTATTTATTTCTAGGAGAGATAGAGAGAGACAGCATGAGCAGGGAAGGGTCAGGGAGAGAGGGAGTCACAGACTGAAACAGGCTCCAGGCTCTGAGCTGGCAGTCAGCACAGAGCCCGACGCGGGGCTCGAACCCACAAACCGCGAGATCATGACCTAAGCGAAAGTCGGACGCTTAACCGACTAAGCCACCCAGGCCCCCTAAATAAAAGTATTTTAGCACCTCAAATCAAGGAGGGACACAGAATCAGCATAAAGAATAAAATACCCAGGGGGAGCCTGGGTGGCTCAGTCAGTTAAGCGTCCGACTTCAGCTCAGGTTATGATCTCGTGGTCCGTGAGTTCAAGCCCCACATCAGGCTCTGTGCTGACCATTCAGAGCCTGGAGACTGCCTTGGGTTCTGTGTCTCCTCTCTCTGTCCCTCCCCTGCTCATGCGCGCGCGCTCTCTCTCTCTCTAATAAATAAACTTTTTAAAAAAATATAACAATACCTCCTGCTAGTCTCCCTTGCTCATTGTACCCTACTCACACTGACTTCCCATAGGGCTCGGTGCCAAGTGTGAGATTCTGTACTACTTACAAGCCTGTGACTATTTCACGGATACTGGGAAATGCAACTCCCGGGCCAGAGGCAAAGGACTTTATTACTCTCGACAAAAGCAGGAGTCAGAGCTTCACGTTAGCGCTCATTCTCTGTGCCTCCCAATTCCACGGAGGTGCAACACGCGAGCCTAGACAGACACGTGAGCTGCAGTGGGCCACGTGACCGGAGAGGAGCACTGACCTTGAGGAATCTGCTGCATTTTAGTGAGCAATAAACAAGCCCGCTCAGCCTTGGGGGAGATGTCACTACAAACACAAGATGTAGCTGAGTAGACAGTGGTCAGGGCTCTGCATTCCTGGCATTTCCAGCAAGAGCGTGCAGAGCTGCTCAGGGCCCGGAGCACATTGCCTTTCCCCAAAGCCTCCTGGCCGGTCCTTTAACCCAGCTCTTGCCTCATGCTTTTGCAGTGGCTGTTGCCCTGGCCTGGAAAGCTCTTCCCCAGAGGTTAGCATAGCTCTCCAAGTCTTTGCTCAAATGCCCACCCTATTCTAAGTTGTGTCCTCACTCCTGCCTCACCCTATTTTATTTTGCCACGGCACTTATCATGTTCTAGTATACTATACAATGTGCTTATTAATTAGGTTTATAATTATTGTCCGTCCCTCCCCACCCTTTCCCCTGGGCCCGTGAGCCCCACAGTCGCTAGCAGGCAGGATTCTAAGATGGCCCCCCGTGCACACACCTTGTGGACTCCCTCCCCCGGAGGGAGGTACGCCCTGTACATTCGATGGGATATCACTCCCATGGTTATGTCACATCATACAGCAAAGGGGATCTTGCTGATATAGCTGAAGTCAGTAAACTCGGACTTAAAAGAAAAGGAGATTTTACCAGTGGGTTCGACCTAGGCACAGGAGCCATCCAATCCTAGGTCTAGAGGTCCGAGACAGGAAGTGAGAGATTCCGGGTGGGAGAAGGCCTATAGAAGGGCAGCTGGCCTCTAGAAGGCCATAAACACCCCAGTGAAGTAGATGAATTCTGCCAGCACTGGGAACAAGCACGGAAGAGAACTCTGAGCCTCCAAAGAGATAGCAGACCCAGTTGAGAGAGAGACTCTGAGCGGAGATGCCAGCAAAACCAAACCCAGACTTGTGATCTGGAGAGGTTAGGAAAAGATACATGAGTGTTGGGTCAAGTCACTGAATTTGTGGTCACTTGCTACACAGCAACAGAAAACAACAGTGGAGGGCATACTGGCCTATTTTGTTCAGCAATGATCCTCAAAACTTAGAACATGCCTAGCATGTAATAGGTACTTGATAAATACTTATTGAAGGAATTTAAATGGAATTAACTTAGCTATAGGAAAATCTCACTACATTCCCTTAGTATTCATATGTTACTTCATGCTTTCTATAGACAAACATGTACTGAACTAAAGCCATGGTTCTGTTCAGAGACAAGCTGTTGAGGGTAAACAAAGGCTTTGTCTCGACTCTGAGCTGTCCCAGGCTACAAAAGGCTTGGTGGCTTTCAGATAAGCTCCATGTTTCTTGTCCCAACAACCTGCAGGCAAATGCAAATGTCCTCATAGCTCTTATTTTCCTAAACACACACTTCAAAAACAAAAAATAAAGCTGCCATAAGAAAGTTTAAGCTTACAATATAAACAGACTCAGTAGAGGTCATTCATACTGTACGAATGACCCCTGATTTTCAAACAGTACCTGTGGCAATGGTCCTCAAATATCTACTTTGCATAAAGACATATTCCACTCTGTGAAAGAGTTCCTCTGTGTACTAATTCAGCAAATGTATTTTAAGCACCTACTATGTGTTAGATGCTGAAGACCCAGTGCTGAGAAAAGGATTCAATAGATCTACTAACTTACAGGGACCATCTTACACCAACTCATACTTGTAAACACACACACACACACACACACAAGTGTGGAGGTGCGGTACAAGGTCAGGAAAGAGGGCTCTGATGGGGACTGTGATCTCGGAGAAGGCCTGAGCGTAAGCAGGCATTAGCCAGGCAGAGGGTGTGACAGCAATAACCCAAAGAATGAGGAAAAAATGGTCTTCTGGCTTGTTGGGACTCAATGAATAGAAATGTAGGGCACTTTATTCAGAGGCTGCCCCTTCAAAGTTGTTCAAAACAACCCAACTCCCTGCTCACATGTACTGCTCAAGTCCCAGGAAGCCCTCAGAAGAGCCCTGAGAACTCTCACATGCCCACGAGTTGAAGAGGGGCCGCACTACTGTGAATGCAGAGGTTTCACTTTGTAAGAAACACGGGGCGCCTGGACGGGTCAGTCGGTTGAGCATCCAGCTTCAGCTCAGGTCACAACCTCACGGTTTGTGGGTTCGAGCCCCACATCAGGTTCTGCTGACAGCTCAGAGCCTGGAGACTGCTTCGGACTCTGTGTCTCCCTCTCTCTCTCTCTCTCTCTCTGCCCTTCTCCCCCTCAAAAATAAAAAAACGTGTAAAATATTGTAAGAAACACAGTGTCCTATACAGGGTAGAAGCTCCAACAGTAGGGGCTAAACAGTATATCTATGTACTGAGGTCTACACCCCCTATGGGTGCTTGAAGGCATCTAGGTAGCATTCCGGCTCCATTAACTACTCGGGACCTGTGAATTGAAGCACCCACCCCCGACGGGGGTGCTCCACGCAAAGCGTGCGCGGCCTTACACACACCTGACACACAGAACACGTGTTTGTTGTCTGTCTCCTCCCCCTAGAATGGAAGCTCTATGAGGACAGGACCTTCTGCCTGTTTTGTTCACGGTTACATTCCTGGCTCTCAGAACGATGCCAGGCAGAGAGAACACTCAATACAACTCTGTTCAGTGAATGAATGCTCTCCGGCCGATGCTCCTTTCCTTTCGTGTTTTTGGTTTGTACTTTTACCTCTGGGGCCAAGCGGTGGATTAAGGCAGAAGAGATGTATTCAGGCGTCCACAGGGAGGGACTTGCTCCCTTCGAGCTTCTCCCCTCTGCTCGGGCTGCCCGCTTGGCCACGTGCGAGGCTGCCCGCCGCCTCCCTGCAGCAGGCGGGACAGCGCACCGGTGGCCCCGGCACATGCAAGAACGCTCAGAGGCAGAACACCCCCCCTCGTGCCGCGGTGTTGGGGCCGCCGTGTCAACGGGACAGTGGGCCCAGGACAAACGTGAGAACAGGCCACATCCCGGCAGGGCTGTGACAGCGGTGGCGCAGCGGGCTCTGCGTCTCGCTCCTTTCTCGCTCTCAGGAGAACAGCGAACTCTGAATCTGGGCAGCTCCACCACCAGGGCCCAGACTTGAGCCCCTGACATCTCACCGCCAACGTGCAGTGTGAGAAACAGATGTGGAGTACGGGGGTCCCCAATTTAGGAGTTCTCACCAGACCGATCATTACCTGTCTGAGACGGTCGGAATTAAGGAGAGGCGGAAACACTTAAGAGCGAGCATAGGAAAGTTGTCTACAAAACCTCACTAGAGAAGAAAGAAAGTCAATGCCTCAAATTACCATTTAGGTAAACGGGGAAAACGAGTCTGTTCACAAAACTTAATTCATGCACAGTTCCCAGGAACGTGTCCCGTGTCCCTTCTAGATGTGTACGTGACTGCACTTGATTAAAACACTGGAAGCATATTGGAAAGTCAAACCTTGAAACGAACTGAAGAAGGTTACAATGTTGGGGTGCTTCATCTCTGCCAGAAGAATTACTTCTTTCTGTGATGCTTCTTTTTCTCGGCTGGGCATCTAGAGTATATTAAGAGAGAGGATAGTCTGTAAAGATAATTTGCTTTCAAGAACATGCCTTCTGCTGTCATCTGAAGTTTTTCAAAATTTCACTGGCTTCTAATGCCACTTCTGAAACTGATCTACAGTGGCAGGGAAAGACATTCCTAGAATTAGCAGAGCGGGTGTGTATCTAATCAATGGTTTGTCTGTGACAATCGTAAACAAGAAAATGAATATTTCTGGTGAAGGTGTGCCGTCTTAAAGGTTCAGTTGCATTGGTGCCATTGTGTTAATTATTTAGGCATCTAGAGGAAACTTATTTGAATATCTTTCAGCAGCAAAGACATTCGCTATAAAAATGCAATGTTTTAGCAGCAATCACTGCGGAGAAGAATCAAATGAAATCTTAAAGAAAAAAGTCATATATCACATCAATCAGACCAGTATGATGCTATATTAAGAGGACAACACTTTTCATTTGCAAATAAAAATTGTTCCTTGTGACTTCATTTCCGATTTAACGTATGTTCTCACTATTCAATGTATCATCTACGGACACAATTTTTCAATTGTGTTGGCGCCAGCGGCAGGGGCTACCCTTTGCTTTCACCTCTTCTTTCTCATTCTCAACCCTGTGACATGGCTTCACCTGTCACTTCCACCCTGGCTTCTGTCGTCTGCAGGTCACCAGTTCTTCTCCACTGCTCCCTCTAATGTTCTTCGACACTGGCCCACACATGATGTGGGAGTTCCCAAATTCCTCATCCTCACTAAGGTTTAAGACTTTTGTAAAAATTACCCTTCTCAATCCGAGCTTGACTGCCTCCTATCTGTGTGCCCTTGAGGAAGTCATTCAAATCTTAGCTTCAGTTCCCTCCACCCAATTAAACTGCACAGCTGGTACACATGGGCTTCACAACAAAAGAAACTGGGGCACCTGGGTGGCTTGGTCAGTTAAACATTCGACTTCGGCACAGGTCATGATCTCATGGTTCATGGGTTTGAGCCCCATATTGGGCTCTGCACTGACAGCGCAGAGCCTGCTTGGGATTTTCTTTCACCCTCTCTCTTGGCTACTCCCCTGTGCCCTCTCTCCCTCTCTCTCCCCTACCCCCTGAAAGAAATAAATGTTAAGAAAGAAAGAAAGAAAGAAAGAAAGAAAGAAAGAAAGAAAGAAAGACAGAAGGACAGAAGGAAAGAAAGAAAGAAAGAAAGAAACTGAAGTATTCCTACCAGCTTGATAGACTTGGCTACTCAACTACTTTAATTTTAACTACTATTTTTCAAAAGAACATTATACACCAAATCAAAAGGCAAATGTAGGTAGGTTACTGCATTTTTACAGTTAGGGAAAAATACGCAATATATGTGACAAATAGTTCTGTATTTATAATATATAAGGAGTTCTAGCAAATTAATAAGAAAAAAAGGCAAACCTGCCGATAGACATATGGCAAAATACACAAATGGACAACTCACAAAAAATAAAAACAAAAATTACTGATAAATAGAAAATAAAATATTCTTTTTTTTTTTAATATTTTTTATTTATTTCTAGGAGAGAGAGAGAGAGCGTGAGCAGGGGGGGTCCAGAGAGAGAGGGAGTCACAGACTGAAACAGGCTCCAGGCTCTGAGCTGGCAGCACAGAGCCCGACACAGGGCTCGAACCCACAAACTGCGAGATCATGACCTAAGCGAAAGTCAGACGCTTAACTGACTAAGCCACCCAGGCGCCCCTAAAATAAAATATTCTACCTCATTCAATAATCAAAAGAGCAAAGATGAAAACAATATTTGATATCCTGTCTCATCAAAGACATGGGCAAAGACAAAAAGAATGCTAATATGCAGGATTATCCATAAAGCAGCAAAATGACACTCACAGACTTCTGGTGTTAAGTATACAAACTGGTAAATTTTTTCAGGGAAGGGGGTGTTACAATATGTACTAAGAAACTTTTAAAACCCTCTAGAGTTTGACTTAGTAATTTTTCCAGAAATTTATCCAAAGAAAATAATCAGAAATGTGCTTGAGCCTTCTCATGTGGAAACCTTCATTGCCGTGTTTTATTATTAGTGTTTTAATTTTATTTTTTAAGTTTATTTTGAGGGAGACAGAGACAGTGTGAGTAGGGAAAGGGCAGAGAAAGTGGGGGAGAGAGAGAATCCCAGGCAGGCTCTGCGCTGTCACCACGGAGCCTGACGAGGTGCTTGAACACACAAATCACAAGATCATAACCTGAGCCGAAACCAAGAGTCCAGCACTCAACTGACTGAGCCACCCAGGTGCCCTTCTTATTAGTTTTTTAACTACTATCATAATACACACTTGTGATTTTAAAAAATATTTGAAGCCAGACAGACATGAACATGATGGAAATGAAACTTCCCCTTGTCTTCCCACTCATTCCACGAATTCTGATGTCTTAGGAATAATTGCTGTTAATTGCTAAACTCTTTTATAAATATTTTAATTTTTTTTTTTAAGTTTATTTATTTATTTAAAGAGAGTGCGCAGGACAGGGGGAGAGAGAGAGTGAGAGAATCCCAGGCCGGCTCCACCTCATCGGTGCAGAGCCTGACACAGGGCTTAAACTACAAACCGTGAGATCATGACCTGAGCGGAAACCAAGAGCTGCACACTTAACTGACTGAGCCACCCAGGCGTCTCAATTGCTAAACCTCTTTATTTAATGCACATATAGGTAAACAAGGGACATAATCTCTTTAATAAAAATGACTCATATTAGGGGAGCCTGGGTGGCTCCCTTGGGTAAGTGTCTTACTCTTGATTTTGGCTCAGGTCATGATCTCATGACCTGTGGGATCAAGCCCTACACTGGGCTCTGCACTGACAGCACAGAGCCTGCTTGGAATTCTCTCTCCCTCTCTTTCTGCCCCTCCCTCCAATTTCTCTCTCTCTCTCTCTCAAAATAAATAAATAAACTTAAAAATGACTCGTATTCTACATATTACATGGTATATGTAGAATTTTTATATTTATATTTATATAAATATAATATATAATATATATAAATATATATTTAATTATACCCCCAAAATCAAACATACATTTCTGAAAATAGAAGTTAAATGATGGGCTTTTTAACCTGCTATCATATTATGCAGTCATCACAAATCAAGGCAGCCAAGTGTTGTAGCAGAAAGAGCAGAGGGAGAGATAGAAGGATCGTGGAGCAAATCACTTAACATCTTTGAGCCTCAGTCCTTTCACCTACACAATGAAGCAAGAGATCTACCTTTAGGGTTGTTGTGAGGATTAAATAGGGTGATATAGGTAAAGTACCCAGGATGATATAACGTATAGGCACTCAGTAAATAGTAACCATTATCACTATTATTGTAAACATTTAATATTATTACATGAGAATGTTTTATTACATGAAAACATTGAATGACTTGAGAAAATACAGTATATTGCTAAGTATAAAAAGCTGCTATAGAAGAATGTATCTACCATGGCACCAATCATTCCAACAACTTATAAAGTGTTAATACATTAAAAATAGCCCAGAGGTGGGGCACCTGGGTGGCTCAGTCAGTTAAATGTCCAACTTTGGCTCAGGTCATGATCTTGTGGTTCGTGAGTTCAAGTCCCGCATCAGGCTCTGTGCTGACAGCTCAGAGCCTGTAGCCTGTTTCAGAACCTGTGTCTCCCTCTCTCTCTGCCCCTCCCTTGCTCACACTCTGTCGCTTTCTCTCTCTCAAAAATAAATAAATATTAAAAAAAAATTTTTTTTTAAATAGCCCAGAGGGGCACCTGGGTGGCTCACTTGGTTAAATATCTGACTTCGGCTCAGGTCATGATCTCATGATCTCATGGTTCTTGAGTTCCAGCCCCATGTCAGGCACTGCGCTGATAGCTCAGAGCCTGGAGCCTGCTTCAGATTCTGTGTCTCCCTCTCTCTCTACCCCTCACCCCCCACTCCTGCTCTGTCTCTGTCTCTCAAAAGTAAATAAAAACTTTTAAAAAATTTAAAAAATATAGCCCAGAGATGGGATGCCTGGGTGGCTCAGGCAATTAAGTGTCCAACTTTTGATTTCAGCTCAGGACATGGTCTCTTGGTTTGTGAGTTTGAGCCCTCCATCAGGCTCTACGCTGAAGGCTCAGAGCCTGCTTCGGATTCTCTCTTTCCCTCTGTCTCTCCCAGCTCACACGTGCTCTCTCCCCCTCTCTCAAAATAAAAACACTTTAAAAAAGGAAACCTGGAGAGAAATTCACCATAATGAATAGTGATGAAGAGAAAGGTTATAAATGATTTTTATTTTCCTCTAAGTGGTCTTAATTTCCCCTTTGGTTTTTTTCAAAAATTTCTACAATGAACATTTGATTTTATAAATGAGAAAATATACAACACATTTTTTGGAAGTAAGAATCAAAAGAATAGTGTGGCTAGCTGACTCAGTTAATAGAGCATGTGACTTGTGATCTCAGAGTTGGGAGTTCAAGCCCCACCTTGGGTGTAGAGCTTACTTAAAAAAAAAAAAAAGAATCAAAATAATATGCTTGGTAATGGTAGGATAATGAGAGAGAAAATATTAGATTTTTGGCACCTGTAAGAAAATAAGCAATTGAAGTTCTGGCATTTAGAGTTTACTGCATGGACAGGCATTGAAGATGTGAAAAGAAATATAGATTTCTTCAGCTAAGAAGTAATGAAAAACTACATTAGGGTAGAAAAGGGAGAAAGTAGTAATACATATTAATACTGGGACACAGGCATTGCTAGGCAAATTTAATAACATAAAGAGATATGAAAAAGCAAGAAGAACGAGGCCTAACATAACATTCTCCTTGGTGACGGTATGCAGACCAGGGTGGTTCATGAGAAAAAGGATGAAAGAAAATCAGTGCTGTATTAGAAAAATATGGTTAATTTTTTTATTATCCAAACTAAAGAATGGGAGAGACTCTATTAAGTGCATTAACATACATTCTTAAAGAGGATTCACCTCCCAAATAGTTTCTTCTTTACTTAGAATTACAGTGGTGTTATAATTCCTATGTACCAGGCTTAACAATAGAGTTAGAAGGCCTGAAAGTATCTATCCATTGAATTACTAAAAAAATTTTTTAATGTTTATTTATTTTTGAGGGAGAGAGACAGAGTGTGAGCAAGGGAGGAAGAGAGAGAGGGAGACACAGAATTCGAAGCAAGCTCCAGGCTCTGAGCTGTAAGCACAAAGCCTGACGCGAGGCTCGAATCCACGAACCACAAGATCATGACCTGAGCCGAAGTCGGACATTTAAGCAACTGAGCCACCCAGGCGCCCTTATCCACTGAATTATGTATCCAGTAACAACGTAGTGAATACCTACCAGAGCTGTGTGCAATACCAAGACGAGTAAGGCCTGGATTCTGCCTGCACAGAACACGCAGTCTAATAACGGGAAGAAGGCACAGACACACACAAACCCCCCAAAGCACATCAGAGTAGAAGGCAATCAGCACACAACAGCATGATGGATAAAAAGCTATGGAGTTTGCAGAGAGAGAGATTACTTTGAGTGGGAAGGTCCTGGAGGATTTCCTGGTGCTCAGCCCTAAACCAGTGGGATCTTGATGCTTGGAGACTGGCCGACAAAGACTCTCTTGAAAGAAAGAGCCCTGCGGGTGAGCACGGAGGCTAGGGTGCAAAGGGTGTGCATGTGGGGGGGGGGGGAGGGTGCTGGAAATAGAATGTGGGAGCAAATCAGGAAAAGTGTCAAAACTAATCTGAAGAGTGAAAGAATATGAAAGTACAGGGCAAAAATTACTCATAATCCCACATTCCACCTACATGATGGCAATCTAGGACATCTTCCTTTTATGTATGTGAATATATGTGTGCGGGTATATATATACCTAGATAGTATGTATTTTTACGAAGATTGCCTTGTACTCATACTGTTTTCCCAATTAGCAGAAGCCGTGATATTTCTCTTGTCAATATTTCACCTACAACATGATTTCTAAGAGCCGCTTCATTTTTCATAAATTATGTAACCAAAGCGTGCTGTTGAACATTTAAGTTGCTTTCTGACTGTACATCTCTGAGGATTTCCTCTGGGTTTTGTGCTGACAGCTCAGAGTTTAGAGCCTGCTTCAGATTCTGTGTCTCCATCTCCTATCTCCTTCTCTGCTCCTCTCCTGCTCATTCTCTCTCTCTCTCTCTCTCTCTCTCTCTCTCAAATAAATAACATATAAAAATTCAAAACTAAGATAGTTTTTTCTGCTTATACATATAATACAACTCATGGGGCACCTGGGTAACTCGGTTGAGCATCTGACTTCAGCCTAGGTCATGATCTCACTGTTCCCAAGTTCAAGCCCTGCACTGGGCTCTGTGCTGACAGCTCAGAGCCTGGATCCTGTTTTGGATTCTGTGTCTCCCTCTCTTTCTCTGGCCTAACCCCACTCATCCTCTCTCTCTCTCTCAAAAATAAATAAACATTTTAAAAAAATGTTTTTTTTAATTCTGACACTGCAGAAAAGAATGGTGGAGGTGAAATCCCATCATTCAGCAATAATCACTGTTAGTGTGTGTGCATGTGTAACATTAACAGTACACACACACACACATATACACCTACGTTCTGGTGGCCTGATTTTGTTTTCATCATTACAACATATTGCGGGCCTACAATACAAACAGGGCATGGATCCTTCCAAAGCTTTGATACACATTGAGGAGTTCCCTTCAGAATAATACCAATTTACCTTCCTACCAGTAGAGGGAGCCAGTGCCCACTTCCTCCACTGTTACACTCTTTCTAATCCTTCCCCAATGTATAAGAGATAAATAAATGTTATTTGTTGATTTATATTTCTTATTTTACTAATGAGTAAGTATAATGACTACTTATGTTATGGATTTTTTCCTTTTTATTCAGTTACAAAAGGCTAGCGCCTTTTAGTCAATACTTGGCAAACATCTTTGGGATTCTGTCAACTTCCAATGTATTCATGGTGATTTTGTCATACAGAAGTTTTCTGTTTGTAGTCAAAGATGACAAGCATCTAGCCATCTTTTCCTTTACGACTTCTGTCTCCGGGAAGGTGTGCAGACATGACTGGAGCATTATCAAACTTTTGCTATGTGGAAGTCCGAGCCGTGACGCCACTGGGGTAGCCCAGGGAATTGGCAAAAGGAATAAGACAAAGACAAGGGAGCGTATTTAGCAAGTAAGTGGGTGTGGAGGGAGAAAAACTCAGAGATGACCCCACAGTTTTGAGCCTGGGTATCACAAGGACACTAATGTCATGAGCACAGCATAGCACGGAGCAGAGACATGCAAAACCAGGGTGCTGGAAGGTATCAGCACTGGAGAGAGAGTTGTAAGTGTGGCCTGCTACCTGGTGAAGCCTGCAGTGAGGTGACAGCCCAGAGAAAGAGTGTCAGCAAAGAACAGATGGTTGGGACAGATAGAGGATGAGGAAACAGGGAGGACTGAGAAAGAGCAGCCAGATAAACAAAGGAGAGTGAGCAGAATAATGTTGCAGAAGGGAGCTTGGACAGGCCGCTAGAGTAAGAAGACACCTGTAGAAGTATGCCATGGAGCCACGAAAAGAGACTTATACTGGTAAATAAAGCATTTTCCCTGAGCTTTTTTTTTTTTTTAAGTTTATTTATTTTGAGAGAGAGAGAGAAAGCAAGAGTTGAGGTGGCACAGAGAGAGGGAGAGAGAATCCTAAGCAGACTCCACACTGTCAGTACGGAGCCTGACGTGGGGCTCGATCCCACAAACCGTGAGATCATGACCTGAGCCAAAGTCAGATGCTTAACGGACTGAGCCACCCAGGTGCCCCTCCACCTGAGCTTTCATGTAAGTTTGGGAAGTCCTTTTTTTTCCTTTGCAACTTTTAAGAATTGTGGTAAAGTCTATAGAACATAAGTATATACCATTTTAAATGTACAATTCAGTGGCATTAAGTACACTCACACTGTGCAACTTATGAAGTCCATTTTTTACACATTTGGGGATTTTTTTTAAGATTTTATTTTTTTTAATGATTTATTTCTGACAGAGAGAGAGAGAGAGAGAGAGACAGCGTGAGCAGGGGAGGGTCAGAGAGAGAGGGAGACACAGAATCTGAAACAGGCTCCAGGCTCTGAGCTGACTATCAACACAGAGCCCGACGCGGGGCTTGAACCCACGAACCGCAAGATCATGACCTGAGCTAAAGTCGGACGCTCAACTGACTGAGCCACCCAGGCGCCCCTAAGATTTTATTTTTAAGTAATCTGTACACCCAACATGGGGCTCAAACTTACAACCCAGAGATCAACAGTCACATGCTCTACCGACTGAGCAACTGAGCCAGCCAGAAGCCCCATTTTGCACACATATGTATGGAAGGTCTTCTGCTACCCTCATCCCTAAATCCTCCAGAAGGCAACCAACACAATTTGCCTTAAAATTAATTCTAGTGTGTGATGGGCACTGTTGTCCCAATATGTTTTGAAATGCACACATCACTAGAGAGGATGACACAAATGCTGAGAGGAATTCCACAAAAATGATTCCTTTTCAATGAAATCTATTTCATTAGTCTCCAAAATCATTCGACTAACAAAAGTACATTGTTTTCCTCCATTCATTCAAGCCCTTCCATAAATGTTTCTGAGCGCCTGTCATGTGCCAGGTACTGTCCTACAGGCTGAAGGAGACACACAATAAACACATGAAGAAGTAAATGAGCAAAGTAATTCTAGATCATTAAAAATGCCACTCAGGAAATGGGGCAGGGTAATAAGGAGTGATTGAGGGTTTGTTGTTACCTCGGCCGGCATGTTGCATCTTCATGGAGGGGACCTGATGACGGAGATACAGTCAGAGGAAGAGGAACACCCTAGGGCCAAAAAGTCGAGCAATGGAGGAGGGGAAATCTCACAGGCCTTGCAGGCCACCCTTGAATGCCACAGGAGCCAGATGTGATAGTCGTATTTTTCTTTTCTTCTTTTGTTTTCCCTTTCTTTCCTTTCCTTTTCTTTTTTTCTAATAAAATCATTGGTAGCTGTTTGGACCACGGACTTAGGAGTTTGAGCAAACTAGTAAACTGAGGCTTAAAGTTCATACTACACAAACAAACAAGCAAAAAAAAAAGCTTCCTTTTCATACCAAATTAAAAGCCAGCTGAATATAATGCTGAAAATGAACAGGAATGTGAACTTCTTCACTTTACCTTTGCAAAATCGATCTCCTTTATAACACAGTGCTGGCTATCTGATTTCCCTTTGGCCAAGAATGCTTTCCCGAAGGCACCTTCCCCAATGGCCTTAATCACATCGTATTTATCCATGGTCTTGAATGCACAGTGGCTCCTGAAACCAGAGCGATGAAATTTTATCATACACTGTTCAGAAACGTTAATAAAATCACGAAATCGATCGCTACAACGTTAAAGAACTTATTTTGCTAAAATTTTCCTACCCACCTCACCAAGACAAAGTTGAGTAACTTTCTTTGTGGCCACAGGAGACAACCAAAGTGAAACTGCTTTTTGGTGGAATCTGAGGTTGGACTCAGCTTTGATACACTGCAGTGTTGTGATCTTGGAGAAGTCACTTAATCTCTCAAAACCTCGCTTTCCCAATTCCTAAAATGGAAATAACAATTCCTGTATTTCCAAGATTGTTCTGAGAATCAAAGCTACACCACTTCGGGTCTTGGTATCTCTATAAAGCAGGAATCCGATCTTTAAAGCTTGCACAGTTTTACAGTTCAGCCCTTTTCAACGGAGACGTGCTGCCCCCTAGGGGACATCTTGGGAATTTGTGAAGGTTTTTCTGTTCTCTGCAGAGTTGGAGAAGTTCTATGGCATTTAGAAGTGGTTTGGGCCTGGGATGCTAATGTCCTGCGATGCGAGGGGCAGTCCTGAAAATAAAGGATTATCCTGCGGCCTTACAGCCTTAGCAAATCTCCACACACATTCATGTGCGTGGAAAAATCCGTTTATAATTACCTGCGGCTAGAACCAAATTCCATTTTACATGTAAATACAGAAAATTTTTTTTGCACAGTTTTAACGAACACTGAATTTTCGAGGAATGCAACTGCATGTAAAACCAAGGCTTGATTGCACTTTTTGTTTGGAACATTACCAAGAACCGTGCACCGGTGTAGAAAATCACGCCCCCGCTTGGCGCGCTGCTCCTAGTAGCCAAAACCTAACAGCGGGGGGTGGGGGTGTAGTCACCTTCAGGTGCCTCCCTGCCCAGGTGCGGGCCCTTGGCTACTTCACTACTTCTTCGAGTGTGGACAAACCAAGCCTTTGCAGACCGAAATGCAGACTTAGCTGTAAACGGTTTCCTTGCATTTCCTCTTACACTGCAGTTAGGGCATCATGCGTGAACAGGCAGGTTATGTTTTAGGTCATTTGTGCCAGGGTAGGAAGGGGGACGACTGGGTGGCATGGAGCTGGGTGGCAGCTCCGCTGCCAGGGGAGGCCTGGGACACCCGAGGATCGGGTTTTGAGGAAGTTGGCTGCGGAATCGGAACTCGAGGGCACCAGCGGGGTACCTGAGGGACCGCGACCCACCGCCCCGGCAGCACCGGTGGGTGGAAGCCCCCAGCTCTCGGGACAAGCCTTCTCCTTTAGGAGCCCTCGGGGAGGCGGCCGCCGGGTGGGCGGCCGAGCTTGCGCGCGGGCCGGAGCTCGGCGTGTTGCGCGTTGCCACGGCGACCGACGCGGGCCCAGGACTTGGGACGGCTCCCTTGCAGCCCCGGCCTACCCCGCGGGGGCTCCGTCCCTTCCCCTGCGGCTCCCGGGGCGCCGAGGACAGCTCGGGATAAGGATCCAGGGGGCCCCGCCCGCAGCGTACCTGTCCAGGCAATTCCGCAGGGCGGGAAGCGTCCCGGGGGAATCTGGGTCCCGGGCGAATCTGGGTCCCGGGCCCGCCCCGCTTCCGGACCGCCGGGGCGGAGCCGCGCGGAGCAGCTGCGGGGGAACTGTCTACGCAGTCCACCCCGAAGAGGGAGGGGTCCGAGGCCAGGGAGTTGGGAGACCTGGCCGCACCACCTTCCTTTGTCTTGGGTCAGGCCCCCTGTGCCGATCCCACCACACAAGCACACCGCTCCTCCGGTCTTGCGTACTAGATGCTTTGCATATATTTATCTCTGTTTGCAACAACCCAGCAAGGTTGTGGTCTCCCAGTTTTCCAAATGAGCTGAATTGAGACAGGGAGAGGTGTTGTTTCTTTTTTTGACTTTTTTTTTTTTTTTTTTTTTTTTTTTAGGGGAGAGAGAGAGACACACACACACAGCGTGAGCAGGGGAGGGTCAGAGAGAGAGGGAGTCACAGACTGAAACAGGCTCCAGACTCTGAGCTGGCAGTCAGCACAGAGCCCGACGCGGGGCTCGAACCCACGAACCGTGAGATCATGACCTAAGCGAAAGTCGGACGCTTAACCGACTAAGCCACCCAGGCGCCCCGGGAGAGGTTTTTTTGTGCAAGGTCTCAAATACTGTCAAGAGATTGGAGACTGTTTTGTCTACAGCTGGCGGCCTCCATGGGGTTCTTTTACAAAACTGGATGCCGCCCAGAGGCCCGCAGACAGGCTCCCTTCCCCTCCCCATCCCCCATTCCCGATTGCACACCAAGCTGCTGTCTAAAACCTTTCATTACGTGTCTAAGTAGTTGAAAAGGATGTAATTTCCAACAATTATAAATATTGACACAAGTAAAACATATCCAAAGGAATCTAACAACTACAGCAATTTGAAACCAACAATCATTCTTTTTTTAAGTAAGCTTCTTTCAAGAATCACAAAGTGGACATCATTTCTCTCTCTCCTTAAACTTATATGCCCATAGGTAATGTTTTTCTGCTTCAAAGTTATATTGATCACCCTATCATCTAAATGGAAATTTATATTTCTTGATCCGAGGCTTTTATTTTTTTATTGAATTATTAACATTACTAGTAGTATATAACTGGTAAAAATAAGATCAATCACACTGATAATCATTAAGCATAAAAAGTAAAATTGTATTGGAAATTCATCTCTTACAGATGTCAATGGGTTTTTCTCCTCCTCCCAATTCGTATCCATAGATGAATGCTAACTTTTTGCTGGAATAGACAAGGTTCAACAATGATTCTCTTGCTTTTCTTTCATACCTCCCTGCCTTTTTTCCTTCCTTTTTCGTTCCTTTTTTCCTTCTTTTCTTCCTTCCTTCCAGCTGTAAGTATTAAGGAATCTCATTCATTTAAATAAACAGGAGTTGGAAGTTTTGTTAAAAGTGTACCTCAAAAGCAAAACTCTGTTGGGGCACCTGGGTGGCTCAGTCGTTCGGCACCCAGACTTTGGCTCAGGTCATGATCTCACAGTTAGTGAGTTCGAGCCCCACATCCGGATGACTGCTGTCAGTGCAGAGCCCGCTTCAAATTCTCTGTCCCCGTCTCTCTTTGCCCCTCTCCCGCTCCTGCTCTCTCTCAAAAATAAAACATTTTTTAAAAATAATAAAAACAAAACTCTGCAAACCGTCTGACTTTTGAAAGGATTTGTCGTCCAATCAAGATGCAGTCTCTCAATAACTATACATAATTCCAAGTTCCCTTTGTTTGATGGTGTGGAAACATTTACACCCTGGGATAATGCTAAAATCTGAGATGTCTAAGTGGTACAGAATACTGTATTTATGGAAGCTGAGTATCTGGAACTAGCCTTAAAGTGATCCCTGACTATCTTAATTCTTGAAAAGTCTTAGAGACGTTTAAAAAAAAAAAAAAAATGGAGCCAACCTAAGGAACTCTGGGAAATGATGTTTTAACTGGAACCATAGGGCTAAAAGCACTAGAAACAATACATAGGGGCTGTACTCTAGCTGGGAAATTTGTTTCTCACAGGAGTAAGGGTTAGTAATTTGGAAACTGCTTTACTTATGTATCCTGGGGTTGAGTAGGTAAGCAGATAAGGGATGGTTCGGGCCAGGCTTCTCCCTGTCAGAGAGAAGCTACAGAAGAGCAGGGGGGAGGCGAGGCTGAACTTGCGGTGCCAAATCAGACTCGAGGGCATCACTACAAACTCACCCTTAGCTTAATATACGTGCAGGGGCAGAGGTACAGAATGACTACAGTTGTGGGTATGTGCACAGGACAGTAAACACACATGGATTTCCTAGCTCAGTTTCCTGAGAGGGCCTACGAGCAGTGACACCCCAGCAGCAACAAGCACACCCAGCACCCAGATCCTGGTTGATTTATTGGTCGAAACCAATAAAAGGAACCAAGCCTCCTCGAGAAACAGCTGATGCTGGAGCTGGGACAGAGAAGGTTCGAGATGAGCCTAGACCATCTTCTTGTATTACCAGAAAGTACCAGAAAGTGTTCCCGAAACACAAAAGAATGAGGGCATGTCAAAGGAACACAGAAGTAACCTGAAAAACTCCCAATGGCCAAAGCTAGAACAATTTAAGCAACAACACAAATGAGTTAGCACTGGATTATAGGCCCCTTCGGGAGGCACAGCGTGATTTCTCTGCAGCTGAGTGGTGACCCACTTAGAATGAACAAGGCCCAGAAATGGAAAATTAGTAACCTTACAGTTTACCCTTGTAGCAGACACCACCTTAACCAAGTGATGGAGGCTAACAAGAGCAGTAATAAATCAGGCTGATATCGTGTACTGCCTCATGAGATGTGATGGGAAGGGCACTTTGCCTCTATGACCCTTAAGTTGATCGTCACCATGAGAAAAATACCAGACAAACCCAAAGTGAGAGACAGTCTACAAAATCCCCAACCAGTATTGCTCAAAACTGTCAAGGTCCCAAAAAATAAGGAAAGCTGGAGAGGCTGTCAGAGAGCAGAGGAAAACAAGGATGACCAGATGTCTATGGGTAAATAAAGCGTGTGGCATGAAGGGCTATCCCACGGTTCTCGTACATGAACATTTTTTAAAAAAGGTTTAAATCTAGAAGATGCATGTATTCCACATTTTCAGGAGATCCTCAGTGACGCTCCTGCTGGGGCTTCAGCTACTTTTCTGTTCTTCACTTGAGCCGAGGGGGGTGGGGGGGAGGCTGCTCCCCGGGGAGCAGGCTCTTTCCCCTGTAGTAAAACATCTCACCTCACAACAGCATCCCAGCAGGGAAGGACGATGGAATGACAGGACGCAGCAGGTGTGTGTCAGGGTGCTCCACACTTCCCACCTCTGGGCCATTTCTGGCTCCTGCCCAAGACCACTAACTTCAGACACGATCTGTAGCCCCCTCACCCCTTCCCACGGCCAATCCGTTGACCTGGGCGCTCCTGTGCATCCTGTGAGGGGCCGTATTTAAGGATGAAGGGTTGTTGGGGCGCCTGGGTGGCTCAGTCGGTTAAGCGTCCAACTTCGGCTCAGGTCATGATCTCGTGGTTTGTGAGTTCGAGCCCCGCATTGGGCTCTGTGCTGACAGCTCAGAGCCTGGAGCCGGCTTCAGATTCTGTGTCTCCCTCTCTCTCTACCCTTCCCATGTTCATGCTCTCTCAACAATAAATAAAAATGTTTAAAAAAATAAGAAATAAATTTTTTAAAAAGGATGGCGAGTTGCTGGTGACGATCATTGGAGATCATAGATCACTACCCAGAAATGGGTCTTACTGGAAAACTGGACAACCTCATTATGGTCTAATTAAATTTATTTTGATCCTCAAACCTTTAGGAAATGTAAAGAGAGTTATGCAGCAATTAAACACAAATCATAACAATCGCAGAAATAACATTATGGGCTGCTGCCATGGTCTATGGTCAGCGTCCCTATGAGGAAGGCATTATTACCCTCATCTTAGAGGCGTGGGCACTGGGGCTCAAAGAGGTTAAATAATCTCCCACCAGCACACAAACTGTAAGCAGCAGCATCCCATTTCTCTTCTGACCGCAAGCCGGAAGCTCAGAGCCATTCTTCCAACACCTTCTCTCTGAGTCCAAAAACCCGTGAGTTAACAGATATTTTAAACTTTGTGATACTAATCAGGAACAGTTTAAATATTCAGTTTCCCCATCTTCATTCTGTGTCCAAAGAAAAATACACATCCTGTGAGCTGATATCATCCAAACATGGATTCCTCACTTTAAACATCTATGCCACGTGACGGTGCAGCACGTCCTTGGGCACTACCCGTCAGACACTGCTTGCCAGCCAGCTCGCTGCTGCAGTTCGGACACCCAGTCAGGGCTCTCATCGTCATCCTCCTCAAAATCCCTGTGAAGAAACAATTTGGATATTAAGCCTCCATGTCAGGGGCACAGCAAGTATTTTTTTTTTTTTTTTGGTGGCTCAAAACAGAATGCCACCATCACAATATTTACGTTTTTGAAAAACGAACTCCATGAGGCAACTGAACAGAGAAAAAACATTGTTATCCCTTCCACGGACTTGCTTCTTCCGTGTTTCCATAACATTTGCAAAGAAAATGCTACATGTTAAAAAATAAGTCCAGGGGCGCCTGGGTGGCTTAGTCGGTTAAGCGTCCGACTTTCACTTAGGTCATGATCTCGCGGTTTGTGGGTTCGAGCCCCGCGTCGGGCTCTGTGCTGACTGCCAGCTCAGAGCCTGGAGACTGTTTCAGTCTGTGACACCCTCTCTCTCTGACCCTCCCCTGCTCACGCTGTCTCTCTCTCTCTCTCCCTCTCTCCTAGAAATAAATAAAAATATTAAAAAAAAAAAAAAATAAGAAGTCCAAGCGGAAGGATCAAAAACATGGCTCTATCAGGAATTCTATAATAATCCTGTAACATATTACCATCCCAGACAAAAATTCAAGATATAAATATTCGTTTGTGATGTCAAGTAATATAACCAGTTCTTGCTAAACCTGAAATTAAGGTAGAATGTAAATCACGCGTGCCAGCTACCACCATCTAGGTATATATATCCCAACGTACGTGTCCTCTGCATCCAATCTAGGCTCCAGTCTCTCTGGGTCCAAAGTGACAGAATCGTGGCCCCCGTCCACACTGTCTGGGGCTTCTGTTTCCTCAGACAGGGGGCCCTTCAAGAACTCTTCTGATCCTTCAAGAGGAATATTAACAGAAATTATGCCAATTTTAATAGTATATACTCCTTTAGTGAACATAGGACTAAAACCCTCCAAAAGACGGCTGGCTAACTAAGGACAATGCCAGGCCCTGTATTTCTTCTCCTCACATTAAACAGAATACTTTCTGGCATAAAATAGGCCCATGAAGCATCAGTATGGGTATTAAATTTACAAATAGCTCTTGCTTCAAAAGAAGAATTCAGAAAAGTACACTTAAAACCTCCAAATATAAGAACCTCTATTACAGTTACCTTTGGATGGTTGTATAACAGTTGTTTTCCCTTTCAGCTCCCCACCCCCAACGTTTCCCAATGGCGGGGAAGAACATTCCAGAATGGAGACCACACGCGTGCCTTCAAGAAATTTTCTAGATGGCAACTGCTTGCCGATTTTTGCTCACACAACAATAACCTAACACAAAAATGTGGGCTAAGTCTTTTTTTTTCAATGTTTTATTTATTTCTGAGAGAGAGAGAGAGACAGCATGAGCAGGGAAGGGTCAGAGAGAGGGAGACACAGAATCTGAAACAGGCTCCAGGATCTGAGCTGTTAGCACAGAGTCCGATGTGGGGCTCAAACTCATGGACCGTGAGATCATGACCTGAACCGAAGTCGAACGCTTAACCGACTGAGCCACCCAGGTGCCCCACAGCCCAAGTCTTTGTTAAACCCTGCTACGGCAGACTTTCTGACCAGTGACTTTCCTGAAGTGACAAAAACCTTTATCATTGGACCAGAAACAAACTCCAGGACCTACAATTGCTAAAACAAAATTCACAACCGTTGACCTTCCTGAACCTTGCAGGGCAGTTCTATCAGAATTCACCTCTACAATTCGCCTACAATCCTCTAAAATGCTCATGTGACTGCCGCGCTCCCCCACACTCTTTCAGGCAAGGAACTGGGTTTTATTCTTTTTTTTTTTTTAAATCTTAACCTAGAATATGTTAGGCACTCAATAAATACTGACCAAATAAACAAATACAACTAAATCTGTCACAATAAATACAGTTGAGAATTGTCACATGCTTTACTTGGCATAATTTGTCTTAGATCTTAACCTAGCATGGTGGCTTAATAATTGAATGATCAAACTTACACACACATGTACACACATGTAGACACCTTTAATGCACTGCTTTGGTCTAGATTCCTAAAGAGAATATTATAAAAGGTGATTTAGCACAGTTTTAGGGAAAATGTCTGTAGAAACAGTAAAAAAAAATCAAATCCTAATTATTTCTCTTCTTTGAGTTCTATTCAATACAGCAGAATTCAAGCATAGAGCAAAAGAAATCTTGAAGTGCCTCAAAGTTTACTATGATGGAGTCAGAACTAAAGTCGGTAAAGCAGTGGTATATTTGCATGGTAAAAACAGGCCACTCTTCAAAGTAGTCCTACCTAGTGAAAACAAATAAACAATAAAAGGTTATAAAGGGGTGCCTGGGTGGCTCATTAGACTGAGTTTAAGCTTCTGACTTTGGCTCAGATCATGATCTCGTGGTTTGTGAGTTGAAGCCCTGAATTGGGCTCTGTGCTGTCAGTGAGGAGCCTGCTTCAGATCTTCTGTCTCCCTCTCTCTCTCTGTCCCTCCCTGCTATCTCACACACACACACACACACACACACACACACACACACACACATGCTGTCTCTGTCTCTCTCTCAAAAATAAACATTTTAAATAAAAATTAAATAGAAGTAATGAAGCTCCATGGGAAATCTTAATTACAGCTCAAGACTGGCTGAAAAATATCCAAGAAAACCTAAAAAATACAATGTTATGAATGATTTCATAACTTTAAAATCAGTTATAACTTTTGGGGCACCTGGGTGGCTCAGTCAGTTAAGCATCTGGCTTCGGCTCAGGTCATGAATTCCCAGTTCATAGGTTCAAGCCCCGAGTTGGGCTATGTGCTGACTGGAGCCTGCTTTGGATTCTGTGTGTGTCTCTCTCTCTGTTCCTCCCAACTCATACTCTGTCTATCTCTCTCTCAAAAATAAATAAAGATTAAAAAAAATTTTTTTTTAAATAAAATCATTTGTAACTTCAAAATCAAAGTCTCTTGGAGGGGTGAATGGGAAATTATTTAATGGGTATGGGATTTCAGATTCGGAAGATGGGGAAAATTCTAGAGATGGATGGTGGTGACGGCTGCACAGCATACATGTATTTCATGCCCCCGAACTGTACACCTGAAAATGGCATACATGGTAAATTTTAGTCTTTGCATATTTTACCACACTTAAAAAAAAAAATCAAAGGGTTTTCACGGTTACATAATAGACTTGAGTCACCTGGTCTATATATTGTGTACGTTTGAAACGCCAGGCTGAGATCAGCATTCTTGAGGATGTTCATCAAAGTTTCTGGAGTCTCTTTGAGCCACTGCTTACGGGTGCTATTTTCATTATACTTTATTACAGAACCACCTAGTTGTGAAAAGGTAACAGTTAGGGCCACATAAAAAAGACCTTCGGCATGTATTTTCCAGACCATATCTGAAGCTAAGTTAATTATATTTTACTCTCTACTAAAATCTATTTCACTCACCTCCATGAGCACTGCTCTGATGTGTGACACCAGAGATCTTTTACAGGGTGATATTAAAAACAACAAGAACAACGTCTAGCCGATTAAACAACCACTAGAAAATGTTGTATGGTGGAGCACCTGAGTGGCTCAGTCGGTTGAACGTCAGACTTCAGCTCAGGTCATGGTCTCGCAGTTTGTGGGTTTGAACCCCGTGTCAGGCTCTGTGCTGACAGCTCAGAGCCTGCAGCCTGCTTGGCATTCTGTGTCTCCCTCTCTCTGCCCCTCCCCCACTCGCACTGTCTCGGTCTCTGTCTCTCTCTCTCTCTCTAAAATAAACGTTAAAAAAAATTTTTTTTAATGTTCTATAGTAACACCATTCTGTCAGACTACTGACCTCTCACATCCCCTGCCCCTAACGTGGAGGAGAGGATGGCTGCATTTTCCAAAGCCGTGACAGCTGTGTTGGGTACGTTCTTCTCCCACTGTCGCCTGAGAGGACTTGGTGAACTGGCTTTCTTCAGATGGACGGATTTATCTGATTTCAAAATGTTAAGAAGGATTGGTAAGCATATTATTTATTCGACGACAGGCACACATATACTCCAACAACGATACAGAAGTCTTTCTTTTCTCTTCACCTCCACTCACAATGTTCTTCTGAGTCTACGTAGTAAAGGGAATGGAAAAAAAAAAAAACAACCCTCCAAATGAAAAGGTAAAGCTAATCATTAAAGTGTATTTTTAAAAATATGTATATCTTTCACACTGTACGAAGAATGAAGCCCTGAGCGGTTGTATACTTTTGTACATGGTTCCTATGGTAGACAGTGCAACAAATACTGTTTTTTCTAAAGGCTCTTATTAATAAACACTGTTCTCTTTTTTTATGAGTAATAAAATATTCGTATGGCATTAAATAAATCACTAGATAAGCAAACAAAAATCTGCCAGTCCACTTGCTTATGATACAACCAAGTACAGTGAAAATCAGTATTCCTTCCATATTCCCTGGCTCCTCACGTATACAATGATTCAAATTTGAGTAACTTACCTTTCTCTTCATTTACTCTCCTCAGTGCATTTTCGACCGAATTTTTGTTAATGCTTTCTAAATCCATGTGGCTGGACTTTCTACCTTGTTCTTCCCCTTGCTTTAAAAGAGATTAAAAATAAAGATTAAACAATTCTTGAATTACTACAAACAAGGTAAGGTATAAAAAGTCAGCTACCTTAATTTTAAATAAAGATTGATGAATTAAAAAAACCTTAATAACTATAGAACCCCATATATAACTGTATGTAGAAGCCATATACATCATAAGTATGTAAGTTAAAAACCACATACATACCTATTTATGTGTATTAAATCACACCCACTACTAAGTATTAATAACGATCTTTGCAAATATGAAGAGGATATATAAAATCACAGAGGTATTTGAAGGGTCTTTATAGAAGCAATGAGTAATGAAAATTTCCAGAACGAGTTGCTGTGTTGGGCTTTTCATGCTGGAATATCAAAGTGAGATCTTTTATAAACTGGCTATATATAGTCAAGGTGTTCCCACTATTCGGTATTTTTCCAAATTATCTAAGCTTCTGATTTCATGTATAGCAACACACCGTCTGGACGCCACTAAATCTGCAAATATTTGAGTAAGACATGGCCCGTGACTAGACAGTTTGCAGCGTGTAGGTTCTCAATGATTCGTTGAATAAATAAACAGTAGGCTGTAGCTGCCACATGGTTCCTAATTTCTATACAGTGGCTCTCAAACTTCTCTCCCCATATGGCTAAGGACCCCCAGTAGACAAAGAAGTCAGAATCTTGGCTGGGTGGTGGTGAGGAGCAGTTTTAAAAGCCTTGAGAGGGGCACCTGGGTGGCTCAGTCGGTTAAGCGAACGACTTCAGCTCAGGTCATGATCTCACGGTTTGTGGGTTCGAGCCCCGCTTCGGGCTCTGTGCTGACTGCCAGCTCAGAGCCTGGAGCCTGTTTCAGATTCTGTGTCTCCCTCTCTCTCTGACCCTGCCCTGCTCACGCGGTCTCTCTCTCTCTCTCTCAGAAATAAATAAAACATTAAAAAAAAAAAAAATAAAAAAAAAAAAAAGCCTTGAGGGGGACGCCTGGGTGGCTCAGTCAGTTGAGCATCCAACTTCGGCTCAGGTCATGATCTAACCGCTCCTGAGTTTGAGCCCCATGTCAGGCTCTGCACTCCCAGCTCAGAGCCTGGAGCCTGTTTCAGATTCTGTGTCTCCCTCTCTCTCTGACCCTGCCCTGCTCACGCGGTCTCTCTCTCTCTCTCTCAGAAATAAATAAAACATTAAAAAAAAACAAGTTAAAAAAAAAAAAAAGCCTTGAGGGGGACGCCTGGGTGGCTCAGTTGGTTGAGCATCTTACTCTTGGCTTCAGATCAGGTCATGATCTCACTCCATGGTTTGTGAGTCCGAGCCCTGCATCAGGCTCTGCGCTGTCAGTTTCGAGCCTGCTTGGGATTCTCTCTCTCCCTCTCTCTGTCCCTCCCCCCTCATCTCTCCCTCTCGTCTCTCAATAAATAAATAAACTTAAAAAAATATTAAAAAAAAAAAAAAGCCTTGAGGGGAATCTGATGCTCCTTTCCCACTGGCAGTCACTGCTCTAGAGACAGCAGCCTCCAACCCCACCCCAGCCCCGCACCCCTGCCCCGCACCAAGCCCCGGACCAAGGCCCCGCACCCCTGCCCCGCACCCCGGCCCCGCACCCCGGCCCCGCACCGCTGCCCCACACCAGGCCCCGCACCCCTGCCCCGCACCCCGGCCCCGCACCACGGCCCCGCACCACAGCCCTGGCTCCCGGCCACCACATCCTGCCAGCTTGCCCGGACCTTCTCCCTACCTCAGCTCTTCCGTTACCTGACTTTCTGGCTCTCTCTTCTCTGCGTACGTTTAGCCCCCTCTTCATTTTGCAAGAACACATAGAAAGGCCCATTATAGGTAGGTATTAAAATGACAGTGGTGAGGGCACCTGGGTGGCTCAGTTAAGTGTCTGACTTCAGCTCAGGTCACGATTTCATGGTTCATGGGTTCGAGCCCTGCATTGGGCTCCACACCAATGTTTGGGATTCTCTCTCTCTCCCTCTCTCTTTCTCTGCCCCTCCACAACTTGTGCTCTCACTCTCGCTCTCGCTCTCGCTCTCTCTCAAAATAAATAAATACACTCAAAAAATAAAATAAAAGACAGTGGTGGTCACCTACAACAGGAGCCAGAATTGTCTGCAAAGGGCCCTGAGGAAACTTTTTAAGGGGCTGGGATTTCTAGATCTTGATTGTGGTGGTGGTTATAGGACTGTATAAAATTTCCAAAATTCATCAAACTCTGTACTAATGGGCAAATTTTATTGCTTATAAATTATGCCTCAATCAAGCTGGGGAAAAAAATAGATATTCCCGCACAAATTAAAAAACAAAGTACAGGGGCAGAATCTATCCCATTTGTCAATGTAATGGTGGAATGCTGTTGTTTATTTATGGCCAAATCTCCATTCCAAAAATTAACAAGTTTAATTACTAGTACATTCCATAAATAGAAAAATTTGCTGTTAGCGCAACATTTTTTCTTTCTGGAGTTAAAAGACTGACTAAACTGTTGAAGGAAGAAAAAAGCGTCGGCAGTAGGACACAAGTTACTGAGCTGGTCAGCGGATCCAAGTCCTACTCAGGACTTGACTGCAGCTTTAGGTCAAAGAGCTCCCAGCACCCAGGACAAAAGAAGACAAACAGGACCGTGAATGCCAGGCTGAAAAATGTCAACTTGCTTTCTCGGGTAATGGGGAGGCACCAGAAGTTCCTGAACAGAAAAATGTCAAGATCAAACTAGAGATCTAAGTATTATGTAGCCATAAAAAGGAAAATATTCTAATACAGCCTATAACATGGATGAACTTTTAAAAACACTATGCTAAGCAAAAGAAGCCAGACACAAAAAGACAAATATTGTATGATTCCACTCCTAGGAAACACCTAGAACAGGCACATTTATAGAGACCGAAAGTAGAATGGAGGTCACCAGGAGCTGGGGTGGCTGTGCAGGGCGAGGAGGAAAGGGGAGTTATTGTACAGTGGGCGGAGTTTCGGTAACGGGTGATGAAAAAGTACTGGAAACACAGCGTGTTGGTGGTTGCACAACATTGTGACTGTAATTGCAGCTGCTGAATCGTATGCTTCAAAATGGCTGGAATGGTAAATTCTATGTGACATGTGTTTTGCCGTGATGAGAAACAATCCAAAGCCAGACTAAAACAAGATCTTCATGATGGAAAGCAGAACAAAATTCTCTCACATCTATGTTGAAGCCACTTGTCATCAAGAATCCAAATGAAGAAACGGGTTTGGGGCAAAAAGAAAAGAAAAAGAAAAAATGAAAAGAAAAAAACAAAGCAAATGAACCAATGACCGGTGATCTAAACCAGCTTGGCGGGCAGGGCAGGTCAACAGCCACCAATGACCTCACGCGCCAAAGGATGAAAAGCTACTGGCCGGGACAGACCAGGTCCCAGTCTTACAAGCATCTCATAGCGCCGGATGGTACCCGTATAGGGAAAGCACTTACCATTATGGTTACCTCATTTCCCAAAGCTATCCGGATTCTGCTGGGGTCTGCTACAAAAGAAAAGAGATGGTAGGAAGAGAAAGCAAGGAAAGGCTCACATATTTTAAGTTCTTAATGTGATTTGCATAAAGTTTGAAAGACAAGTGAAGACAAATGTAGTTTTTCAAGTCAAAGGGCCAAAGCATTAGCCTGAATAGTGATATCAAGCTTTTGTAATTAAAAAAGAGGCTATTTCTGCTGTTTTGTTCCTAATGTTAACATCTGAAAGGTAGGACGTCATTATGCACCTATCCCAGCCCATTGAAGCATTAGGAGTAAGATACTCTGCATACCTGGAAGGTCATTATCATCTTCAGCTCAGGCGATAGCTATGGAGTCTGTGCTTTCCCTAAAGCAGGTGAATAGGTATCCCTCATAAGAAGAGAGTTGCTTCCTTATTTACATCAGCCAAACTACAGAAAGAGCCCAAATGTCCATTAATTGATGAATGGATAAAGAAGATGTGGTGTACATATAATGGAATATTACTGAGCCATCAAAAAGAACGAAATCTTGCCATTTGCGAGCTGCCTGGGCGGCTCAGTTGGTTAGGTGTCCAACTTCAACTCAGGTCATGATCTCATAGTTCCTGGGTTCGAGCCCCACCTTGGGCTCTGTGCTGACAGCACAGAGCCTGGAACCTGCTTCAGATTCTGTGTCTCCCTCTCTCTACCCCACCCCTGCTCATGCTCTCTCTGTCTCTCAAAAATAAATAAACATTAAAAAAAAAAAAAGGAAATATTGCTGTTTGCAATGTCAGATGGAGTTAGAGTATCATGCTAAGTGAAATAAGTCAGTCAAAGACAAATACCATATGACTACATTCATATGTGGAATTTAGGAAAACAGATGAACATACGGGAAGGGAAAAGAAAAACAGAGGGAGGCAAACCATAAAAGACTGATCTTTCCAGGCACCCAGGGGGCTCAGTCAGTTAAGCATCTGACTCTTGATTTTAGCTCAGATCATGATGGCATGGTTAGTGAGTTCAAGCCCTGCATGGGGGCTCTGTGCTGGCAGTGTGGAGCCTGCTTCAGATTCTCTGTCTCCCTCTCTCTCTGCCCCTCCCCTGCTTGCTCTCTCTCTCTCTCAAAATAAATAAACATTTTTTAAAAAAGAAAGAGACTCAGGGCACCTGGGTGGCTCAGTCAGTTGAGCATCCAACTTCGGCTCAGGTCATGATCTAACCGCTCCTGAGTTTGAGCCCCATGTCAGGCTCTGCACTCACAGCCTGGAGCCTGGAGCCTGCTTCAGATTCTGTCTCGGACTCTCTGCCCCTTCCTCTGCTTATGCTCTGTCTGCCTCTCTCTCAAAAATAAATAAATATTTTTAAAAAAATTTTTAAAAGAGACTCTTCACCATAGAGAACAGAGAATTGCTGGAGGGGTGGTGGAGGGGTGGGCAAAATGGGTGATGGGTACTGAGGAGGGCACTTGTTGGGATGAGCACTGGGTGTTGTAGGTAAGTGATGACTCACTAAATTCAATTCCTGAAACCAGTATTACACCGTATGTTAACTAATTAGAATTTAAATAAAAATGTGGAGGAAAAAAAAGGGAGCTGCTTTTTCCCTCCCAAGGTACTCGCAGAACCATGTCCCTTCGGTAAGAGTGGCTGATTTTCCCTGGCTGAGCCCTGCCTTCCATGTTCATCCTCATTCATTCAACATTTTTAAAAACTGCTATTGAGCATCTGTGATGACAGGCGCTGAGGATATGACAGTGAGTACATCAGACACGGCCCCCATTTTTTCAACAGCTTTGAAAAAATTAAGAGATGACAACTTCCAAAGAGACAATAAATTACGTTTGAAATTTGTTCAGGATTGACGTATGGAAATTATGCGTGGCCATTATGGGGACAGTTCCAACTTCTGAAAAGGTTCTGTTTTTAAAGTTTTGTTTACCAGATGATTCTTTGGAAACCTGGGAATAATTTCCTGGAAGATTAATGTTGTATTTTCATGGTTAGATTCCTAGGCAGAGAACAATCTTTACATCCCTAAAATCTCCAAACTAGGCCTTTTGATTCCTAGCCAACTAAATATATAAGAGTCAGTACAGAATTACACCAGAAATAGCAATAAGAAATTTTTGATTTTCAGGAATAGCTCTGAAATTGTCTCTAGTAACTTGAAAATCATATTTTTCTTTTTTTGTTATACTACATTTTAAAAGAGCACTTAGCAAAAAATAAGCTTTCCAAAATTCTTACTTTTTCTCTTTGGTGTACTATGCTTAGAATTCTTGATTTCTTCTAATACTTGCTCACCATATTCTGTGATGATCTGAAAATTTAAAGTAGAGAATTTAAAGATGTGGAATATGGTTTTCCATAGACATTGCCATAATGTCACTTGATTATCAACATTCTTCCCCATGATTCTATTTACAGCTGGAAAGGAAAAATGCCGGGGGGTCTGGGTGGCTCAGTCAGTTGAGAGGCTGACTTTGGCTCAGGTCATGGTATCATAGTTTGTGAGTTCAAGACCCTCATTGGGCTCTGTGCTGACAGCTAGCTCAGAGCCTGGAGCCTGCTTTGGATTCTATGTCTCCCTCTCTCTCTCTGCCCTTCCCCAAACACTCTGTCTCTCTCTGTCTCTCAAAAATAAATAAACATTAAAAAAAATATTTTAGGGGCGCCTGGGTGGCTCAGTCAGTTGAGCGTCTGACTTTGGCTCAGGTCATGATCTCATGGTTTGTGGGTTCAAGCCCTGCGTCAGGCTTTGTGCTGACAGCTCAGAGCCTGGAGCCTGCTTCAGATTCTGTATCTCCCTCTCTCTCTGACCCATCCCTGCTCAAGCTCGCTCTCTCTCTCTCTCTCTCAGAAATAAATAAAACATTAAATTTTTTTTTTAATTTTTAAGAAAAAAAGGAAAAAAGACAAGGAATAATGCCATTTAGAAAATACATATCATTTAGGCACACAGGTAGATATTTCTATAGGTCTAGAAAAAGATCTGAAAGCTTACACAAATTCTCCCTGTGATTATTCTCAGGGATCAGCATGGTGGAAGGGAGAGAAGAAAAGAAAGAAAGGGCGTATTTTTTAATACACTTCTGCATTATTTGAATCTTTATAAGCACGTACAACATGTCAGTGCATTTAAAAGATAACAAACCATTTTACCACACTCAAAACCTGTTCACAGTCATCCAGCATGTATCATACCTCTGGGGGCAAGCACTTGTGGACAAGCCGAGCCAAGGAGCCTCTGGACAGAAGCGTTGTAGTGGAAGGGCGATGTGAGGGGTTCCTTTTAAACATCTGCTTGATCAGCTGCTGCAGCTCACAGGAGTATTGAGGCGGCAGTGGCCTCAGGGACCCCTGACATATTTTGAGAATGAGACTTTTCCAGCTATTTGCCTGAAACTAAAAGGTAAAACCGAACTGTAAGAGAAGACACAAGGGAAGAGCAGAAGTAAGAAATCATCAGCTTAGCTGAATTCTTATGAATCATTTTAACTTTATAAATGTATTTGCTGCCTGGTCATTTTTCTTCCTGACAGGGTGGGGAGGGGTCCTTGAGGTACTCTTCGAAATCTTAGGATGGGTTCAGAAGAAAGGTAAGCATCAGTGCCAGCCTTGGGTTCTCTCTCACTCACAATCAAGGTGTTTGCAGATAACACATTTTAAACATATTTTAAAAATCAAAGTAACACACACATGTAGCTTAAGAAGGCAACGGTACTGACAGCCTTATGATAAGTGTAGCATCCCTTTGAACCTCAGAATACCCAAGGCCTCCACCTTTGAGAATCACACTCCAGACTTCTCCAGCTTTAAACTTCTACTGCCAAATCCCTTTTCACTTTCATACCATCAAAGTAGCTATTAAAATTTGATAAGCAGTAGAATGGGATATAAAATGACTTGCCAGAATAACACTTAAAAAATGTCCACTGCATGATAAACACTGGAATGAAGATTAGATGTTAGTTAGCCCTGGTAATACTCATTCAAGAACATGGCATTCCACCTTGGAAGGGTACTGCCCTATTGATGAAATATACAAGTGAAGATAGGGAAAAGGAAAAAAAATCAACATATTACAAGGGGCAAATTCAGATAGTAAAAAATACGAGTGAATCTGCTTTGTCTTAGGCTTTGGGACCATTATACCAGGTTTCTGCCTTTCCTATAGGTTTGAGAACTACTTTTGCCTCAAAGCAGATGAGCAGACTGTGTCAAATATCAAGGCCTTACACTCCTGAGTTCTTATTCTCGCTAGACAAAATACAAACATGTATATGAAAGTTTACCAAAAAAAAAAGAGACAAAATCAGGGATAAGATACTGGTATTTTAAAAATAATTTTATTTGTATACAACGGCGGTTTTCCACTTGAACTACATATTAGAACTATCTGTTTTAAAACTACTACTGTCCAGACATACTCAGGGATTTTAATTCCATTAGTCTGGCATAGGCCCAGACATCACCATTTGTTAAGGTTTCCCAAACTGTTATAATTATGCAGTTGGCGTTATAAGCCACATATATCCAAGGAAGACAGCCTCTTAATAGCACACGCCTTGAGTGTGAGTTGCTTTTACCCAGTGATGGCAAAAGCTTTTTCTCCATCATTCAGTCTCATACATTCTCAAGCGTGTCCGTAAAGATGCTTTTACGGGTGAAATAGGTGAAGGGGATTAAGAGGCACAGACTTCCAGGTATGAAAGTCATGGGGATGAAAAGTACGGCATAGGGCTTATAGTTGATGATACTCTAATAACTTTGTGCGGTGGCAGATGGTAACTACAGTTACAATGAGCATTTTGTAATGTACAGAACTGTTGAATCACCATGTTGTACACCTGAAACTAATATAAGACTCTATGTCAACCATATTTCAGTTAAAATTTTAAAAATTAAAGACCAAAAAATGCTTGGTTAGAGCCAAGTTTCAATCTGTGCCCAAAGGACAGAATTTATTGCCACTGAAGGCTAAGACCTAATTGGGAATTGTATTGTTAGTTCTGTGTAATAAATAAGTGCTAGATAAGTAGGGCAAGTTATTTAACCTCTTTTTTGCAAAACTGTTTCTTAAAATATCTTAAAAAAATAAACACAAAAATATTTTTTCCACAATAGCCAAAAGGTGAAAATAACCCAAATGTCCAATAACAGATGAATGGATAAACAAAACATGGTATAAGCACACAATGGAATAGTCAGTCATAGAAAGGAAATTCTAACCCAAAAGGAAAAGCACTGTGTAATGCCACTTACATGAAATATTTGGAATATGCAAATTTATGGAGACAGAAAGTGGATTAGAGGTTACCAGGGGCTGGTGGGGAGGGAGAGGGATCGTTTAATGGGTACACAGTTTTCTTGTCTGGGGCCACGGAAAAGTTTTGCAAATAGGCAGTAGTGATGATTGCACAATATTGTGAAGTAATCAATGCCACTTAAAATGGTACCTTTTATGTTATATATATTTTACAAACACAAAAAAATTGAGAATAGCAGGAAAAAGGAAGGAAGGAGGGAAGGAAGGAAAGAAGGCAGGCAAGCAGGCAAGCTAAATATAAAACTATAAAAACCAAATAATGGAAATTTCCTATCAGTATATGCTACAAAAGGGGCTCAAGGCAAAGGTGATGCCGATGGAATGAAAACTTGTGTATGAATTCATCTGTTAGAAGCTGGAGGAGGGTCAGTAATGTATCCTCCAGACTGAGAAGGTACTTTAGTACCAAAAAACGAAGCAAGCCACTCCGTACCATTTACACAGAGTTTTATGCCGAGTAACTTACAGATGGGGGCCATGGGCGGCCTGGTGAGGCGCGAGGTGGATCCAGGCACTACACAACTATTCTCTGCCCCTTCTCCACAGCTATGCAGACCTTAACCCCCAGCTTTTATGGAGTGAGGGGCATGGTGGGGAGGCCACAAGGCAGTTACCTACGTGGTGCCAGCTGTGAGCCAGAGGGAAGAACAAGATAGAAGGCCAAAGAGTGAGTCCATGCGGTCAGCACTCCTACATCGTCCTAGGGAAGCAGACTGCCAAGTGGGATCTGGCACATTCCTGAGGATATAGCCAGATTTTCCACTTTGCACACCATACTTACTGGATGCTTAAGGGTACAGAGTTCGTACAGAATGCATCCCAGGGACCAGATGTCACTAGAAGCATAAAGAAGCAACATAATGACAAATGTGTTATGAGTGACTATATGAAATATAAAAAAAGAAAAATGAAAAATTACCTTTAATAAGAATAAATATCCCAAGTAATTCTCAGAGATTAAAATAAAACACATTATAAAAAAATAAAAAATAAAATATGTGGTAAGTTTGCTCTAACACTTAGATATTTACTAACAGGAATGTTCACAATATAACTCTCTGCTCCCCAGCACCTAGCCCTCCAAAGCAGGGTGGTTCCGGTGTGATTTCATTAGCATGTGTTACAAGAGCGTGGATCTGTGGACAAACAATACTGTTTGTGATTAATAGAAGAAGGAGTCTGGAAGAAGGAGTCTGGAAGTCATGCACTGAGGCTCCCACTCACAACCATGCAGAGCCCCAGGCCCTGAGGAACAGTGCTCTACCTTGGGCACAGCCCACCCACCTCCCACTCTCCGATCCCGGGCTGGCTCTATGGGACAGCCATCTTCCTCATCATAAACTAAAATGTGCATCTCCTGGGAACCCTCACCACCTCCCCCCCATCACCCCGTGTTAGCTCTATGTTCCTAACAAAGAAAATGTGCTGACTCATTCTTCCACTAAACAGTTCTTCAAAAATCAGAGAAGACTTCTCTGGTTTGCCCCACACGCCCACCCTCCTGCACACTAAGTAAGCATCCTCTCTTCCTACACCACTCTCACTGCTTAGCTGTCACACCCCCAGACTTTTTCCATTTTTCCAAAACTCCTTTGCATTTTAACTAATGGCTTTGATCAACCATTTACCCCCAACTTCTGATTTTTTTTAACTTTCAAACCTAAAGTAAATGCCCGCATGGTTTCTTAGACTCCCCGGCTATTAACATTTGCCACGTATGCAAGCCGTTGCAACCATATAAATCTGAACCTCTTGAAGAAAAGACAGCAGACCTCAAAGCCTTCGCCCCTAAACACATCAGCATGTATCTCCTCAGAGCAAGGATACTCTCCCTTATAAACACAAAGCCATGATCACACCCAAGAAATGTAACCTTAATTCAATAATATTATTGAATATTTGTCCAGGCTCAGATTTCCCCAACCGTCCCCGTAAGTTTCTTGACTGCTGTTCTATTCCCAATTCACTCAGTTTTACTCTTAAAGGAACCTATTCAGTATGGATTATCATACCTTCCCAGAAATCAACTCCACAGAAGGCAACAAGAGCCATTAGGTGTTTCTACTTCTAGGAATTCATGCCAGGAAGGTGATCGATAATAATGACCTATATTTATGCACAACAGGTATATTAATCACAATACTGTTTGTGATACTGAAAATTGGAAATATATCATTAAATCAACAATATTTCTGAAGAGTTTAAATATGTGGTGAAATGAATGTGACATAATGTAAACAAAAAGGAGGAGCCAAGTTGTATATAGAGTACATAAACTAGGTTTAGGGGGGAAGTGAATAGATAGAAAAAATACCCAAATGTTATTAATAGCAGGGTAAGAGTGGTGACAGCCATATCCTTTCTTGTAGATCTATTTCCAAAATTCTCCCTGCTCATCCACTCCATCAACGGGCACGTGTTACTTGTATTCAGAAAAATATTATCTTTTAAATCTTAAGGCCTTAATATTCTCTCCTGATAATTAACTAACCCATCAGCCAAGTGTTTATTATCCAGTCCTGTAACATTAACTCACTGACATAACCCAGCAGTTCCCAAATTCTGCTGCACTTTGGAATCATCCGGTGATCCTGGAAAATTACGGATGCCTGCTTCCCACCCCCAGACATTCTGATGGAAATGGCAGGCTTGTAACCTGTGCTTTGGGATTTTTTTAAAGCGGGCACAGCAGAGCGTGAGGAGCGGTATCATTCACACGGCCTCTAGACATTTATCTTTGGCTCCTTTCAGCTCCGATTCAAACAGTTGGGAAACTAGGACTTTCATCTAGAAGCCTGGGCATTCTCCAATGCTTTCAAATATGTAGTTTTTAAAAACCAAACTTCACCGGAAGGCCGCAGTGCCAGTCGCCAAGCAGTGATGCTTGCATCAAATTAAGTCCATGACTTACCTTTTATTGTTATAAGGCATGTTTTCCCAAATTTCTGGGGGCACGTAATAAGGTGTTCCCACATATGTACAAGCAAACGCCATACGACTGAAACCATAAAGAGGCAAAGAACGGTTAGGGAGCATTCCTGAAGAATGGACGCTTTGATTGCTGTCACTACCACAGAAGAGAATTACATGCCTGGAGAGAAGACGGGCAGATCCAAAATCTCCCAGTTTTATTTTTCCATTTTGGGTGAGGAAGATATTCTGCATTAAAAAAGAAGAGCTCAGATTACGTCTTCCATCATTCACAGGGAAGCAGAGACCTCCTGAGAAGCTGTCTTTCAAAGCCCACTGAGGACAGAGATTAAGGGGAAGGATGCTGACAGCTGAGTCCCTGAGTGGAACACAAAAAAGGTCAAGACACCCTCTTGACAGCTACATATTCCGCTGCTTGCGAATTCAGGATCCCTGCTTAGAATCAAACAAGTGAGCGTGAGACTGTATCAGCAGACCCTGATGGACCACCTGGGAGCCTGTGTCAGGGTGACTCCGTGTGGCAGGCCCAGGTCTCGACCATCTTCCACCAGAGAGCGTACGGTCGCAGTAAGCAGTGGCAAAGAGAGCATGGAACACAGTAACAGATACTACTAAAGAGATTTCATGATCGTTCTCAGGTAGTACCTTACTTGGCTCAGATAAACGTTAGGTTGAGAAATATTTCTAAGCTAACTAAAAATGTCCCAGAAGGAGGCAGAATAAAACAGAAAAAAAGCTGAGTGGAATAGTTTTTGTTTCTGTTTTTGCTTTTAGGCCCCACAAGGTATTCCACTTACCTTGGACTTGATATCTCTGTGTAACACACGTTTCTTATGAATGTGATTTACTCCAAGGCACATTTGTGTAAACCAATTAAGTATCTGGAAGAAAAAAGGTCGCAATAATTGCAGAAATGCACTAAGTGGTTCGTGTTAAGCCCAAATCCCAAAGAATAGGCTCTAGGCCTTAGTTGACCTGGGGTTTCCATAATGTAAATACAGAACTCCTAAAAATTACATAGTTCAACTAAGAGTCAATGTTGCCTGGAGAAATTCAGAAAAACTGTGAAGCCCATGTTTCATCATCTTACATATGATCTAAATAACAACTTAGTTCAATAAAACTCTCACTATGGTTTTCTTGAATTCGACCAAATAAAAGTTTTCCTTAAATATATATATAAAGATAGTTCACCACTAAGGAATAAGTACACTACTAATTTTTGTAATTTACTATGTCATATTTTCATTTACTTTGTCAGAATGTTCATGTTTTTTTTTTTTAAATGCCTTTTTTTTATTTTTAAATATTTTTTTATTTATTTCTAGGAGAGAGAGAGAGACAGCGTGAGCAGAGGAGGGTCAGAGAGAGAGGGAGACACAGAATCTGAAACAGGCTCCAGGCTCTGAGCTGGCAGTCAGCACAGAGCCCGACGCGGGGCTCGAACCCACGAACCGCGAGATCATGACCTAAGCGAAAGTCGGACGCTTAACCGACTAAGCCACCCAGGCACCCCCAGAATGTTCATATGTTAACATTAAAAGATTTCATTCTATTGTCAACAATCTTGTGAGGTCAGCATTTCTGCTCATAAATCCCCAGTCAATACTAGTCAAAATTTCCATGTGCCTATGTTTAAATGTCAAAAGGATTTCTTTTTTTAAAATGTTTATTTGTTTTTGAGAGAGAGAGACAGAGTACAAGTTGGGGAGGGGCAGAGAGAGATGGAGACATAGAATCCGAAGCAGGCTTCAGGCTCTGAGCTGTCAGCACAGAGCCCCATGCGGGGCTTGAACTCACCAGCAGAACTCACCAGCGAGATCATGACCTGAGTGGAAGTCAGATGCTTAACCGACTAAGCCACCCAGGTGCCCCATTTTTTTTTTCTTTTTTGCTATGGAAATTCATTCCTTTGACGTCCTTCCTCCTTCTATCACAACTTCTAAATGAAAAATATTTACCTTCATAACATGCATTATACCCTAAATCAAACTAAATCTCATCAAGGTTGTTTGTTTAAATATTTTCCGGGTGCCTGGGTGGCTCAGTCAGTTGGGCATCTGAGTTCTGCTCAGCTTATGATCTCACAGCCTGTGGGTTCGAGCCCCGCGTCGGGCTCTGTGCTGCCAGCTAGCTCAGAGCCTGGAGCCTGTTTCAGATCCTGTGTCTCCGTCTCTCTCTCTGACCCTCCCCTGCTCATGCTGTCTCTCTCTCTCAGAAATAAATAAAAAACATTAAAAAATTTAAATATTTTCCTTAGTCAATTCATTTCAATAGTATTTAATATACAAGTTTCCATTAAAAAGGCAGGAAGTACTAGACTTAAGAGAATGTGTTAAGATGTAAAAGGAAAAAGAGTGAGATAGGTACTCTCAAGAAAAAGGAATTTATACTTCATCTGGATGATTCTGTAATACAAAATAAATCCATCCACCTTCTAAAATTTCAGTACAACACAACTGTAAATTTTAAATATGTAGGACAAAAAATGAATCAGATAATTTTGAAATTCTTTTAAACACAGAAGTTTCATTCCTGGATATTTCATAAACAGGGGTGCCTGGGGAGCTCAGTCTGTTGAGAGTCTGACTCTTGATTTCGGCTCAGGTCATGAACCCAGGGTCATGGGATCAAGCCCCACGTCAGCCTTGCGATGAGTGTGGAGCCTGCTAAAGATTCTCTCTCTCTCCCTCTGCCCCTCCCTCACTTGTACTCTCTCTCTTTAAAAGAAAAAAAAAATGTTTTTAATGTTGGTATTTTATCAACATATCTATTTAACTTCCTAAAAATATCTCAAGCAGCCAGATCTTGAACACAAAACTGTAGCACTGATATGGAAATGAGCTGTTTCTAACTAGTGTATCAGGTATCATAGTGTATCTGATACACTATGTGTATCCCATAGTGTATCATAGGTACAATGCCTTTATTTGAACTTCTACAAATTTTACGAGGAAAGTTTGCTTCTGAACCTTGAGAGAAACTATGTAAGTCTGTCTCTTACCGTATCTTCAGGAAACAACTTTCCTTTCTGATGCTTAATCTTCTGCATTAGGTCCCCTCCATCACAATATTCCATCACAATGTACAGGTGTCCCTCAGCTAAAACAAAAAGAAGACTCTTTAGGAAAGCCTGGTGGTCATAAATCAAATTTCACATTGCATGCATTTGGGGGAATTCATATTTACCTTCAAATGATTCTTTAAAGGCAACAATGTTGGGGTGTTTCATTCTGGCTAACAGAACAGCTTCCTTCCTAGAATTCTGGGTACCAGAGAAAGACTGGAAAAAGATTTTAAACAGCATAAATGTAATACTTCATTTTAAAACAGATACTTTTACAACATTACAGTATACAGTTGACCCTGAACCACACAGGGGTCAGAGGTAATGGTCCCTGTAGAGGTGAAAATCCACATGTGACACCTGACTCCCCAAAAATGTAAATACTAATAGCCTTGCCAATAACATGCACAGTCAATTAACATATATGCTATATGTTTTATGTGTTATATACTGTATTTTTACAATAAAGTAAGCTAAAGGAAGGAAAATATTATTAAGAAAATCACAAGAGAGAAAAAAATACATTTATACTGGACTGTATTTATCAAAAGCATCCTTATAAATGGACCCATGCAGTTCAAACCTGTGTTGTTCAAGGGTCAGGTGTGGTTTGTATACTTCAATGCTAGATGCAGTTTTACAGCACTGAACTTTGACCCAACTTACGTTTATCAAACTCTAAGAGAAAAAGTGGTGATTTTCAATTACGGCTATATTTTGCATGCTTGAGCTGACCCCTAATGTCCTTGCAAGTGTAGAATGTAAACCAGTTTTAACATGAGCCTAACAGGGATGCCTGGGTGGCTCCGTCTAAGGGTCTGACTTCGGCTCAGGTCATGACCTCACAGTCGGTGGGTTCAAGTCCTCCTTGGGCTCTGTGCTCACAGCCCAGAGCCTGGAGCCTGCTTCGGATTCTGTCTCCCTCTTTCTCTGCCCCTCCCCCACTTGTTGCTCTGTCTCTCTGTCTCTGTGTGTGTGTCTCTCTCTCAAAAATAAATAAACATTAAAAAAAAATTTTTAACATGAGCCTAAGCATAATTGAATTTGTGAGCCAGGATGCCATTAACAATAGTATATCTTTAAGGAAAACCTGGGGCTGTCGTGTTTTAAGGTCTGCATCATGTTTCCAGACCACTGGCCCAGACGAAAAAGGAGACTGATGCGTTTCTGCAGTCAGGATGGGAGATGATTTACAAAAGGAGCTTCCAAAGCTGTTTGTGGCCTCACTTACTCTCCTGAATGACTTATATCTTTCAATGAAGAAAGGCCATCGACTGCATGCTTGCACAAGGGTACTCAGACCGGCACTGCCATCGCCTGGGAACTCCCTAAAAATGCAAATTCACAGGCCAAGCGGGACCTACTCAGCCAGAGGCTGGGGCGGGGGACAGCCATCTGGGTTTTAACCTCCAGATGTCTTTGAAGCCCACCTGAGAATCACTAAACGAGGTCAAGAACGCAGTGGGGAAATACAATTCTGAGAATTTTATTAAAATCTTTTTAAAAGATTGATCAAGACATTATCAAGCAGCTTCCATGGCCCAGTTGCTTTTCCATGACAACTATGATAAACACCAGTTAAGTCAGCACCTTCCTCATCTTACAGGGAAACAAAACCCAAAACTGAGCCACAGAATAGGCTTCCTGAGACCAAAGGTTAGAGTGCTAGGTTTTTGCCCTTCATTGTATTTTTATGCTCCACTTTCATTAATCTGGCACCTGATCTGCCGTTGGCAAAGATTCCCTCCTCTTAGGTACGCAAAATTGGAAATTATTACGAAGTATTCATTGAGATAAAATAAACAGCAATCGCCACCTAGACTATTTTTCTCCCTTATTATTAATTACAATATCCAAAAATCCACATAAAATATATCAAGACAGCCTGGCTCAGTCGGAAGAGCATCTGACATTTGATCTCGGGGTCATGAGTTTGAGCCCCACATTGGGTGCAGACATTACTTAATAAATTCAACTTAAAATACATACATACATCAAGACCTTATAAAGCTAAAGAATAAACCCATTACATCTTTTGCTCGCAAAAGCAATTCCATGTAAAATCTCAAGAACTTATTGCCCTGGACAAGTTGCATGTACACCTTCACCATGAGCGAATTGCCTCAGGAGGTACCTTGGGAAGCCTTATTTCCTTCATGGCAAATATCTGATTACTGTTTTCTTGCTGAACCAAAAGGGCTCTGCCGAAGGAGCCCTCTCCAATCGCCCTCAGGACCACGTAGCCATCCATGCTGAGGCACCACGCAGCCCCCCTCCAGTCGCACAGTAGCCACAGCTTCTCCCAACCTATATTCAAACACAGAAAATTTGAGAATTAAATTTACTTTCAAAATGCAGAATCAATTCAAAGTAGCTCTAATCACCCTAATAGGACAACAGCAATTTATTCCTTTATTCGTTGAACAGGTAGAGCACTCACGCCAGCTTTTATGATCCTGAATAAGAAAATACAGGGGCACCTGGGTGGCTCAGTCCATTAAGCGACTTGATTTCAGTTCCAGTCATGATCTCAGGGTTCCTGAGTTCGAGCCCTGCATGGAGCCCCACATTGGGCTCCACACTGACAGCATGCTTGGGATTCTCTCTTTCCCTCTTTCTGCGCCTCCTTCAAACATGCTTGCTTGCTCGCTCTCTCATTTAAAACAAATACATAAACTTAAAAAATACATTTACAGAACTGTACTGCATTTATCAAAAAATCTTCACATAAGTGAACCTGTGCAGTTCAAACCGTTTTGTTCAAGGGTCAAGTGTGGTTTGTATATTTCAATGCCAGATGGCATTTATACAGCACAGCACTTCGATCTCTCATGGTCCGTGCCATCACACACACGACCCAGACCAGAGAAGACCTCCGGCCTCCTCCAGTATAGGGTGGTGAGTCTCACAGAAAGCGTTCTGCTGGCACAAGGCAGAAATATCCAGAGGAGTTAGGAAAATGACATTTAACTGAAGTCTGAAGGATGAATGGAAATCAGCCAGGAAGAGTGATGTAGGCAGAAGGGCTGCCATGTTTTAAGAGCAAAAGAGACTGTGTTCAGTTCAAGGAAGTGAAAGAGAACTGTTAACAGGCTGGTGACGCAGACAGGACCTTGTATGAAGGCTACCGTAAGCCAAGCCAAGGTTGCTGGATTTTATCTTTGGGGTAGTTAATGTGCTGTCTCTGAAGGATTTTAATCAAGAGAGCATATTAGAAAACTCACTCACTCAGGCTGCAGAGTGAATGGACCGCACAGAGAAGGGGGCAGAAAGGGCTGGAGTGGGACTCCAAGAACAGAAAAGGCAAAAAAAATGATGATGGGGTAGAATACGGTGAGGGCAATGGAGATGAAGAAAACGGAAAGGAAGGATGTAGAAAGAATCGGCAAGGGTTTTGGCAACAGATTTATGGGGAACAGCTAGGAGAAGAGGCCAAGGTAGACTCCCAGGTTTCTGGGATAAACTGAGTGAGTGATGATACCATTCCCTGAAGGAAAAGAAAACCACAATGGTTGTGTACGTGTGTTTCTGGCAGTGCGAGTGTGGCAGCGGCAGGGAAAGGCACAGTGAAAGGAGACACATTCATTTTAGGACATGTTGAATTGGAGATGCCTGGGATAAAGAACTGATCAGCAGAGGGGTACCTGGGTGTCTCAGTCGGTTAAACTTCCGCTCAGGTCATGATCTGAGGGCTAGTGAGTTCGAGTCCCATTGGGGCTGTGTGCTGAGGACTCAAAGCCTGAAGCCTCTTTCTGATTCTGTGTCTCCCTCCCTCTTTGCCCCTCCCTTTCTCTCTGCCCCTTCCTCCCTTGCTCTTTGTCTCTGTCTCTCTCGCTCTCAAAAATAAACATTAAAAAAAAGAAGAAGAAGAAGAGATAAGCAGAGCCTTGAACATCAAGGTCCTTTTCTGTATTTCTAGGATGAAGCAGTTAGCTGGATGGTTCATAGGTAAAGTAGAATGAATATAAAGTTCCTAACATTTTGCCTGGTACAGAGGAGACCCTGCATAAATGGCAGCTATTATTATTAAAACTTTAGAAAGATGATGCAATTTTTTCTCACTGTAGAAAAAAACCCACTAGAACGAATTACCTTAACTTTTAGAGAGCTTACATGTAGTATCGTTTATGTTTTAAAATCACACCACAAAGAATTATGAGGCAAAGAGAGCACTGCAGGTAAAGCCAAAATCACAAACCAAAATCTACATAGTACAGCGATCTGTAAACTGTCATTTGTATTCACGTGTATCATAGAAGGACTCGGAGACTCTAGAAATTTCTGCATATTGACCAACTTGGATATATTCTGTTCAAAACTAATTCTTTTCCAGAAGAGTCAGGCCTTTCCATATATTTAAGGAGCAGAAAGAAAAAAGAGTTCCTTTGCCACTATTATAACTGACTCTTGGTATTGCCCGATTTAACAAGGAGGCCAAGTTTTCCCAGATTTCTATTCTTTTCTTTTATGTAATGGACAGTAACCGATAAGTAAGGACGACCACTGATTTTTCTTAGCTGAACACCAACATTTATTTGGTCGTTTCTGCCCACATTTGCCCATTACTCAATATTAACACCCATATTTCAGTAAAAAGACCTGTATATACTCCGAGTGTCACAAAGTCCCTTTGCACGCCTCTCCCAGGCAAAAACTGGTAAAAGTGATTTGCAAATGGCCAGAAATGGGAGCAAGGGTGAAAAACCTTGGAGCTCAAGTTTAGAAGGTACTGAGCACGGTGACCGCACCTTGCGGCAGGCCAGCCGCGCCCAAATCGTTCCTCCGGGAGAACCCGCGCCACCTCGAAGTCCCCCACCTGCGCGGCACCTGCAGGGCACCTGCGCCACGCGGGGCGCCCAGAGGGCCCGAGGCTGCGGGGGAGGGGGGAGGGGACCTGCGGGCGAGCGGCCCGGGCCCGGGCCGAGCTGGGGCGTGGATCCCGGAGCGCCAAGAGCGGGTCTCCCACTCGTCCCCACCGCGCGAGGGCGGCGCCCACTCCACGGGCCCCAAGCCGTCACTACGGTCGCGCTCATTCCTCCAGTCTCCGAGCCTGGCGGGGGAGGGGGGCGCTTACCAGCTTCCCAGGCGACCCAAGAAGGCCTTTCCGTCCGAGCGTTTCCGCCGGGCGGGCCCAGCCGGTCGTCTCTCGGGTTGCCGGTGAAGGAAGGTTCCCGGGTTGAGCGGGAAGCGCTGTTATCGGAGTAGCCGGGCCTACTAAGGGCGTGTTTTACAAACCTTTGATCCACGTTGCTCTAGAACAACGCCAGCAATATTGAGGGGGAAAGAATCTCCCAGCAACATGAGTTTTGCCTCCAGTTTAAGCGAACAGCTCATATAGACCAGTTTCTTGGGCCCAGCATTCCCCTTTCTACCTGAATGATACTGGGTAAGTGTGGAGAGGGGAACAGTACCCCCACCCCCATGTCTACCTCCTTCTCCATGTAAGTTGTGGATGTTAGGTTCCATGGCAAAGGGCAGTAAAGATTGCAGGTGGAGTTAAGGCCGCTAACCAACTAACTCTAAAATATGGAACTGACTTTGGATTCTCCAGCTGGACCCGGTATGATCACAATGGCCCCTTCAAGTGGAAGAGAGGGACAGAGTACTGGTCAGAGACATCTGAAGATGGAGGAAGGGGCCGTCAGCCGAGGAACGCAGAAGGCCTCAAGAAGCTGGAAAAGGCCAGAAAATGAATTGCCCCTTAAACTTCCAGAAGAAACACAATCCTGTTTATACTTTGTTTTTAGTCCAGTGAGATCTAAGCCAGACTTCTAACTTGCAGAAGAGAATACCTTTATGTTGTTTTAAGTCACTGTGTGGTGATTTGTTATAAGGGCAAGTCTAGAAAACTCATACAGCGAGTCATTAAACCTCTCTGTGTATGAGTATAGTACCTGCTTCATAGGAGTATTGTGAAAATCAAAATGGGTATACGGTAAAACCTTGGATTGCGATTAACTTGTTCTGAGTGTTCTGCAAGACAAACATTTCTAATAAATTTTAACTTGATAAACCAGTGAAGTCTTGTAACACAAGTAGCATTCGATGCTGAACGTCACATAACAATGGAACCAATGATTCTTCTCTTCTCTCTCTCTGGGATTGTGGGTGATCGGAAGGCCATGGTGTTTGGCAGAAATCGGTGATTTCTCAGAACATTGGATGGTGCCCACAACTGGCAATGGTGTATTTTTTGTCACTTCAAAGTACCTATTGTGGCAGGGTCCCCTCCCTAAGGAAAGAAAAAAAAAAAGCCTCAAGGCAACCTGGCTATACATGACAACATCCCTCACGACCTTGTAATATGAGACCACTTAATCAGACTACATGTTTGTATGTTACCATATATGGGAGACAAAGAAGTAAAAAATATATTTAAAAAAAACTATGCCACGTGGGGTTTGGGGCTCAGTTCTTTGGTTAGGAACCCAACTCAGCAGTGCAGGCATGAATAAAGTTGCTTCCTGGAAAGAAAAGCATCCATGTTATGACTCTGTATGTGAGAATCATGCTACACTATGGACAGTCCTTTGTTTTTCCATACAAGAATAAGCTTAGGAATGCTTTGCTTCATTCTAGGTCATTGGGTAGTTCCCCTGTTAACATTGAAAAAAAGGAAAAGAGGGGCGCCTGGGTGGCTTAGTCGGTTAAGCGTCCGACTTTCGCTTAGGTCATGATCTCGCGGTTCGTGGGTTCGAGCCCCGCGTCGGGCTCTGTGCTGACTGCCAGCTCAGAGCCTGGAGCCTGTTTCAGTCTGTCACTCCCTCTCTCTCTGACCCTCCCCTGCTCACACTGTCTCTCTCTCTCTCTTAGAAATAAATAAAACATAAAAAAAAAAAAGAAAGAAAAAAAGGAAAAGATTCCATTGAGCCAATGCATAGCAGTGATTGTTAATGATATTGAAAATCGTCCTACACAATAACCCTCCTCTTGTTTTCTCCCTCACACCAGCCACGAAGGTTTTCAAAGGTAAGTGCAGTTAATTTTTGTTTTGTATTATCTTTATAATTTTGTATTATATTACAGTATTGTTATCAGGGTTTTAAAAAAATTTTTTAATGTTTATATTTTTGAGAGAGGAACAGAGTGCAGGCCGGGGGTCAGGGGAAGTAGCAGACAGAGAGGGAGGAGACAGACTCTGGAAGCAGGCTCCAGGCTCTAAGCTGTCAGCACAGAGCCTGACGCAGGGCTCAATCTCATGACCTGTGAGATCATGACCTGAGCCTAAGTCAGGATGCTTACCCAACTGGGTCACCCAGATGCCCCAGTACTGTTATCATTACTATATGAATATGTTGGGGTTGTGGAATGTATCATCTGAGTTTCCATTATTTCTTATGGGAAATTTGCTTTGATATACAAGTGCGTTGGATTACAATCATGTTTTTGGAATGACTTATGCCTTGGAAACCAAGGTTTCACTGTATTAGAAGGTATACATATTAGAACAACTTTGTTGTTGTCTGTGCTGTGCATGTTCACTATAATATAGCAGAGTTAATGTGCTATTATTCTATCATATACAGAGAAGAGCAGGGTCTCTGGAGTATAATAGTCTTTCTGAATGGCCAACATCTGCAACATCTGCATTGGTTGGTTTCAATTAAAGAAATGAAGACAAAACTACTAGACATGCCTATGCCCAGAATGCTACTACAGCTTGTTTCCATGAACATACTCCCGCTGTTCAAGCTGTAGACACAGACCTCAACCACTTTATTATCTTTAATTTTTTTTTAAATGTCTTTGAGAGACAGAGAGCGAGCAGCGGAGAGGCAGAGAGAGAGGGAGACACAGAATCTGAAGCAGCTCCAGGCTCTGAGCTGTCAGCACAGAGCCCAATGTGGGGCTCGAACCCACAGACTGTGAGTTCATGACCTGAGCTGGAGTCAGACGCCTAACCGACTGAGCCACCCAGGCGCCCCAGACCCCAACCACTTTAAATTCATGACAGCACTGGGGCAAAAGTCATGAAGCCGCCCAACTCTTTTCTTTCTCGCCCAGTGTTGATAATCATGAAAAGAAATCTTTCATCTTGTTCCAAGAATATATTAGTTGGCTAGGCCTGCCCTAACAAAGCATCACAAACTGAGTGGCTTACACAACACAAGTGTATCCTGTTACAGTTCTGGACCCTGCAAGTCCAAAATAAGGGGGCCAGCAGGATTCTTGCTGAGGCCTCAGAGAGGGGCGTCTCTGGCTTTGGAAGGCGGTCTCTTCCTTGTGTCTTCACAGCACCTTCCCAGGCATACTGGACTAGGAGCCAACCCTAGACCAGTCTTACTTCATATTAATTGCATCTGCAATGACCCGATTTCTTTTTTTTTTTTTTTTTTTTTATTTTCTAGGAGAGAGAGAAAGAGACAGCGTGAGCAGGGGAGGGTCAGAGAGAGAGGGAGATACAGACTCTGAAACAGGCTCCAGGCTCCGAGCTGGCAGTCAGCACAGAGCCCGACGCAGGGCTCGAACCCACGAACCGCGAGATCATGACCTAAGCGAAAGTCGGACGCTCAACCGACTAAGCCACCCAGGCGCCCCAATGACCCGATTTCTAAAACACGTCACATTCTGAAGTACTGGGGGCTAAGATGCCAACGTAACATCTTTGGCGGGATACAATTCAACCTGTAACGATCAGCAAGCATGGACTAGTGAGTGTGGGGAAGAGGAAATAGTGAGAACAGATCTAACCCCTTTTCTCTACAGCTGTTCCCAAGCTGTGGATCCCAAGCAGGCGACCTTCTGAATTGGGTAGTGACAGGAAATAACATATCACTATAGATAACATATACAAGGTACCAGGCATCGTTTAAGTGAATCAATCTAGGTGAAGTGTTTAGCGTAGGACCAGATAAGGGTGTCAGCTAGCAACTCATTTTACTCTCCAAAACACCCCTAAAGTTACCATTATTATCTCTGGGGTGCAGAAAGGTCTGTTGTCTCAGGTCCCACAGCTAATACGTGGCAGAACTGGAATTAGGACCAGGGCAGTATGGTAGGACTCGAGTCTGATTCTTTTTCTTTAATTAAAGTTTCTTAATTTTGAGAGAGAGCACGCACATACACACACAAGCAGGGAGGGACAGGGAGAGAGACAGTGAAAGAGAGAGAATTCCATGCGGTTCTGCACTGTCAGCACAGAGCCTGATGCAGGGCTCGAACTCACAACCTGTGAGATCATGACCAGGGCTGAAACCAAGAGTCAGATGCTTAATCAACTGAGCTACGCAGGTAGCTCAGGCACTATAATGTATTTCAAAAGCAAAGTTCAAATTCATTCACTGTGGTTAAACAGGATTTCATATTTGTTGAAATAAATGTCACTGAAACAGCAAAATACAGATAAATTTATTTATAAATATTAGGTACACAGTTTATGAAAGAATAAAAAATCCTATCTAGAACATAAAACAATAGAACAAAGATAGGTGCTATTATACAAATGGAATGAGCAAATATAAGACTATGTGATTTTCATGCACATTTACATTATACACAGTTTTAAAACTAACCTATCTTTGGAGCTATAAAATTGGTAGACGATGTATTTAAGGATTAGTTCAGAGAGTTACAAGACAATTTTATTGGTGATACTTATGTGTAGGGAGAAGAAACGGTTTATTGTATACAACTATTATGTTTCAAGGGACATGACTTAACAGTAAAGTTTTTAGAAGAAACTATTAGTTATTTTAGAAATTCTACTTAAATTAGAACAACATTATATATTCCTGCTCTAATTTCATTCTAAAAGTCTACAACTCTATCAAATGAAACAATACCAGTTACAATTTTAGCGTTTTTAGATAGTCAAGTTATAGAAGGAACTAAAGAAAGAAACTCAGATGGAAAGTTTCAAATACCCAGTGTGTTTGGCACCTTTTCTTTCTTACTACAAAGTACCTGCTCTTAGACGCGGGGTATTTAGTTAATTACCCTTCCTGGTGACCTCAGCTACAATAAAGAAAGAGAGAAGCCAACAGAGACCAGACTCCCTAAGCACAGATGGAAAGCAATAGTGAGGAGCCAAAGCACAACAGACCACAGCAGTCTGCGGAACAAGAAGTGGGTGGAAAAGCAAGCCGACTCTTCCATGTCTTCACATTTGAATGGAATCACTCTCTGCATTACAATTATTGACTTTCCTACTGGTCTAGAATTAAGGAAAGGCAATGAAAAGTCAGTATTCTGTTTAAAGGCTGGCATGTATGTTATGAATTTCAAGAACATGCCTATGCAAATATATAAATTTTATCTAGAACACCTTTTCCGATGATGCAGCATTATTGTTTACTGTGCTTATATTTAATGACAAAAAATTTATCTCTAACTTAAGACTATTCAAAGCGAACAAGCCAACATTATGATGAAACTGGTTTATATCCAAGGAACATAGTCAACTACTTGACAAATTTACCATCTTACAAACCTCCTCTGCCAAGATCAGAAAGGCAGGCTTAGCTTTCTGCTGCCCAGAAGGCAATACCTGCTATAATATAAACATCAGTAAGAGAGCTTACTGCCACCAGTATTTTGGTACTTGGCCAACTCCTGAATGACACACAACACCACAACACGCAAACAAAATACCCCAGGAACAACAAAAAACCCATTTCTTATCATTGTTTTATTTCTCTTCTATGGTTCCAGGCGCCGAGTACATGGGGCGTAGCGCGATATTGGGGCGGCACACAAAAGCATCGGTTTCACCTTCCAACACTGTCAATTCTTCCAGAGACGACACACAAGGATAATGGTCTTTCAACATATCTGGCAACTTAGCGGTGTTCTCTTGAATGCGTCGAGAACGCCTCACTGGTGTTAGAAACTTTAGCTCTTTAAATGTAGGATCTGTATTGTCGAACTGTATCTTCTTTTTTTCACTAAGAAGACACAAAATTATTCCCAGAGTTAAAAAACATGAACGTTTTTACTTGTTCTTTTATGCCGTTTATCTTACTATGACTTGTATGTTACAACCATGTGATTGGCGGTCTTACAGAAAAGGAGGTACCAGAGCTGCTCGTGGTTGGGAACTTACTCCTTTCTGTGTTTGTCGTCACAGCACGTACACAGCAGATTCTTGAGTGTCTGTACAATTGGCTATTTGCTCAATTCCAAAACCTACTATTATGAATAATATACAGACATCAAAGTACAGAGATCTCAAAGTTTTCTTTTACAAAATGGCAATTCTTAGGGGAAAGCAAAGCAAATACGGTATTTAAATGGTGAAATCTCCCAATGATACTGATTTGTTTGAAACTGTTACCTATTAACACACGATAGTTCTTATTAGAAGCAGAAGACTTTTAGACACCATATTTATTATTCTTAAACATAAAAACAAATCACAGCACATTATGTTTTGAAAGCTCACCTCTGTAGGTACGGTGTAGTAGACACGTTATATTTAATTAAGCAACTCCCTCTGGTTTCTGTACTGGGGGTTTTAACGTCATTGGTGGAATCTTTTGGTTTGTCATCTTGCTCTTTTTCATCATCTTGAAATAGCACTTTTCTAGTTTTCATTTCCATTTCTGGTTTTCCTGACTCTAGATTGACCCCTCTATCTTCAGTGTTGACTTCATGGATGTATTCTTTGGTTGCACAAGCCTCCTCAGTATTTTCTCCTATAGACATATATTTATATATTAAGCTTTTGGCCAAAGGTAAAGAGCAAAACAGAAGGCATTAAAGTGATTCATAGTTGGTCAGATTTTCAAAATCAACAAAACGAACTGCCATCTCCCAACCATTACATTTCCTAAGCTAATACTGCTGACGACCATTAACAAATATTTACAATCACCTGTGGGTCAGGGGTTATAGATACAGATTTAAGAACGAAACCATCCCTGCCCTTTAAGAAGTTGAAAGTAATTATGAAATGAGAAAAATGCTATATAATTGAGCTAAGAATAAAGGGTTATAGGAACTCATGAAATGGAATAATTAGCTTTGTGTGAGAGACAACGAGATGGCTATGGAAAGATTCCCAAGTGACACTTAGGGTGGGTCTTGAGAAATGAGTACTCGACAAGACCAAGGAAGACAATTTTGGTATGAAGCTTAAACGAAAATGACCTACTAAGACAACATTAAAGGGCCAGCGTGCTTAGAATACAGGATAAGAAGCAAGGTGGGAATGTGAAGAGGAGGTGATGAGTTCAGATAGGTATAAAGGGCTGGACTGTAATGACCTTTACATGCTAGAAGTTTGGTAAAAAAAAAAAATCTTCACTGGAGAGACAGAGATACAATAAGGTTTGATCACTATGATGGATGGTTTAGAATGGCAAGGAATGAAAAGGAATCATCTGTGAGGGTAAGACAAAGCTGTGGTTGTCTCTGGGCAAGGTGGCAGAGAGGTAGGCAGTGAGAAGGCAGGGCTCGCTTTAAGAGTCATTTCTAGGTTGGGACTTAAAAAATGAACGCCTGTGCATGTCTGAATGAGTGCAGGTCTACTAGGAGCATCTCTCCTATGATTTTCTGTGTAGGCCTCTTTAACCACAGAGGATTTTCTTTTTTTCTCTTTCTTTTTTGGGAGGAAGAGATGATAGTAAGGGGAAGCAATGAGGGAAGATAAGGAGTTCAAAATAAAACATGCTAGATGTGAAATACCGGAGACAGCCTGGGAGATCCATCAAGCTCAATAGACCTCTGGATTTGACCATTAGGAAATTGTTAGCGATTTTTACTAAGAGATGTTTCAGTTATAGGATATATCTGAATCTAGAAAACATCTACATTCTATGAACTAGACAACTATGACTCTCTTACCTCTATCTACTATCTCTAGCAAAGAGAATTCTTGAATAGCTTCTCTAGAGCAAAGAACAGATGATAAAAGTCCATAGATAAAATTTTAGAGATGATCTAATCAAATTCCTTTTTTTTTAAACACAGGCAACGGAGGCCTAGAGAGGTAAAGTAACTTTCATAGACACTCAATGACAAATTTGAGCTTTGAACTAGACCTCCTAATTAAAACTTCTTTCCACTACATAAAGCCACTGAATCTTGGAGGTATGCCAACAGATGTAAGAGGAGAGAAACAACCTACAAATTTAAAAAGTCTATAAAGATAAAAGCAAAGTAATTCAAAGAATTTTTTAAAAATCACAATTCACTTGAAGAAAATTAAAAACTTACCATACTTAACTTTTCCTTGACTCTTCATTGTCAGAATATCTGCAATGGTATGTCGCATCTCTTCAATAGGCTTAATTGTTTTAATGAAGAAAATGTAAGCTTTATATTCTCAGACGTTAATGAGATTGACCAAGACAAAAATATTTAGAACAGTGATTGCATTTCATACTTTAATTAATAAAACAAAGCAGTGGTTCTTAGACCATGTCTCTTTTCTCAAAATACTTATTTTGTCACTCAGATTTTTTAAAATGACTCTTTTCCATTAAAAAAAATTTTTAATGTTTATTTTTGAGAGAGAGACAGAGTGCGAGTACTGCAGGTACAGAGAGAGAAGGAGACACAGAATCCGAAGCAGGCTCCAGGCTCTGAGCTGTCGGCACAGAGCCCGATGCAGGGCTCGAACTCACGAATCACGAGATCATAATCCAAGCTGAAGCCAGATGCTTAACTGACTGAGCTTCTCAGGTGCCCCAACTCTTTTCCAATTTAAAAGGTAGAATTATAAGTTAAAACTTTTACCCACAATTTTTCTTAAGCCTCTGGTAACTATTAACTGCTTGTCTGATACAAATAACATTAATGGACAAATATCAAGCTAACATTAATGTGTATTAAAGAGCTAATGATATAAAGTAAATTTAATATGAGATTTATTCCTTTTCTCCTACGTCCATGGCTATATATTTTGTTCACATGCTATTCAATGCATCTCTGATGAGTTCAAGGTTGATCAGCTTAACATTTCACTCATTCAAATTCAACAGTTCCCTAAGTGTCCGTTACATGCTAGAACATGTAAGTATTTACCATGTTCCTTTGAACTACCCTGACTGCTAACGCAACATATTCAAGACATTATACAAAAGGCAATTGCTGGCTCATATTCTTAGTTCTAGAACATGACCCTTAACTACTCACCCATCCTGCTTTCACTTTTCTTTGGCAAATTTTAATCCTTGTTTTCCACTTCCTTCTCCAGTGTCACAACTTTCTCTTTACACACTGCTTTCTCTGTGAACCTTTGGCCCCAGTTAGGCATCCTAGCTATTCGGCCTTAAGCCACCTTAAGTAATGCCCCTTCTGGTTCCATGTAGTGGGCACCTAACACCCCCTTCCAGGTGGAATTCTGTCAAATACAATTTCCCTTCAGCAAAGCACTTTATACGTAATAGCCATTGAGAGAGTTATCGGCTAATATCTGATTTTTGACTCAGGTGAAAGGTCCAAAGCACCTATTGGCTTTTTGTGAGTAGACTAAAGTGAGCAGACCTTTTTTAACTAAAGGCTAAAGAAATTTTAAAAACTGTCTTTGTGAAGAATCTCTAAAAATGCATTTTGAGAAACTTGGTCAAAAGGAAATGCATTTTAGAAATATTTGCCCATAAAAACAAAAACCCAACCAAATAAAAGAACCTGGAGATACAATTTATTCTAGACCCAGGAATTTGTAGCAATAGAACAGGAAGAAGTGAGAGGTATGGTATCAAATCACTAGGGTGGTTATAGGTCAGAGAAACTAGTTGACTGCCACCTTCTAAGTGTGGACAGGACCAAACATATGGCATAAAAAAAGCAGTACATTAAGATGCTCTTAAAGCAAAAGAGTTCTCTCACAAAGCCACAGAACTTGCTAATATTTTAAAAGTTAATTGTACTTGCTTTATAGTCATTAAAGACATTTTAATATTAAAAATTCAATATCCCCGATTTCTTAATTGGGAAATGTGCAAAATTACATGTTATGATAAAAGATTTCTGATAGCATTTTTCACTAGATGTACATTTCAGCTTATGTCCATTTCTAAGTCTGATTATCACTAATTCACAAGCAAGTTTTAGAAGGTTGAGCAACAAGCTTTTATAATATGCAATTACTGCGGCCTTTAAACATTCATTACTCCTAGATATATAACCATACTTGTATCCGGTTATGATGTAATATGCTCCAAAATAACTCTGAATCTTCTACACTATAATAAAGATTATTACATTTTCATCTTACCTGAGCGCCTGACAGAATGGCTTTCTCATAGAGTGTGATAATATTTTCAACAGGACCTGTGAGAGATTCAATACGTGCAAGGCATATCCAATATTTCACAAGTTTTTTGGCATCTGGAATTTTTTTAATCACGTCATTCACTATGACCAATATTTCTTCTTTTGGACATCCCTAAAATAGCAAGAAGTGAAATGAGCGATCTCTCGTTTAGCCTCCAAACTATGAACAATTAAGTAAGCTTACTGTAATCAAGATCAATGACAATGAGAGGAAAACTTGATAGAAAATTATTCATAAAAATATTCAGTGTTCTCTTCCTTACTGCAAACTTATTCCGAATGGCTAACAAGAGGCTTATTAGTCATGAATACAGAGGAGGGAAAAAATTAAGTACACTTGAGAAAAACATTAGTCAAAAATGACCATGGGGCACCTGGGTGACTCAGTCGGTTAAGTGGCTGACTTCGGCTCATGTCATGATCTCATGGTTCGTGGGTTCGAGCCCCATGTCGGGCTCTGTGTTAACAGCTAGCTCAGAGCCTGGAGGCTGTTTCGAATTCTGTGTCTCCCTGTCTCTCTGACCTTTCCCTGTTCACGCTGTCTCTCTCTCTCAGAAATAAATAAAACATTAAAAAAACTTTTTTTAAATGACCAACACCCTACATGGTCTTGATGTTTATCCTTTTACATATTGTGGGATTCCATTCAATACTTGAGTTAGAATTTTTGTATATATGAAATGCTTATGGGGGAGAACACTTTGCAGGTTTCGAAAAACTGTCAGGTCTTGATATTAAGACTAAAATGAATCTGTTATGGTATATGTACTTAAGGGCTACACATAGTGAGATAGTAGGATGGAAAAATTCCAGTTTCAATGAGAAGCCCCAGCTAAGCAGAACTAAGAATAGAATCAGGGAAACTCCAATTCTAATTTTCAGTGGTCCTCAGAATCACAAGTCTAAAGATGCTCATGAAGACCAGAGTCAGGTTTGAAATCTTACTCATATATTCAGTCTTGCTATGGGTCTTGGACACCGTGGGTGACCAAAGCGAGATGAAAGAGTAGTTGGGAAATAAAGGAAACGTTCTAGAGTTGTTACACTCTATAGGAGTTTGGTCCAAACAGTGAAACTCTACAGTAAGTTTAAGACCATGACGATATTGGTTTCGATTAATAGAATTTTGTTTGAAATATTTTCGTTAACTTGAATTTCATGTGAGATAGAATGACTCACTAATTTATGTAGCCCGTCTTTGGTAAAATGTGTAATGAGTGGAACAAATAATATGTAAAGATGCTGAAGGAATGGAAAAGACAGACATATCAGAGGTGAACATCCACTCTCAGCCCATTTTATACTAACATCTTACAGAAACATAATGTTTATAAGTAAAAAAAAAAAAATCAAGTAAAAAACCTAATTATCCCTTTGATCAATTTAATATGAGCTCAATGAAAATGCAGTCCATTAAAAGCCAAAGATAAACAACCTCACCATTAACATTAAATCTACATAACACCACTAACACATTAATTACATGGTCAAAAGAGTGACAATGTAATTTACTGAGATAACATTTAGAAGATAATTTACAAACTATAAACTACTACAGAAATACAAGGACAGTACCTCACGAATCAGGTTTAGGCATTCAGAAAATGTCTTGTTTACTTTTTCCGTAAATAATCTTTGTTCATCTTCTTCTACCAGCACAGTCCAAAAGGACTCAACTGGGTTTTCCTGTTGCTCTTCAGGCTCGGGCTGGGTAACTACTGAGCTAGGTGTCCCTTGCAGAACTTTCCTTTTGCCAGTTTTCCACTCACTCAGACGAGCTCTACGGTTAGAAGCAGGATATAAGCATTACTGTGATACTGATGATAGAGTTTTCTCAGAGGAGAAGTTAAAAAATAACTCAGGTCTTTAAGTAGTTCCATGCTGGTGGCACATAGAGAAGATCACAAGTTCGAAGAAAGAGAAATATTGATCAATGTTAATATATGCTCAAAAACCAGAAGAATGGAGGGATTATAAAATATATACATATATATATAAAATATTTCCCAGTTATTTCCACGACATAAATTTACTTAAATTTGTCTGCACAGGGCAGAAGAGAATCTACACTTGCACACAAATTCTAATACATTCAAGGAGATGTAAGCTAAACCACGAGAGGTACTCTACTGAAAATTAAGCTAATAAAATTACATCTACTTACTTTCTCTCTTCTGCTGTTTCTCTGGGCTGAGCTGATCTATTAATAGTTGCTTTTGCTATTGTGTGCCTGCTAGGGTCAACGTTTTTCGACTTTTCTATCAGTTTGCTGTTAGAAGACAAAACAGGCCTGGCTAAGATTTCAGACTTCACACTTCTTGTTAGTGTCTTCTTTCTTTCTCCATCCTGAGAGCTGGTTTTGGCACTAGACAAAACTGTGTTGAATTGTACTAATTCTTTTTCACGAGGCCCTTTCCGAATCGTAACGTTGGCAGAGCTTCTACCGATGCCTTGTCTCACAGGGTCCTGAGCATTGTCGCGGTGACTTCTAATAGGAGGTCGCAGAAGCTGTCTGTTCTGAGATGTAGTGCTCACAAGTTTAGTGGTAGTCGTCACGCTAGAGGCTCTGTTGCTTTTGACAGTCACTGTGCTGCTGTCTGTGCGCGGAGGCTCTGTGGCTTTAGGGACTGTAGTCGAAAGTTTCTTTGTTGCTGCAGAACTCTCATCTCTGACTTGCAGAGGCTTTCTAAACGAATTAACCTTAGACTGAACAATCTGGCCACGGTAAGATCCAAGCACAAGCTTCTTGGACACGTTAGCATCTTGCTTTGGTTTTTCTGTCATTATTGGTTTCTTTTTATTGTTGTTTTTAAGATGAAACACTTGGCTTAATGTCATATGTTGGCCGGGAGGATCATCTTTAATTGGTACCAACTGCCCAGTGTGATTACTATCCTCCAAATTAGGTGGATCAATTACTATAGTTGAATTGGTTAATTCATTAGAAGGCCTTAAAGGAATACAATTTTTTTCCATTGTTATATTAGTTTTGTTCCCAGGAGGCCTACTGACATTTTCTTTACCAGCCTAAAAGAGTGAATTAGGACAAATCAGTATTTCAGAACTCATTTCTTTAAGAGTTTAGGAAAGGGAAAAGGGGGAAAAGGGACAGTTTATGAGGGCTATGTCCATATCTTACCATTTTGGTCTTAAATTTCAGAACTTTGGTCTCTTCATGGACCTGGCCCTCAGAGGTCACTTTCTGGTCTCTACTACTTTAAAAAAAAAAAAAAAAAAAAAGATGAAAAAACATTTAATGAGTTCTCTTTGGCAGGAGAAATGGGAAGATCTTAACAATCAACTGACTTGGTAATTTTATATTAAGGCAGAAACTCAGCCGAGATTTATTTATTCATGAAGCAAAAGTCTTCTTTACTATAGGGTGACTTAATAGTGTAAACAAGAGGGCTAAGGAATTTAGATATTTTCTTAAAAGTCTTAACACCCTCTCCACACAGAAATTGTAAACACATTTGATAGTCACATTCCAAACCATTCTTCCTAGTCACTCAAACAAGTTCTCAAAACCATTATTAAGCAACACTTTCTGTGTTTAGTTCTAAGTACTTAGTAACAGATTTACACTGAAAAAAAAAAATTAAAAATAGCCTCCCTTCAAATTAATGGTGCTGGGAAAACTGGACAGCCACATGCAAAAGAAGGAAACTGGACCACTTTCTTACACCATACACAAAGATGAACTCAGAATGCATTCAAGACCTAAATGAGAGACCTGCAACCATAAAGCTCCTGCAAGGAAAAAGAGGCAGGAAAGTCCTGGTCACCAGCCTTAGCCAAGGGAAACAAAAGTAAAAATAATGGAGAGTCCATCAAACTAAAAGCCTCTGCATAGAATTAAACCATCAACAAAATGAAAAGGCCATCTACTAAATGAGAGTAGCTATTTACAAGTGATAGATCTGATAAATCAGGGGTTAACTTCCAAAATTTATAAAGAACTCCTTCGACTCAATATGAAGAAAACCCAATTAAAAAATGCGCAGAGGACCTGAGCAGACATTTTTCCAAAAACATACAGACGGTCAACAAGCCCATGAAAGGGTGCTTAACATCACTCATCTTCAGGGAAATGCAAATCAACACCACGATGAGATAGCACCTCACACCTGTCAGAATGGCTACTAACAAAAAGACAAAGAATAACAAGTGTTGGAAAGGATATGGAGAAAGAGGAGCCCTTGTGCAATGAAAATATTAATTGGTGCAACCAATGGAAAATAGCATGCAGGTTCCTCAAAAAATTAAAAATAGAAACACCAGATGATCCAGTAATTCTACTTCTGGGTATTCACCTGAAGAATATATGAAAACACTAATTCACAAAGATACATACACCCTCGTGTTTACGGCAGCATTCTTCACAGCAGCCATGATATAGAAGCAAGCCCAAGTATCCATCGATAAATGAATGGATAAGGAAGATGTGGCATATATAAACTCTGGAATATTACTCAGCCATAAAAAAGAAAATCTTGCCATGTATGACAACGCGGAAGGACTTTGAGGGTATTCTGCCAAGTAAAATAAGGCAGCTGAAGAAAGACAAACACCATATGACTTCATTTCTATGTGGAATCTAAAAACATAAAACAGGGCCGCCTGGGTGGCTCGGTCAGTTGAGCGTCCGACTTTGGCTCAGGTCATGATTTCATGGTTCGTGGGTTTAAGCCTCACGTCCGGCTCTGTGCTAACAGCTAGCTCAGAGCCTGGAGCCTGTCTTTGGATTCTGTATCTCCCTCTCTCTGACCCTCCCCTGCTCGCGCTGTTTCTCTCTGACTCTCAAAAATAAATAAAAAACAGTTAAAAAATGTTTTTAAATAAAAATACAAAACAAAAACAAACAAACAACCAATAAAAATTAGAAACAGACTCAAATACAGAGAACTATGGTTCCCTAAGAGGGTGGTGGAGAGACAGATGAAAATAGATGAAGGGAGTTACAAGGTACAAACCTCTGGTTATAAGATAAAGAAGTCATGGGAATGAAAAGTATAGCATAGAGAATATAGTCAATAACACTGTAGTAACTTTGTGTGGTGACAGAAAGTAACTACTTACCATGGTAAGCACTTAATGTGTACAACTGTCAAATCACTATGATGTATACTTAAAACTATATGACAACTGAATTAAAAAGTAATAAAAGAAGAAAAAATAGCCCTCCCAAAAGAAATCCAAAACTTTGCACACAGACTGTATTTCAATACAAACAGGGATTTCAGTTTCTAGACGGCAATGCATTTAGAATGTGCATATAAAACGAAAGTGTCCTCAAAAATTTGACCTACACTCCTGTGAACAAATATATTCTGGTTAGTACAGGCCAGGAGATTGGCTTAGCAAGTCATTGTTAACAATTTGCATTCCACAAAGAAAAAAAACAGGGTCAATTAGACATGCCATTGATTCTAAGACAGTTGCCAAGTTCAGAGATGCTAAAATGTAAAAAAGGGTACATTTTAGAATCAACAAAACTTGTTATCCCTACAGTTGATAACTTGGGTTATACTGCTTTTCACATCTTTTCGCTTAGTCTGCTCGGACAAGGGGCAGAACTTTGACAGAGCTTATACTATCCATTTTGAATGATGGCAAAGGAGAGTCAAGATGTGTCACTGAACAGAATAATGTCTCCCCAGCATACACTCCTGCAATTTGCTGCCTGATGGTAAATACTCCCCTTGTTATTCACTGGCCTGTAGGCTGGAGTGGGGTGGGAGAGGATGCTCCTGGTCAATCTGTCAGGTGCGCCCAATGTGGTACCTTAACTAATCGGACCCCCAATTCCTTCTGGGCTTATGGTATACTGTGGTGGGATCTCCCTGAGAAAATCAGAACCAGTCTTTTTTTTTTTTTTTTTTTTTTTTATTTCTGAGAGAGAGAGAGAGACAGTGTGAGCAGGGGTGGGTCAGAGAGAGAGGGAGATACAGAATCTGAAACAGGCTCCAGGCTCTGAGCTGGCAGTCAGCACAGAGCCCGACATGGGGCTCAAACCCACAAACTGTGAGATCATGACTTGAGCTGAAGTCGGATGCTTAACCGACTGAGCCACCCAGGTGCCCCAAAAAATCAGAACCAGTCTTAACAAGAATTAGCCCTTCTTTCTTCCACCAAACACTGCCAGTCTATGTGCCTCTGTAGCCATAGACTCTGCCTTCCTTGGCTAATGAACTGACACCATGCTGACCCACAGGCAAGCTCTCCATCTGTGCTCTCCCGCTTGCCCACTCAGGATCTTTGTTCCTGTGATTATGTGTTCATTCTTCTGCACCATGAACCTGCCCCTCTGCTAGGTCATTCCCACCAGCATATAAACACTGTATATTATATCTCATCTTAAAAGCCTTAAAGCCCACGTTCCCTTTCAGCTTTATAGCAAAACTCGTCAAACTGTTCATCCTTAGTTCCTGACGTACATATACAATGAGACGGTGCATTCTTAAATGTCAACGTTTATTCCTGGAGACACAGGATCTCTTCTGATGTATCTTGATTTCTTTTTTTTTTTTTTAATGTTTTTTTATTTATTTCTGAGAGAGAGAGAGAGAGTGTGAGGAGGGAGGGTCAGAGAGAGAAAGGGAGACACAGAATGTGAAACAGGCTCCAGGCTCTGAGCTAGCTGTCAGCACAGAGCCTGACACGGGGCTCAAACCCACCAACCGTGAGATCATGACCTGAGCCAAAGTCGGACGCTTAACCAACTGAGCCACCCAGGCGCCCCTAGGGATTGTAAAATATGATTTAATTTTGAAAAGCTGTGACTCTGATTGGTTGTATGTTTATCAATTTGTTGCTCAAATAACGATATTTCAATTGACATCTGTTTTCTGAAAGAAATAAATACAACACTTGTGAGATTTCTTGTAAAGCCAGAAGAATTTCAGAATTTTTTCTTCCCATTGTGTCTAAGAATATTATAAACCCCATGACCCAGTTAGATTCCTTATTTAAATAAGTACTTGAAAGTCATGCTCTGTCTTACTCGAATTAATATTCTCTTTGCTTACTCTCTAGTAACCTTCTTCCCCCTCAAGGTTTGAAAGAAATATCATCCACAAACTGCTAATTCCCATGTTTATATCTCTGGTCCCAATCTCAACCCAGCCTTCAGACATGTAACCCTTTGGCGTTTCCTCTTGGATTTCTTATTGGTACCTCAGACTTAGCGTGGCCCAAACAGAGCGCCGGATTCCCCCATTCCTCCCTCAGTCTTCCCCATCTCGATAATATGATATTACTATCCACTCAGTTATTCAAATAAAAAAAATCTAGGACCATCTTTTTGTTTTAAATGAAGAAATGTGGAATTTGTGAAAGAAAATGTAAACCATTTACATGTAAGCGCAAAATATTTAAGGTAACATTAATGTAAAGTTTAAAAGATTATTAAAAATTTGGAATGAATGCCCAACTTACATAAAGTTGCAAAATTAGAAATAGTTCAAAGAATATCCATTACTGATTTCCCAGATTTGTTCAGTGATAATTTTTTATTCCATTTGCGTTATCATTTGCATTGTTTCTGAATACGTGTATGTGTGGAGTATGTACAATGTTCTCTAACTAAATCTTTCAAGAGATATACATTATTGCTCTTTACCCCTAAATGCTTCAATGTTCATTTCCTGAAAGCAGTGATTTTTCTCTTATGTAATCACAACACAGTTATCAAATTAATAAGTTCAATGTGATGTGCCCCTAAATCTACTATTTATATTCTAGTTGAAAACTAACATAATAATGTCCTTTATAGCATTTCCTCTTCCACAATAGGGTAGAAGGGTCAGGTATTGGATTGAATAGTATCTCTTAATCTGGAACATTCAGGGTCATCCTAAATTCCTTTCTTTCTTTCACATCTCCTACCCTTCCATCACCAACTCCTGTCATCCCTATCTCCTAAATATCAACACAATCCGACCACTCTCAATCATGAGGAAGGGTATGAAGCATTCCCAGAGGCAAAATATATCACTACCTGTTGGAAGAAACTAGAGAAATCAGGAAAACAGAGTAACACAAGAACCAATCCTCTGTGTGTAAAGCCACTGAGAGATCATGAAATAATAGCCACCACTTACTGGGCTCTCACTATATACCAGGCATAGCATACTGCATTCACTAGCTCATTTATTCCCCCAAGAAACACACATTACTATCCCATTGTAATAAAGTAAATGGACTCAAAGAGGCCATGTAACTCCCCAGAGGTTACACAGTTGTAGTGGCGGACTTACAGATTCCAGTCCTCATCACTCTAAAGCCAATGCTCTTAGATTGCACAGAAAATTGCCTAAAGGACGTTACTAGCAGTTCTCTTTGGAGGGGGCCTTTTGCTTTTCTGCCTTATATACTTTCATGGGTTTTTGTCTTAGCCACAACCATGTACTATTTTTAAAATTTTAACAAAATAACACCAAGATATTTCTATGGAGAACTGAGACTGTAACAAATGCTTTCCGAACATTGGGGGGGGGGGGGGGGTGAGTGGCACCTTCCAAAGAATAACTGTCCACTTCTCTGTCTCTCTCTCACATACACAATAAAAACTTTGCTAAATTAAGAAAGACCAACATCTGTAGTAACACTGTATAAACCATAGTCAGTATTTTGGTATAAACAAACACTTTGTGAAAGTGTGAAATACACACCTGATTCTGAAAACTCAGTACCAAAAAGGTATGCAAAATTTCTTAATAACTCTTAAGAATTACATGTTGTAATTATAACATGTAAAGAACATATAGAATTCCCCTTTAAAAAAAGTTTTCAGATGCGGCTGCTAGAAAATTTTAAATTACAGTACAATTGTGGCTCCCATTACATTTTTATTGGACAGCTCTAATTTTACAGATCTGAAGTGAGAAAATTTGACCTCACCTGGATATGCGATTTTCCTCTTTGTATGCAAAAAATGTTTTTCTTTTTAACATATGTTCCTTGAGTTTCTGTCTTCTTTGTTCTAAAGAACGAAAAGGCGACAAGCCAACATTGGTTACAACGGTAACATCAAATAAATATTCACTAAATGCACAACTTCAAAAAATGCTCTACTAGAGATCATATCTTGTACACAACAGAAAACTTCTTCATTCAGTATTGCCTTTGAGAAATAATCCCATTTTTAAGAAATTGTTACCGTAAAAGGTGCACACAACCACTGCACAAGAATTACATTTTCTGCCGTCTGAAAGTGAAAAATCTGGACCATATCATTTTCAATACAGGGTTACTGAAACCCACGCTTTAAGAAACTAGCAGAGACGAGACCCCAGACCCTAAGTTGTAATTTACCAGAACTGGGTTGGGTGAGAGTTTCTTTCCTCTGCTTTCCCATGTGGAGGACAAAGAACTAACATCATTTCTGAAGATCCAGCCAACCCTGGATTTACACGAAGTTGAGAGTCTTAAATTTGAAGGATCAGAGGAGGCAGCCCCGCCTCTCCAAATACTCGCGCTCCGGCGGCGGGAGCGCCCTGCGCATGCGCCCTGGGCTCGGGGCCCGAGCGCAGCCCCGCCCCCGCGGGTCCCGAGCCCCGAACGCAGAAGCCGCCCGGAGTGTCGCGCACCCTCCCTCGCCAAACGGACTCCTTCACTGCAGGCCGGTCCTTGTCGCCAGTGGCTCACGCCCGGCCGGTAACGCCCGCACGGGAGGCGCTCAACCCGCACACTAACACCACGGCCCGGGCACCGCTCTGGTTGTCCACTTCGCGAATGCCAAGGATGAGGCTGCGAGGGGCCGAGCGATCTGGACAGGCTTCTGTCGCAACTGAAGTTGGCGGGTCCGAGGCCCCGGCCGCTGAGTGCGAGCTACCCCTCCCCCACGGCCGTCCGCGTCCCCATCCTCTCAGGCAAACGAGGCGCCTGCGGGTCGCGCCGCTCCCGCCACCGCGGCCCTCACCTCTGAACTCGGGCTGGGCCCTCTGGCTTGGGGGCAGCTGTAGCTCCGGGGGCACTGCTGGGGTGCTCATGGCTGCTACGGGTGGAGGACGCGTCTCGGCCCCGACGGTCCCCGACTCCTAAAGCCAAGGCGGCTGCAAACTGAACACGCTGCCGGCCCCGCTGCAGGAGGTGCGGCGTGAATTAAATGAGCCAATGGGCGCAGAGGGGCGGGGCCTGGGCCGCGGCTGCCGGGGCGGGTCTTGCCCCAGCTGGATGCAGTGAGAACTGCTCAGCGGAGTCCCCAGGCTGGCAAGCCTGATCGGCTGTTTCCGCGTTGGACATGCGACCCGGGACGGAGGGGGGGAGGGGGGGTCTGCAAAGTCCTTGCTGTGTGGCAGATAGGACTTGCCTTTGGACGCTCATAGTGCGTGGAGGGAGGCAGGCTAGAGAATTGTCGTTTGGCAGCGCTTGTTAAAACCGGGGCGTGCTTGCTGAGGAGGCTGTAAGTCCCCACTGCTGTACAAGAGCATGTGCCTTTCCCTTTCACAAACATTACTTCGTTGCCACATGACAACTCCGACGTGGGACTCTAGGACTGCGGACAACATGGACCCCCTCTCTGGCGATCCATCCTGTTTACGCTCCTGCAATGACTTCCCTCCGGATCCGTGTTCCAGGACCCCTGAAGGTTATCAGGAAGGTTTGTTCTGATCCTCACTGAAGGGGCGCACGGAAGGAGCCACTTTGGCTAACGGGTCCACAGAAGGTGCCACTCTACGTTAACCGTTCCAGCCGGGTTTTAAGCAGGGAGACAGAGACCGGAGGATACAATTTTTTGTATCCCCTGCGCGGATATCTGTGGGATACTCCAGAGCTGGCTCTCAAACCCCAGTTCTCGCCGTCTTTCTCTGCTTGTTTTTCTGAAAGCATCGTATGGTATAGCATCTTGCTAATGAAGTCTGGGATATTCCGTTGTTGCTTTTTCTTGATGAAATGTCAAGTGTAATTTTGCGTAACTTTGCCTGCACTAGACGCCAATTCTGGGAGAGCTAACAGCCAAACAGCACCCATCATCATCCCTAAGAGATTACAGCTCTTTGCATATTACTTTTTTAATATTGTCAGTTATGTACTAAAGTTCCAGGGGACTGGCTGGGTAACCAGGGATTAAGTGACCGAGAACAGTTTAACAAAATAGTTTAACAGTAAAAAGAGTGACTCAAGAACCTCCCAACCATTATGCTAAGTGAAAGCCAGCCACAAAAGGTCACATATATGGTATGATTCCATATGAAATATCCATCATAGATAAATCCATAGAGAAATGACACAGATTGGTGGTTGCCAGGGGTTAGGGGCAGGGGGAATAAGGAGAGACCACTGAGCTGTTCACTTTAAAATGGTAATTTTATGTTATGTAAACTTCAGTATTTTCTTAAGGGGCATGGTTAAAAATAGTGACCCAGAGAAAACCCTGGAGAGCTCAAGAGGCTGAGATGGAGGGTTGGAAATCCCACAAAACTGCTAGGTTTTCCAACGTGGCACTTTCCCCCCACAGTCTCCAGACTTACCCACTCCAAGAATGGTATCTCTTTAAAGACACTTTTCTAAAACTGTCATGATCGCACAATTGTTGGAGGGAAGGCAGACCATTCTCTAAAAGTTCCAGGAGAAGAATTCCTTTCAGAACAGTCCTTCCCCAACACAGATGACCATTGAACTGCAGCCAGCTGGAGTATCTCTGACCCCCTTCCTGTGAAACAGAGCACCTACGGGAGAACAGGATAGGACCATCCAAAGGATAGAAGGAAGACAAAGGCAGGCCGAGGACACAAAGTCCAAGGAGGAAGGTACCTAAAGAAGTAATAGTCCTGTGTTGGGCACTGAAGAGGACTTGTAGGAGTGAGACGGAAAGGAACCACTGGATTCAGAAGCTAGGAAGGTCTGGCAAAAACAATCTGTGGACAAGTACAAACTATTTTGATAGAGATTGCATTCAATCTGTATGCTGCTTTGGGTAATATGGATATTCTTTTTTTTTTTTTTTAACTTAAATTCTTGTTAACATATAGTGTAATACTGGTTTCAGGAGTAGAATCTGATGATTCATCACTTACATAAACATCCAATGCTCATCCCAACCAGTGCCCTCTTTAACACCCATCACCCATTTAGCCCATCCCCCACCCACCGCCTCTCCAGCAACCCTGTTTTTTTCGCTATATTTAAGAGTCTCTTATGGTTTGTCTCCTTGTTTATATATATATACCACATCCTCTTGATCCATTAATCAGTCAATGGACATTTGGGCTCTTTCTATAATTTGGCTATTGTTGATAGGGCTGCTATAAGCATTGGGGCATACGTGCCTCTTCGAATCAGCACTTTTGTATCCTCTGGATAAATACCTAGTAGTGCAATTGCTGGGTTGTAGGGTAGCTCTACTTTTAATTTTTTGAGGAACCTCCATACTGTTTTCCAGAGTGGCTGCACCAGTTTGCATTCCCACCAACAGTGTAAGAGGGTTCCCCTTTCTCTATGTCCTCGCCAAAATTACTGTTTCTTGAGTTGTTAATTTTAGCTGTTCTGACAAGTATGAGGTGTAGCTCATTGTGGTTTTGATTTGTGTCTCCCTGATGATGAGTGCTGTTGAGCATCTTTTCATGTGTCTATTTGCTATCTGGATGTTTCTTTGGAAAAGTGTCTATTCATGTCTCCTCCCCATTTCTTAATTGGAGTATTTGTTTTTTGGGTGTTGAGTTTGATAATTTCTTTGTAGATTTTGGATACTAACCCTTTATCAGATATATCATATCCAAACATCTTCTCCCATTCCACTGCTTGCCTTTTAGTTTTTTGATTGTTTCCTTCACTGTGCAGAAGCTTTATATCTTGACAAGGTCCTGATTGTTCATTTTTGCTTTTGTTTCCCCTGGCTTCAAAGACATGTTTAGTAGAAAGTTGCTGCAGCCAAGTTCAAAATGATTGCTGCCACTAGGATTTTGATGGTTTCATGTCTTACATTTAGGTCTTTCATTCATTTTGAACTTATTTGTCTGCATAGTATAAGAAAGTGGTCCAGTTTCATTCTTTTGCACGTTGCTGTCCAGTTTTCCCAGCGCCGTTAGTTGAAGAGACTGTCTTTTTTCCATTGGATATTCTTTCCTGCTTTGCCAACAATTAGTTAGTTGTGCATTTGTGGGTCCATTTCTGGGTTCTCTATTCTGCTCCATTGATCTATTTGTCTGCTTTTGTACCAGTACCATACTGTCTTGATGATTACAGCTTGTAATATACCTTGAAGTCCAGAACTGTGATGCCTCTAGCTTTGGTTTTCTTTTTTAACATTACTTTGGCTATCCAGGGTCTTTTCTGATACCACACAAATTTTAGAATTGTTTGTTCTTCCTCTGTGAATAATGGTGGTGCTATTTTGATAGGGATTGCCACTGAATGTGTAGATTGCTTTGGGTAGTGGTAATATGGATATTCTAATGAGATTTTTCCAATCCATAAGCATGGAATGTCTTTCCATTTGGTTGTGTTGTCCTCAATTTCTCTCATCAATGTTTTGTCATTTTCAGAGTATAGGTCTTTCACCTCCCTGGTTAAGTTTGTTCCTAGGTATTGTATTCTTTTTGGTGCAATTATAAATGGAATTTTTTTTAAATTTCTCTTTATGCTACTTCATTATAAGTGTATAGAAATGCAGCCAATTGCTGTGCATTAATTTTGTAATCTGCAACTTTATTGAATTCACTTATTCTAATAGCTTTTGGTTGGAGTCTTTAGGACTTTCTATATATAGTATCATGTCATCTGTAAATTGTTAATCCCCCAAACTACTCAAATACAACTTTTACCTGAGACTACTTTGTTCCATTAGTCTCACTTTATAGCTACCAAGATGAGCAATTTCTACTGTCATTTTTCATGATATCTTCTCTTAGAAAAAAAGAATTAGTGATGTTGAGACTGCCCCCCCCCCCTTTTTTTTTAAAGTAGACTCCACGCCCAATGTGGGGCTTGAACTAATGACTCTGATATCAAGACCTGAGATCAAGAGTTGGGCGCTCTACTAACTGAGCCACCTAAGTGCCCTGAGGCTCCTTTCTTTATGCGTGAGAATGGCGATGATCTCTGGAGGCAAAAACACATCGTGCATCATTATTTATTAGGGAAATGCAAATCAAAACTACAATAAAATGTCACCCCACACTGCTTAGGCTGGCTATCATTGAAAAAAAAAAAAAAACAACTATTGGCAAGGATGTGGAGGAAAGGGGACCCTTGTACACTGTTGGTGGGAATGTAAATTGGTTCAGAAATCTGTTTACTTATCAAAATGTTAAGAAGAGTACTACCATATGACCAGCTATTCCACTTCTGGGTATTTATCCAAAGAGTATGAAAACACCAATTCAAAAAGACATATCACCCCTATGTTTATTGCAGCATTATTTACGATAGTCAAGATACAGAAGCAACCTAAGTGTCCACCAATGGACGAACAGATAAAGAGGTGGCAGTGTGCGCACACACACACACACATTGACAATGGAATATTAGTCATAAAAAGGATTGCAATCTTGCTATTTGCAACAATATGGATGGACTTGAGAGTGTTATGAATGAATCAGAAGAACAAAGACAAAAAACATATGATTTCATTCATACATGGAATCTAAAAAGAAAGGAAAAGAAAAGAAATGAGCAAACAAAAGAAAACACAGACACAAAGAGCTGATTGATAGTTACTAGGGGGTAGGGGTGGATCAAATGGATGAAGGGGGTCAAATGTATGGTGATGGATGATAGCTAGACTTTCAGAGGTGATCACTTTGTAATGAATACAGATGTCAAATTATAATGTTGGACACCTAAACTTATGTATTACATGCCAATTTTACCTCAATTAAAAAACAAACACATCATGGGGTGCCTGGGTGGCTCACTCGGTTTAGTGTCTGACTTCAGATCAGGTCATGATCTCGCCGTCTGTGAGTCTGAGCCCCGTATCAGGCTCTGTGCTGACAGCTCAGAGCCTGGAGTGTGCTTCAGATTCTCTGTCTCCCTCTCTGCCCCTCACACTCTGTCTCTCTCTTAAAAATGAATAAATGTTAAAAACAAACACATCATGCTTTTAGTTAAGAACTAGA